CTGGGGCCACAGTCTGTGTTCGCCAAAAAAAAAATGTTGTGCATGCATCATGGACCAACAAATAATAGTACCGAGTCGCTGCGCCTATTGATTTTAAGAATGATGATGAGGGTACTGGGTAGATGGTTGTTTTTTTTTTTTTTTTTTTTTTTTTTGTTTTTTGAAATTTCTCGCCCTGATCGCCCAATCCTTTCGGTCATGGCAATTCTCATGCGAGAGTAAAAGCAAAAAAACTGAAATTCTTTTTCGGCGGCCCAATCAAATCGACATTCAAAGCGATCCATGTCTGCAATGCGATAAACGCGGACAGATCAACATAAGAGCCTGAAATATTGCCTGCTGTCGTGGATGGCCAACTGTCAAATCAACAGCACGAGTATCCCTTCTGGGGCTGGGTTTCGGCAGGAACAAAACAGCGCTACATTGGGCATCAACCATACGGTCAGGAGCAATCTGCAAGCCGCATCTTCGTGGAGTAGCACTAAAAGGTGTTAGTTTGTAGTTTGAATTTGGTAGATTGTCGGTCCTTGAGTCAGTCTTACTACTGTACGGAGTAGAGAACCACCAGAACACGGTGAGCAAAAGGCCCCATACTACTCCAGCACTTCGTACGTCTGGCATTTGTAATTCCGTACTTGTGTATGAGCTGTCTGCGCAGGTGCACTGAGGTGTATCGGCAGTGAGACCGCGGACACCGGTCACGGTCCTTTTCCGACGGATCAGAATGTGTCACATTCCGGCTTTTTCTTTTCTTTTTCAGGATTTCTCTTTCTTTGTCTGTCCTCTTTTTATCTCACGTTTCAAAAATGGGACCAACATCCTGACCCGGTGGGATGGTGTGAAAATGAGGTTATACCGATACGTGCTCGATTTGGAGACAGAAAAAAGAAAACAAGTGACAGGGATGACCAGGTTGAAAGAAAGCCGATCTATCCAAGTGCCGTGACCCAGTGATCTGAATTTGGAAAAAGATCCAGGCTGGAAAAAGCATAGAGGATCGGACATGGGCATGTTCTGCAGTGGATGAGAACGAGTCAGCGTCGTGGGCCCTGCGAGATGATCGATCTAAATCAAATCTCTATACAGAGTACATATAGTAGTGGTAGTTGTTAGCCAGCTGCATCTTTTTGTCATTGTAGTGTATGTAGCCTTTCATGCCTGACTGTCGTGGACGAGAGGTTCGTTGTTGATGAGGTCGCGCAGGTCACCTATTTGGTCATGTCACGGGACCAGCCCTCTTTCTCTTACCACCAGTACATACCTAGTCAAGTCACTCAATCTCAACCGCTCTAAGCGCTCGTCTTCATCACATTTTTACTCATATTCTATTCTAAACTAGACCAGACTGGACTAAATCACATCGATCCAGGTACCACAATCAACTGGATATATCACATCCAGGATGCATGTCTATACCCAATAATCCGGAACCACAGGTGCGTTATTTCACCCAAACAAAAGCAATCCTCCCACGAGCCCTGCTTTGCATTCCACACTTCGGCCGTGCATACATAAGCTTACATATGCTGACAGATATGCAGTGGATACAAAGTACAGCACTGAAAGGCATTGTTGTTCGTCCTGTGATTCGACATATGCATGCATGGCCTACATTTCGGCGCTCCGGGTACAGACACCCCAAGTGCATACGGAACCTGCTGAGTACCTACGTATATACGCAAGCTACGTCTACAGAACACATAAGCAAGGATCGTGATGCAAATCAGATCGCGAATGCAGACGGCCCGCATTCTGCATGCTTTGTGTTTGTTCTCGGGGAAGGACCCGGTGCGACTGAGGTGATGAGTATATTGGCCCATTGGGAGTATTTTTGGCCCCCGAGGATGGCACTCGAGGGAAAGTCGAGTGCGAGGAAAAGAAAGGATAATAATATACGCCGTACGGAGTATAGACAACTGGCGATATTTCTTTTTCTTCTAAATAAGGGAAATATGGAATGGCCGCGGAGTTGATATATCCAAATTTGGTGTGGTGAGGCACGTTCTGATTTGCCGGTTATCGTCTCAGCCGGGTGATTGAAGCCATCACATCGCGAAGTACGGACGGGATATGACATTTATTCGAGGCATCCCACTTAATCCCGCCGATGGAATGGAATGTTCTACGACTCTGTCAACTTCACTATACGTCACCCTTCTTGTACTCGCACGAAAGACGCGCGAGAATGCAAAAGAACTGGAATAACTTCGATCCGATCACTGACACTTGTACGCAGCATTATTATATTACGGTCAAAACATGTCCCTTTCGGTCCAAGTGCAGAGTGCAGACCACAAGTACTATGACACAATCCAAAGGTACACCGTAAAGGTATGTCTGGCAATTGCCCAATCCATCCAGGTACATACTTCAGCAGGTCTCCATACTCGTCGGAAGAGATTCGGAAAACAAACATCGGAAATCCACAGATTGATTGACGATCAGGAAGCGGCGGTAAGACAACTGCTCGACAACTGTGTGCTCCGTACTCTGTACTCCGCCCGTACTCCGTCCGTGAATACACATGTGGCATAATTAATTGCCACTGGCGTTGAGCTAGTCTGCTTTCGATCTGGAAGCTCGGAGCTGGATGAGCTCTGAAGACTATTGAGACCATTATTGAAGCCGGTCTTTCTTCACCCCACACCACACGCTATTTATTCAGCGGGACATGTTCCGACGACGCGTCGGTGGAGCTGACCGGTTCCTTCTAGACGATGACCGCCGAAGAATCGATGTCTCTGGAATACAGTCACTTGTACTAGGTATTTTGTGAAAACGAGAAAGCCAGGGATACACATCCTACTTAATAACTATACCAAACGGCTGACATACAGCGCCGTTGCCAGACATGCATTTGCAGCATGGATCACCAGTTCCTGGCAGACTGGTCATATAGGACTTTGGCAATTCGACTTGACTGGCACTGCAAATTGCCCGGGGCCGGCTCACCAGAAAATCCATGATCAACATTCGTTGACTTGCGACTTGCGGTCTGGGCTTACTTCCTGGCCCCATATCATTAGTACGTACGTACCATACCTACTTCCGGAGTAGTGTACCGGCAACTGCAAGTGCGGTGGCTGACCGTTGCTTTGCTTTGCTTTGCGTTGCCTTTGCGCTTGCTTGCTCCGTCCGTCCATCCGTCCGGGGTTGATTGTTGATCGTCTTGCCGAAACGAGTTGCCTCGGTTTGGACTTGCATTTGCACTGCGCTGCAGCTGCTACCTTTTGCTGCTAGGCCTTCCGTTTTCATTCGCGTGCAGTGCTCGTCCCAGAGTTAATTTGGGTTTGGGCATTGCAATGAGGCTGGCGACGCAGGCCAGGCCGTAAAAGCTAAAGCGAGTCGGTCTACGGCCGAGGGGATTTGATTTTATTTGATTTGATTTCTCCGCTCCGCGCGATAACCTTCCAGAATGTTTATTCATTCGACAGAAATTGTGCCATATGGCAATGCTGTTATGGAGCTCTGTCTTGGGGTTGAGCTGGCATTTTTACCCCTGCATTGTACATTATACTCTGGAGCTGACTGGCTAGAGCTGACTAACAAATTCAGAGCTGTCGTTCTCGGACGAGCAGTGACTTTTTTGCATCTCGTCCGAAGTTTCATGGATTAGATATGCCCAGAGTAAATCATTTAGCGAAAGATCCAACGCATTCCCATCTCATCTCGTTCATGCAAACTCGCCTGAGTGCCATGCCTCCTCTCAATAGAAACCACCCCAAGATACGACACAACAACCCTCTGCCCCTTCACCCCCTTCCCGGCTCGACTACAATCCACCATCGCCTCCAAAACCATACAGCACTGTCCACACAACGACCCCGGCACACCCCCGGCACACTCCCTGGGCGCCGTAACCGTCCTGTTAACCAGGGCCTCATCGTACCCGTGCCCGCTCCTCTGATTCAGATTTTGGTTCTGGTTCTGACTCGTATATCGTTCACCGATTAAATCCAGAAACACAATAACTGCAGCGGTAAGTGCGGTAAGAGATGATAGTTTGAAGGCGTTGTCGATGCTTGTTGTGGCTGGGTCGGTTTCGTAGATTATCAAGTATGCCTCTAGGAGTGTTCTCGCGTTGTGAGTGCAGACTGTTCGGCCGTAGCCTTGTCTATCATGTTGTTGTTCGGCTTCTTTTCGTTAATTCGCCAATTCAGAGTATATATATCGGGGTCGGAATGCTTACATGCAGTAGAGCTGCGCGTGCCTTTTCTCAATGGTCATTTTGGTGGCATAGTGGCGGTTTTGATGTCGGTTCGAAGCAGTTTTTCGGACGAATCCCTCGTCCGAGGTAGAGTAGGGTTTAGGGTATTAATGCCTACTGCCATGGCGCAATAGAAGCGCAGGTCATCCAACACAAGTCATAGATTCTCTATATGCTATCAAAGATGCTCAAACGCTCCAATAAACTCCTGTCGTCAAAAAGGGCAGACGTGAAATGAGAAAAGCATCACGCACGCAAGACTGGTATCCAACACTGGTATCTATATCTTCAATAAACCAACATAAATATAAACTGAGCAAATTTCCCAAAAGCGAAAGTGAAAGAGGGGAAGGAGGGTTTATGGACCACCCGGAACACCGCCCTCGAATGAAATCGGTCCGCTGGTACTGGCCGGTTTCGCGCTGCGTTCTCTCAACCGTCGACCCTCCATCAAACCACGCAGACCACGTTTCTGCAATCCGATAACACTGCTTAGATCGCCCGTCCAGATCTCTCCCTCTCCATATGCATCGGTATCGTGGCGTTGGCGCTGCCGACTCACAGAGCGAGAGCGATCACCGCCCATTGTGTCAGAGTCGGAGTAATCGAAGCTGGTATTCGTGGATGCGGAGGTGGAGGTGCTGGCGTTGCTGATTGAGCCTTCACGCTCGCGGGTAGCGCCTTGCTCTTGACGGTGACGACGGTTCCGGCCGAAAGAGAAGCTGGTGTTGATGCGGAGGGGTGGGCCGCGAGATGGTCCGCCAGAACTGCTCGACATGGAGCGGGCGGAGGTGGTGCCGTGTTCTGTGTCGGATGAGTCAGAGTTGAGGTGGCTGTTCGAGGCGTTCGTTCCAGCGCCGATGGTTGCGGCGTCTCCGGCTGCGGCTGCGGCGGCGGCTGTATTCACGCCGTTGAGGGCCTCAAGAGTACCGCCAATTCCGCTGGTAAATCCGGTGCCTCGTCCGCCTCCAGCGGCCATGGCGGCGGCGTTGAATACGGCTGCGGCGTTTCGGCCGTCGAGAACCTGGTGCAGACGTTCCACGGTCGCTTCTAGGAGACCATCTATCTGGTACGGTCGTGCCAGCTGTAGAAGAGAGCAGAGGATTTGTGGTGTGCAGAGTGATGATCCAGGTGCGGGAAGAGACGATGTGTAGAAGTAGTCGACGAGGACTTGCAGTGTGAAATAGGTATGGGGGAGATAGAGGACACGAGGACGGGTAGTAGGAGGCAAGGCATGCGCAGAGGGTATTTCGAGGTTTGCCAACATGGCTTTGGTAGGGTCTGCATGGTTGTTGCTGACCAAGGTGGTCGCGTTCGAGTAGCTGCTATTCTGGCCGATAGACGGGGTAATTGTGATAGTCGAGTTTCGATTTCCATACATTTGAGTCGGTGGTCGGAGTGTGGCTGAATCCGAAACTCCATTGTCGCATGACTCCCGTAATAGTTGGATGAAGTACGGACCCCATCGACGCGAGAGGATGCGCGAGTTCACCGGGATCCGTTCACCACCGATGGCCTGAAGCTCCATATCCGCCATCTCTGGAAGAGACTGGGCGAGTCTGCCCAGCTCATCCGAGGTGTTTGAGAACGGTCGCCCGCCCGACGAAGTCAACTGAAGCAATTTGTGCTGCAAAGAAGCTGGGACCGCCGGGGCACTGTACGACTGGTACCCGGACGTAGGAGCGACTTTGCAAGGATTGTTGTGAAGCCCAAAGGCCTCCAATTCGACCAGGCACAGGTGCGAGAAGTTAATCCGGCGGTGGTTGTAATCCTCCACCAGGCTGCGCTTGCGATGGCCAAGGATCACGAACGTGTTTCTTCTCGACCAAAGCATGCCCCGGTTCCAACTGCCCTGACCAAATACCGAACCACCGGCATCGATCCGGCCCCAGGTCAGGGTCCTCAAATCCAGTGCCCACAGCGCATACTCCTGTTTCGAAGAAGTGAGGTATGTGCCGCTCACGACGAAATGGCCATTGATAACGCCTCCGTTAGGGAATCGCAAGCCCGGAGGGGATGCCTGGCTAGGCATGGGCTTCTCGATCAAACGACCATCCGGTAAACGGATCTGGAGTTCTAACTTGACGTCCAAGAAGTTGTAGTTTGAATATATCAGCATCGGACACCCTTCGACCTGCGAATCGTCGATCGGCTCATGCGCATCCTTGTCCGTGCAGGCAGATCCAATTTCTGAGAGCTTCATGCCGACCAACGGGGCGACCACACTCCGATATGCACCGCAGCTTCGACCCAGGAAGTTGGTGCTGGTCCATTCAAGACTCCGAAGGTTAAAGACGCTGACCTGTTCAATGTAATGATTGGAGCTGTCCTGGCCTCCGGTCACGACCATCTCTGCACCCCCGAACCCGTCAATATCGACCCCAATGGACCCTTGATGGGCATCTTCAGAGGAAGGGTTGAAGTGGATGGCAGACCGGGGTGCATTGGCTGAAGTGAAATGGGCACTGGACGGCAGTATAGTTGCACAATGCGCGTATCGGCCCTGGGGGGAATCGTTCGTGGAAAGGCGCTTCCAGCTGCGAGACGGTACATCAAAGACATGGATATCGGACATGACGACGACTTCTGGCTGCGAATCTTGTCCTCCTGACCCATTGTTCAACGACTCTGGAGCCGGGGACATACCACCATAGCACACCAACTTCTCATCGCCCAGGGCACAAACGCTATGGAAGTATCGGGGAGGAGGAACATCGCCGGTCGCTTCAATTTTGGACCAATGGCGGCGGACCAAATCGAGTTCGTATAGATCGGACGTCAATTGCGGACGACTGCGTGAGAGAATGCGGCCACCAAAAGTGTAGAGTTTGTCGCCCAGGATAGTCGTTGTCGCACCCACCAGGGGACGCGGTTCCCTGCCTGTCGTCCTGCGCACATCGCAAACCAAACCCGACAAATTGATGGGACCCGAAGCAGAAGTGGACTGATTGAAAGCAGGCGAGTTTCCTGCGGTCGAAGGGTCGTCTCTGGCCGAATCCACCCAGCCCAAGCTCGACTGACTTCGGGACATCATCTTTACAGGCAAGACCCGACTCAATTGATTCAGTGTATTATCTTATAACGTAGCGCGCATTCCACACTGTGACCGGTAGCCGGAGGAGGGAACAAGTAACGAGGGACGCTCCGAAGCTAATGGACGGCAATACAGCGGTACAAATAATTGATCGATTGTGGCAGGGTTCCTGTCAGTCAAAGTCAGGGATAAGTCAATAGTTCAAAATCCCCTATAAAGGAATAGCAAGGAAAGCGAGACGTGTGCTATTAATATTATTCTGATCATCCCCGCCGATAAATAAAGGCCAGCGTAGAGCCGCACTGGGACGGGAAATCCAGGAGACGAAGAGAGGGAGAGCCATACCAAACGATAGTCCACAATTAACAACAGTCAGTCTCTCCAATACTGCGAGGAAGGAATATGGTGGTGGAAACCACTGAAAGACGAGAGAAAAACAGCGAAAAGAGACACGGAAAAGGAGCCGTTGGGCAGAAACCTAAGGCGGTCTGTCGGATTGACTTAGCGTAAGCTGTCAGTGTGCTTGTGCAGTATGAGTATGAAGTATAGTATTAATATAAGAGATACATACTCTGTACAAATATGAGATGCCGTGGGATGAACGACGCGGCGTTCAATTGAGGAAAAAGCAATACAAACACGGTTCGCTTGTCACTCTACATAGTCGGCTGGTTCCGATGGGTCTAAATATATAAGGCTACGGAGCACGGAGTACATATGCAGCACAGAGTACACCTGTACAGAGTACTGCAGGAACAGATGGAGAATGTAAATGTACAGAAGATTATATTCATAAGAGGTATCAATCAAATAACCTTCACAAGATCATTTTCACAGCCTTTTGTCTATCCATCAAATCATGATTCGTGATATATTTACTCCTTCTTGATGTTGGTGAAGCGCAGGTAACTATCTAATGTTAATATCAATCATTTTCTTTGGTAGAGAAAGGAAAACTCACGGCTTAACAGTGCGGACTTCACCGAACTTCTTCTCAGCATCCTCGGTGGAGACCGGAGGAGGAACGACAACATCATCACCAGGGAGCCAGTTGATAGGGCAGGTAACACCGTGCTTGTCGGTGGTCTGCAGAGCATCAATGACACGGAGGACCTCAGCGGTGTTACGGCCAGTGGAAGCGGGGTAGGACATGATGAGACGGATCTTCTTGCTGGGGTCGATGATGAAAACGGAGCGGATGGTCAGAGCCATACCCTTGGCGTCGACGTTGGTGGTGTCCTGGTAGTCAACCATGTCGTAGGCGTAGGCGACCTTGCGCTCGGCGTCGGAGATGATGGGGAACTGGAGCTTGGAGCCGGTGACCTCATCAATGTCCTTGATCCAGGCATGGTGAGACTCGACACCGTTGGCGCTGAGACCGATCATCTTGACGCCACGGGCAGTGAACTCGGGCTCGAGCTTGGCGAAAGCACCGAGTTCAGTGGTACAGATGGGGGTGAAGTCATCGGGGTGGGAGAAGAGGACAGTCCAGCTGTCACCGATGAAGTCGTGGAAGGTGATGGGACCGGTAGAGGTCTGAGCATCGAAGTTGGGGGCAACGGAGCCGAGACGGAGGCTGTGGTCGTTAGTATGGCTTCAATGTAGCTGTGAGGGTGAATTGATACTTACGGAGCGCGTTCCTGGGCCATTGTGATTGATTGGGGTGTGTAGAGGAGTTGTAGATGAGTATAGCAAAAGAATAGAGGTTGGTTAATTGTGAAAGATGTCCAGAAGAGAACCTCCGGGGTTATATAGAGGTATACCCCTCCACCCCTCCGGTTACCTCGAGAACCCCTCCGTCAATCACGCCATTGCCCAGGGCTGCCTGTTGATTGGCTGTCACCCCTAGGTTCTGCCCCGCGCTTCCGCCCGCTCTCGCCTGCATCCAACTCCAAATCACATGATGCCCCTCTACTTCTACTTTGACTGCTGCTCTTCTTTTCTCTGGCAGTCGCTGCTTCAATCTCTCCCTCTAAAGACTCTCTTTTTGCTATCTTCATATTCGTTTCCAGTGTGGTTGCATCTACTAATTCTAATCTCTTTCTCACCCGAACTTGTCGGCCGAGCCATCCTTCGCCAGGAATAGTCGGCCGACAATAGACCAATAAAGACGGTTGGCGATGGCGCAATTGCGCCGTGAAAAGGACGAAGAACGACGGACTAAGGCATTAGGATGATCAATTATGCTATTAACTTTTTCTAGCTGCAGTATTACTGTTATGTATCGAGTGATTGGAATCTAATTGTCACGGCAGGTCGAATGCGACTTTTTGGGATGCGCGCAGCTAACTCTGCTGCATGATTTGCTGCAAATAGGTCAGCGACATTTCGTTATGCATATGCACGGCGGAGGACCTACACTAGCAATCTTGCTCTTCGCACGGATCTGAGGCCCCTTCCACGCCAGCGCCCATGGCACGAGCGTCAACAAAATACCCTGCCGTCTGTTAGCAAAAGTCCACAACGAAGAACGATGATTCGTCATACAATTCCTCCCAGCAAACTAGAAGCACCGGGATACGTGAGGTTCGTGAACATGAAATTCGCAACCAACGGAAAGATACCAGCCAGGATGTTTCGACAGAACGACTGCGCGGCAATTGCGGAACTAGCATATCGATGGTATGTGTCGGCGAGATAGTTGAACGTGGCTAGGTAGATGGAAAAGATACCCATGGTGGCACAGCCCAGGGCGAGGGTGGGCACGATCCATGGAACAGATGAGTAGGACGTCCATCCAAACCAGAACAGACCGATTGGCATAAGAATGGACTCGACACAGGTAAAGTAGAGTCTACCTTCTGGTGTATTGGACATCTTGCCCAGTCGCATGGCCAGCTTCTCCTGGTAAATACTCAACATGGTGGCTAGGAGAGCTCCAATGGACACCGCTGCGGATTGTCAGTATGGACGAAACTTGATACAAGCAGGGCCACTCACCGGAGAATACGGCGCCAACCTGTTCCACATTGAAGCCATGGTTGGTCGAAAAGACAAGAGGAATGGAGCTGAAGTTAAGGTACAGGATGGCCCAGCTGAATGCGACCCAAAGGGAGAAGAAGAACACCACCGGTTCGGTGAACAAGAGATCTAGTTTCGTTAGTCACTGACTTCAGGTGGATGCCGGAATTGAACTTACGGAATGGTCGGTAACAAGAGATGGTGACCATTCTGACCAAGGTCTCTCGCTCCTCGTCACTCTTGACCTTCCACCGGATGCGCTGCACCCGTTGCTTTTCGCCTGAATCCTCCGCGGTGAAGACGACACCATAGTAACCCGCTTCCTCAAGCTTGTCATAATACTTGTTGAGAGCCTTGGCCTTGCCACTCAGCAGCACACTACCCCGGGTTTCCTTTAGGAAGGCCAATAGAAGAACCAAAAATATGGCGGAGGCAATGGCTTCGGAGTAGAAAATCCATCGCCAGGAAACGCGCATTTCAATGAAGCCGGAAACCAACGGTCCCAACCCGGTTCCAAATAGCGCGGCTCCGGAGAAGCAAGACATAGGGCCATTGCGATCCTGGGCATGATAGATATCACTAATGACACCACCCACCATGGTCGAGAACGTTGCTAAACCAAGTTAGCCTTGTATGACAATCAACATCAAGAGGTTCCACATACATCCACCAATTCCCAGGAAGAATCTCCCGACCAGCATCCCAGCATAAGAATCCGTAGCACCGCATCCGATCAAGCATACTGCATCCTGTCAGCACATATCAACCAACATTCAAACTCCAACAAACACACCTGTAAAAACCAACCCACTAGCCACAAAAATCGGCCTTCTCCCATTAATCTCCGAAAACGGCGCCAACACCATCGGCGCAATACCAAACCCAAGCGTAAACAACGTAATCCCCACATTATACGCAACCTTACTAACATGCCATTTCGCCGTCAACTCCTCCGACGGCGGCGTATACTCTCCAGCCGCATACGCAGACAATGCCGTAACGCAGCACGAGATCATGGTGATGATCGTCTTGCGCGGCTTCGACCATAGGAACGGCGAGGTGTATTTCTTTAGATTTGGTGGTGAGGGTGGTGGTGATTGGCCGGGTCGCGGGGAGGATGAGATCCCCATGGGGTTTGGGAGTGGGGTTTCGAAGTCGAGGTAGAGGTGTTCGATGTCTTGGTGGGATGCATCTTCGGTGGTGTTGAGGATTTTGTATTCTTTGTTGTTGTTGTTGTTGTTGTTGTTGTTGTTGGTTTCGTGCTTGGAATTGATGTTGTTTTCTAGAGTCATTGTCGTCTCTATCTCTGGAGATGCAGTTCCGATATTTGAATCCAAGGATTGCGATACCCGAGAGTTGTCGTTCATCGTCCGCAGTTCATAAACGTAGCACTCATGAACAGGATATGGAAACGCAAGAGGACAGATTGAGCGAGAAAAGGGATATATACAGTAAATCTTTCAAAGAAAAAAAAAAAAAAAAAAAACACAAGGAATTAGCAATCATAAACTGAAAGATTGAAGACGTGCTATCTCAGCCCTCCCCAAATTGGGGAATTGGAGACGGATAGGAATCCGAAAAGAGAGATCGGGTTCGGGCTCGGCTGCTGGGTAGAACTGGGGAAAAGTTGGGGAAATTATTCAGCATTAATCATTCGAGTCAAGCTTTGGATTGTTTCATGGACTCATTCTGAGTTTTGTTTACTGATTGGATACTCGAGTAGGCTGTTGCTCCCGGGGAAATATGGTTGGTATAGAGGGCTACCGCATCCGGCACAGCTACAAGTACGCAACAAGATCAACAGGAGCTCTCCAATTTGGTGCCGGGTTCCGAAGCTCAGAGCATGGACAAAGATGTTAAGGTTTTGATAATCCTTCAAGGTTCGTCCATGCGCATGCACGGATTTGAAATGTCGGTAGCCTTAAGGCTGATACACGCTGTGCGTTGTACGGAGTTATTGTAGATCATCTAACCGGGCGTTGTCAACGCATCTTCGAATGGAGTACATACATAGCAAAGTCAAACCGAGGGCTAGACCATTCTTCCCGGCTCGATTGGCGAATTGATATTGCAAAGATGGTACAGTTGCTGGAATGCAGCTTTCGGTGCTTTCCCATGGAGGACTCAGTGCGGCCAGCGGTTATATGCAATTCTCGCATAGCAGTCGGTACTTATTGAACATAATATAGCCCGTGATTAACTCGGAGAGTTGAACCAAGCTCTGATGTCTGTCAATCTTGGTTTCTTTCTTTGATTTCGGGGTGTTAGAGCTTGCTTAGAGGTGTCAAATCCGACGGCACGGCCGTGAAGCTCACTGAACGTACACTGAAGAGAATCGAGTAGTGCTCGCTGTTCAATATGAAATGCTTATAGCATTATTTGTACTTGTATATATTTGTTCATGGTCTGCAACGATTACCCAGCACGACTAGCTTGATCTTGGATGTTGTCAATGTCATAGCCTCTGAATATATATCCTGTACGCCAAATCAGGTGAGTGAATGTGCTCCGTAGAATATTAAAGACCAATAGTTCAGTGCTCATAATGCACAGTGCTTCAATATAAGTCCCATATACATCAGTATCCAAATCCCAAGAGAGTTGACTACGGCCATGTACTCCGTATACTCTGTAGACTGCTGTCATCTGAAGTCACGTGCGCTCCACCCGTCGCGTTCAAAACAAAGCTTCAGATTTGCTGGAATCGGCGACGATTTGCCTAGTCCAGGACTCCTGCGTCGCTCTCGCTTTCTCTTTTTCTTTCGCGCGCTTTTCGCTAGCCCTCTTTGCTTTTTTGAAAATTTTTCTTTATTTTTTTTCTACTTTTTCTTGGACGTATCTCGCGATTTCGCCCGTTTTCCCTTCACCATCGTCTCTTCCTCTCCCCGCTCGCTCCCTGTTGACGGGTCAATCAATCCATCGTCTGCGACTGCTTGATTGTTTATTTGCGTTGTATCGATTTGGATAGATTTTTATTGCTTCCGCGCGATTTTTACATATTTTTTTTCCTCGGCCAATTTCAAGCGAAATCAGCAAAATGCCGCCCAAGAAGCGAAAGACTTCTGACTCGCCAGAGGACGATAGGAATGACTTAACGGCGAACCAGGTGAGCCCGCGCTACTATGGGATATGGGGATGAACAGGAGGATAACCTCGCGGTTGTCTTTTTTATTTTTATTTTTATTTTTATTTTTTTTCTTCTTTCTGTTTCTTGGCTTTCCGTGATTCAAGACTACGGCCGCCTAATTCCAATATCGCTTCGGCTAACCCAATCCAGACAACGGCAGCACCCCCAACCGGAGAGAAGAGAAAGAGAGGTCGTCCTCGCAAGTACCCCGAAAGTGCCACTCCCAAACCACCACCAGGACCCAAGCGGGGCCGTGGAAGGCCTCGCAAGGAAGAGTCTGCGAAAGGTCCGTATGCCCTGAGGATCTGAGTGCGGGATTAGATTGGGAACTAACCCGTGATCCTGGAAAAGTGACAGTACCCAAGCCGACGACACCAAAAGAAGGCAAGCGACCTGTTGGACGGCCGCGCAAATACCCATTACCGAACGGAGCAGATCAGCGTGCGACCAAGTCGACGTCGGTAGAAGATAAGGAGGACTCGGAGGATGAGGATGAGGATGATGAGGGCCGGTCATATTGGTTGATGAAGGCTGAGCCGGAGTCACGGCTGGAGAAGGGTGTTGATGTCAAGTTCTCGATTGATGACTTGTGCGCGGCGCAGGAGCCAGAGCCGTGGGATGGTGCGTTTACAATTGCCGTCGAATGAGTTTATTGATATACATCGCTGACATTGCATAGGTATCCGCAACGCTTCCGGTAAGGTGCCTTGAACAATGTATAACGAGTAATTGGCTTACGAGGAATAGCACGAAGACATCTCCGGGATATGAAAAAGGGCGACTTGGCTTTCTTCTACCACTCCAACTGCAAAGTTCCTGGGATTGTCGGCATTATGGAGATTGTCCAAGAGCATTCCCCAGATGGTGCGTTCGAGACACTTCTCCGCACCGCAAGCACGCATACTGACCTAAGTTCCAGAATCCGCATTCGACCCCTCGAACCCCTACTACGACGAGAAATCCACCAAAGAGGACCCCAAATGGGACGTCGTCCACGTCGAGTTCCGACAGAAATTCCCCATCATGATTACTCTCAACGACCTCAAAGCCCAGTTCGCACCCGGCAAACCCCTCGAGAACATGCAAACCCTCAAACAGACCCGGCTCAGCGTATCGTCCGTGACGCGCGCACAATGGAAATTCATCATGAGATTAGCCAAGGAGAAGGAAGGCGCTGGGTTACGGCAGAGTACATCGGGAGATGACGAGGAGAGCGAGGAGTCGAGTGAACAATAGACGAGGACGCAACGCATGGAGCATTCTAGCCGATTCATATTTTGCAGCGACTCACGGGATGAGACTGGGTTATTTTCTTCTTTTTGCTTTTTATTTTTTTTATGGACATGGGTGTAATCGTTTTTTCTTTGTACACAGTCAATGGGGTATCTTACGATTTAGGACAATCAATTCAACAATTCAACTTTTGGAAAGACTCAACTCGGCTGGCAGATGCCTTTGACCATGTAGAGCAGACACCCTATGTCCTGTTCCCTGAAGGCTCCCTACACGTATGGCCCAAGTCCAACCTGCCCTAGCCTTGTATTATCCATCCTTCAGTGCTTATCCAAAACCGTCGCAAAGCCGGTATACTCTCCATAGACCTAGTATAATCGACATCGCATCGTCCTGCCACCCATATCGCAACGGTACATAGCGCACTCAACGAGAACGAACGAGGATCACGGGAGGTGAAGGATTCGAAAGATCGCAGCATCGATGCGGGGTTCTCTGACACCGGCCATGTCACTGTACAAAGATTTGTCTTGAATAAATGCAAGTCTTCTAAGTAGGCGTATCGCTCAATCACACCTGCAGATCAGTAGCACTCATAGTGGTAGTCGAAGTAGTTGTAAACTTGAGGTTGAGAGGAGAGAAAAACCCCAGAAGAGAAGGTCGATGCGACGAGGGGCATCTGGACCGCCGTATCAGCGGATTGAGACTCCATTGGACAGTCCTTCTATTTACCACCAGATAATACTCTGTACCCAGGCAATATTTAATAAACAGGTGAAGAGCCCATGAGTGGGCTTATGTTCTCCAGCGTCCGTCTCTGTGCGCGCAGTTTCCCCTCCTATTCTCATACTCTCTCCGTCCACCCATACAACCGATATCGACTCTTCCACAGCACTCACGCCAGAATGTCGGATCTGATGCTTTCGTTGACGGCTCCTAATGGACGCCAGTATACGCAGCCTACGGGTCTGTTTATTAATAACGAGTTTGTTGCGTCGAAGGATGGGGATAAGTTTGGTACTATTAATCCTGCGTGAGTCCACCTGCTACCTTGGGAAATAAGAATGATGCTAATGGAGACAGTGATGAATCGGAAATTGCTTCCGTCTACGCGGCCGGTGAAGAAGACGTTGATATCGCCGTCAAGGCAGCCCGGAAGGCTCTCAAGGATCCCTCGTGGAAGTCATTGCCCGGCACGGATCGGGGCCGCTTGATGTCGAAGCTGGCTGATCTGGTCGAGGAGCACAAGGAGACACTCGCCACGATCGAGACGTGGGATAATGGTACCCCTTCCACCCTCCTCCTTGAATACCACGGCTAACAAGTCAGGAAAACCATACGGCGAATCCCTCAACGCCGACGTCGGAGAAGTCATCAACACAATCCGCTACTACGCCGGCTGGGCCGACAAAGTCCACGGCCAAACCATCGGCACCTACCCCGAAAAACTAGCCTACACCCTCCGCCAACCCATCGGTGTCGTCGCCCAGATTATCCCCTGGAACTTCCCCCTAGGCATGGCAGCCTGGAAGCTCGGCCCGGCCCTAGCATGCGGCAACACGGTCGTCTTGAAACCCGCTGAGCAGACACCGCTCAGCATCCTCTACTTCGCTACGCTGCTTGAGAAAGCCGGGTTCCCGCCGGGCGTTGTGAACATCCTGAACGGTCGCGGGCGCGTCTGCGGTAGCGCACTTGTCGCCCATCCAGACGTGGACAAGGTCGCTTTCACAGGCTCCACCCAAACAGGCCGCGAGATCATGAAAATGGCCGCAGGCACAATGAAAAACATCACCCTAGAGACAGGCGGCAAATCGCCACTCATCGTCTTCGACGACGCAGACCTCGAACAAGCTGCCAAATGGGCACACTTGGGAATCATGTACAACCAGGGCCAAGTCTGCACCGCGACCTCGCGGGTGCTCGTCCACGACTCTGTCTACGACGACTTCGTCACGCTCTTCAAGCAAGCCATGGCATCCACCAACAAGGTCGGCGATCCCTTTGCCGACGATACCTTCCAGGGCCCCCAGGTAACCCAGGCGCAATACGAGCGCGTGCTCGAGTACATCGAAGCCGGGAAGAAAGAAGGCGCGACACTCGTCGCGGGAGGCGAGCCAGTCAAGAACGTCGCCGGAGGAAAGGGCTTCTTCGTCGCCCCCACCATCTTTACAAACGTGAAAGATAACATGCGCATCTACCGCGAGGAAGTCTTCGGCCCCTTCGTCGTGATTTCCAGCTTCGTTACTGAGGAGGAGGCGCTTGAGCGCGCCAATGATACTTCCTACGGTCTTGGTGCAGCGCTGTTTACCAAGGATATTGCGCGCGCGCACCGTGTCGCGTCTGACATTGAGGCTGGGATGGTTTGGATTAATAGTAGTAATGATAGTGACTTCCGGGTGCCGTTTGGGGGTGTTAAGCAGAGTGGGATTGGACGGGAGCTGGGTGAGGCTGGACTTGAGGCGTATACGCAGACGAAGGCGATTCATGTGAATTTGGGGTCGAGGCTGTAGATTTGCACGGCATGGGTCTTAGGTAGTCATGCAAATGCCATGATACAGCAACATTGAGGATACAAGCAGACCATGTTAACGCTGAGCCAGTATCAAATGAATGAATAAATTGACAACCAAATAACCTAACCATATAACCAAACTTGTAAAGAAATTTATGCATCACACCTGAATCCACAAAAGTGCCACTACCGCGGCCTCGCCATAACCCACTTCGCCCAAATCCAAGCCTGGTCACTATTAATCCTAACCCCATCATCACCCAACTCATCAACCGTCCTCGCTCTCAATTCCCCCGGCGTAATACCCAACCAATTAACCCGACCGTTACCATGTTCATAATCTCGCCCAGGCATCCGAGAATAGTTAACATGCACCAAGCTCACCCGCTGCAAGACAGCCATTTCATACCGCAGGACTGATAGCACGTCTTTCCACCGCCCGTCTAGAAGGTGGACGGTGTGTAGTTTGAATTCACGGAGGTGGTGGCTGTGGCGCCGGATGATGGAGGTGAGGTCTGCTGCGTTTAGAATCCAACTTTCTAGGCTGAGGGTGCGGAGGCGGGGGAATTGAAGGGTTGGCGGGATGACGTGGTCTATGGAGAGGGGTTGGTGGGTGAGAGAGGAGAGGTGGAGGGAGGTTAGGTTTGTGGTGGCGTTGAAGAAGGTATGGAACTGGGTGGACAGGGCTGTTATGTTGGTGTTTGCGTCGGTCATGGGGTCGAAGGTGATGTCTAGACTTGTCAGTCGTGAGGCTATGGCGGATAGTAGCGTGGACGGGACTTGTAGTAGCTTTGTTGTCATCTCGCGAGTGATGGTGTGGGTGTGCGGTGTGTAGAATTGGATCGGTTTGCAGGGGGATTCTGATAGAGCGATGCCCAAGTTGGTGATTGCGCGGGTGCATGCTGTCTCCCAATCTAGGACCACCGTCCCCTCTAGAGGGCCTCCGCGAATGCATTTTTCCAAGTTATTGTCCGTTTTATCCACCAGCCGCAGTAATTTGACCTGCTTCAGCGATGTAAACGAAGCAAACGCGCGTTGTAAAAGCGCCTGGTCACGGTTTGCATTCGTCAAGGAGTTCTGGTCCTCTAAGCGGCCGCGTAACACAGGGATTGGAACACGATATTCATCAAAGCCGACACCGCTCAGGACCTGCGGCCAGCCTATTTAATGTTCATCAGCGCCGTTTCTCTTCACGGGTGTATGCAGGTAGTACCGCTTCCTTGGTAAAATGGTCGCACCATATACGTGAAATGTCGGACATAACAGGCCAGCTGCATATCCAGCAAATGTTCCAACCGCCTGAAACCTTCTTCAGAGAAACGGACAACAAAGCGAGAAAACTTTCGGGGAGTGCCGATTCGCATGAACCGTTTGTTGACGAGTCGGAATCTGTCCAGATCGCTATTGGCCTCCGAGGGCAAGCCCCTAGTAGAGCTTGTGGAGCTGCCCAGAGTGTACATAGTTAAGCCTGGCAAAAAGTCGAACGGCCGTGGCTCTGGTCTCAACAGAAACGAGAGAATTTCGCTGAGCAGTTCATCTGCCAAGTCCTCAATGTGCCGTGGTCTGTCCATTGCTTTCGCGCATTCAGACAATTGCATGTCCTAACTGCCTTGACTGCTCGCAACGACATGGAACCCAAGGACAAGAGACAATAGGGAAATTGACCGCTGATTTGATGTAGGTTGGGTCTTTAGATGTTGAAAAAAAAAAAAAAAAAAAAAAAAAAAAAAAAAAAAAAAAAAAAAAAAGGACAATGTGATGCGGCGAAACAAGATATAAAAGGCTAAGTAGAAAAAAGCAACAAGAACACTAACAAGAAATAACAATGTTCAACAGCAACCAACAAAAGTGACACATCCCCTCCCATCTTCTGCGCCTGCATGTACACTGCATGTCGGTAAGAACCCTCTAGATTCTGAACTAACAGATAGCGCGCTTGCAGTCCGGTTTGCTATGTCTGACAACAAACGGCATTCCGAAGCGTCCCGCCCAGAAAAACCCATACCGTTTGCCATCAAATCCATCCATTGCGCACTGCAGTCATGGTTATACGTGTTCAGGGGCTTCACCGTTATCATAAGCAGAAGAGAATGGTGGATTGGTCGAGAGATGGCGTCTAGAGATCACATGATTGATTTTGCATGCGGGTTATCCAGTGCGAACCTGCAGGAGGTGCCAGGGAAAATGCAGATGTTTCATACTGAATGGACAGCGCGATGGTGGCTGGCAGAGGAGCAGCAAGAACGCGGGATGATAATGCAACGGCAACCACAAGTCAGATAGACGCCAGCTGCAAGTTAACCCCGCTAGCGACGAATTAGAATGGGGGTTCAATTGTTCAATTCGATAGCAGGCAATGATTCGGTGATTTTGCGTTTTGACATCCGCGAATAACATGAAACGCGCCGGCGAGATTGTTGACTATTCAGAACTGGATCGGAATGGCTTCATGGCCAATCATCACCGGTGAAAAGGCCGGAAGGAAGGGATCAACACATTGTCGAGTACTCCGGTACGCCCAGGCGATGTCGAAGGAATAAACAGTGAAAACCCCATTGTGTTGTACCCAACTTCGAAAGGCCGAAAATTCCAATGATTTAATATTCCGATACAAACTACAGGAGAAGGGCCCTCAATTTGTCCCGTTGAAGAGACTGTGTTGGTGATGGATGCACGTCGATGCACCGTCGGCGGCACCGGCCCATTTTGCTTTTTGCACGCAATCATACTGAGATTTCAGGAATCAAGAAGTGCTTTGTTGTCGCACCTACTCGTGTTTGTCGTTCATTTGGTATGAACCAGGATCGAGGCTGCTGATTGCAAGCGAAATCATAAACATAAAGCTCACCGCTGGACCAATCGACTAGTTGTAGAACAAACTACATTGAAGCCATATTCATCCGTCGCCGTCTGATATCCGTACTGCTTAACTTTGATGCGAGACTCTCAGTCTCGGATGCTGGAACCTCACCTGACTGGAGCACATCGACCTCAAACACTTCGAGGCTTTTCCAACCCTTCTTTGTACGCTCGTCATTGACAGCAGTGCCGCCAGACCGAGTCTCTTTTGAGACAATGAGGGCGCTGATACTCTCTTCAGTGATCGTAGGTCCGAACATGTCAGATATCTCCACGAGTTTGAGGACCAAGCTCGGCTGAAGCTTGATTAAAATATATTTTCCATTCGGTCCCGGTTGCGACACTCGTTGGATGCTGGGTGCACTCTTCTCGGTAGGTCTGAAATCGATGATCGCGGACAGGAAAGAGCCGGTACTCTGGCACCGTTCTTCCCAACTTTCAAGAAATTCTGCATATTTCTTGTTCACTAACAACTCCTCCCCCGTCAGTCCCACGGAGAGTAACCTTTCTCTGGTCGAGTCTGCACTCTGAATGGGCTCCAAGGCCAATGCAGTGGCCGTAAGTAACAACTTGTGTCCTAAATGGACGTGGTCGAACGTGCCCCCTACAATAGTTGAATAATGTGCAATAGATGGCTGTTTATCGTCCAATTCCAGAAGCGATCCGGATGGCGTCTTTTCCGGTCCTCCTGGAATCGGATGTAGACTTCCGGCTGCGGAACCCTTGGATTGGGAGTAGATACTACTGAAGGCTGTGACCAAATTTTGACCGCTGACATTATCTGGGTGGAAGATCCAGTCCCATGGCCGGCCAGAGCTTGCCAGCGTATGTAAATCGAGAATAGGGCCATGTCGTGAGTTCCGAGGCGTCTCCTCGGATGTCGAACCAGGAGCGGGGTCGAAGTCCAGAAAGACCACTCGTACATCAACACCACCCGGTAAGTCTAGTGCAATCCCCTGTTCCGTGCAGACAATGCCAATGAGTTTATAGATGTCTGACAGTAAGCGCTGAAGAGACCCAAAGACCCGCGTCCGGGGCAAACAGGTCGGAGAAAGCAGACCGGGTACGCAGAGCGCAACGTCCAGTATTGCAGTCTGATTGACACTTTTGAGGCTTCGAGGGAGCTTGGAGCATGCCGCAGAAATAGAAGGTCTATATGCCTCCTGGAGTTGTTTAAATGAAGCCGAAGGCGGGGGAGGGAGCAGCAACAGGGCGGAAGGAGGGCTGATGCGATCAAGATCCATGTTGGCGATAGTGTACTGTGAGACTAGCACAGTGCAGATGCAATAGAATAGTCAGACACAAGCAAATCCAAATAAAATAGAAGTCGAAGTTGAGAGAGAAGGAGAAAGAGACGTCGAGGTCGTCTTGGAGAACAGAGTGCTGACTCAGCGGCACATGACGGTCGCTCTGGATAGCCTCGTCTCCAGCCCGTGTCGTCTCTCTCTTGCCCGATGCCATTCGGATCCTCACAGGCATCGCTGTCTCTTACGCGCGCTGCACAATGCTCTGGTGAGCCGCTCGTTTTTATCCAGGGCATGAACCATTCCCCCCCCCCTGCCAGCAACTAGGATTGTGGTGCGAATCCGAGTCTCCAGTGAGTGCCCGTATGCGAAGGGCCCTGGGAATCCCACCGTCTCCCTCTACAGGACCAACAACTGGACCAACATAAGGAGAACTGTGAGCTATTTCAAAGAACTACTACTCGGCAGTTGATTCTGCTTGAACGCTTTCATACAGTTCCCCCGGTTCTCAGTTCCACATACGATGTCCAACCCCGCGCAGCCCTTCGAGTCTTCCCGACGAACAAGCACCATCGGGCGCCAGCCAGAAGAGCTTCATATTCCATCGTCATCAGGTATGGCGAATGCAAATTTCAACCGGCAGTCAATGGTCCTCGATTTCCACCCGCCCCCCGATCCGGCTTCCAACAACCACGTGCCTTCGATCAATGTCCACCAACCCTCGAATGCTCAGTATGGCGGAGCGAACACCGGCAGCGCTGGCACTGCCCCAGTACCGGGAGCGCTCCAGCCAGGGAATATGAACCGACCTCCAGCAATGTCAATGAACACAGCGCCGTCCGTACTACCCACGTTACCCCAGTTGTCGACGCAGTTCCCGCCGCAGCAACAACAACAGCAGCAGCAGCAGCAACCTACCACCCCTCGCTCGAGCATCAGCATGTCGAACCCCCATAGCTATTCCAGGTCCAGCCCGTCGAATTTCGACCAATCTAGATACAGGCAGCATGCGACATCAGACCCGTCCAAATACGCATCGCCTCCGGGACCCGGGTACCCACCGCAGACGCCGCAGGGACCGAAATACTCCCCTCTGGGGCTAGCTGACATTCGACCTCCACCAGAGCTATTCGGGGACCATATTACAAGCCCAGGCGGGAACCAATTCAATGGAGGAGACGCTCAGGTGCCAACAAACAGCAACTATATAGCACCCTGGCCTATCTACGCGGTGGATTGGTGTAAATGGCCGCTCTCCGGCTCAAACTATTTTGGGGGCAAGATTGCACTGGGAAGCTATCTGGAAGACAACCACAATTATGTATGTTATTGCTGATTGTTTCTTTCATCCCATCCACTGACCAAGATATAGATACAAATTGTCGACACGCACTGGACACAGCCAGACCCAGATACACCCGATGCCCTAAATGGGGAAATCAAACTGGAGTATACGAAGACGGCAGAAGCTATGCATTCATACCCGGTTACGCGAATCCTCTGGGAGCCCCCTTCGTCACAGAAGCAAACGACCGATTTGCTAGCAACGTCAGGAGACCACCTACGCTTGTGGTCGCTACCCTCACCGCAGTCATTGCATACAAACTCGATCACGCGGTCCGCCAATCAACGGGATCTTCCCACGGCAAAACTGTCACCGTTGGCATTGCTGTCGAATTCGAAGTCCCCCGAGCATACTGCACCGATTACGTCTCTCGACTGGAATACCATTTCCCCGAGTTTGATAATCACGTCCAGCATTGACACGACCTGTACCATTTGGGATATCCCCACACTCACAGCAAAGACACAATTGATTGCACATGACAAAGAGGTGTACGATGTTCGGTTCTGTGCCAACAGCGTTGACGTGTTTGTCAGCTGCGGAGCCGATGGTAGCGTGCGCATGTTCGATCTGCGTAGTCTCGAGCATAGTACTATCATCTACGAACCAACAGAGAAGAATGAAAAGGGTAAGCTTTATGACATTTTCCCAACTGAGTGAATGCACCACCGCTGACCTGTATAGTCGCGAGTCCTGGAAATGGCAGTCCGTCGGCGCCTCATAACCCCCCACCATTGCTGCGTATTGCAGGTAAGACTCGATTATCGACGTGAAATTGCAGAATAGCCTAACTAATGGATGAAGCCTCTCCTCATGACTCCCATCTTCTTGCCACCTTTTCTCAAGACTCCAACATCGTTCGCGTATTGGACGTACGACAACCGGGTCAAGCTCTTCTAGAGCTCAAGGGTCACTCATCACCCCTCAACTGCGTTGAATGGTCACCCAACCGCCGCGGAGTGCTGGCATCCGGGGCGGATGACTCTATGGTTCTACTCTGGGACCTAATCAACCAACACAACGCTGCACCCGTGCCCACCACAAACCCCACCCCTATCCCCGCACCCAACCCCAACCAGCGGGCACCGGCTACCACCACCGAACGGGGTCCAGCCGCAGCATTTCAGTGTGATTATGAGATCTCAAACATCAGCTGGTCACCCCAGGGCGGGACTACCGGTTCTGGCCATCCGCGCGATTGGCTGGGTGTTTGTGGTGGGAGAGGGATTTGGGGTGTTGGACTTTAATCTTTTCTTATTTTCTTTATGGTTGCAAATGGGTCATTTTCTTGTCTTGAAAACTTGGGTTCTTTTTCATCTTTTCTATCTCTGTTCTCTTGTTTATTCTCCTATGGGTATGATCATGCAAAGCTGGCCATGAATGAATGATTGATGTATAAAGCCTGAATGCATATCTTTTTTCTTTTTAGTTAGAAATAGACAAAACAACTTGGCTTTGAATTACCAAGATACAAGCTTTATAGGATACATGTGACAGTTAACAACATCGGATGAACAACTTGAATCTCCACCACATACTATCATACCTTGAAATACCAAAGACCTCCTACTCATCTCACCAATACTTTACATGGCGTGTTCAAAGGAAGAACATCACCCATCCACACCCTCAACCAACCCAAGCCAAAAACTCTCGTCTCCCCCCTGAAAACATAATATACCGATACCCTATACTCCTGGCAATCAAAGCCCTCAAATCCATCCGCCCAAGGAAAGGCAGCGTCCTCATGCTAACAGACCGACTATGCGTCAAGATCCCGAGTCCATTCCTCCGAAGCATCCACCATGCGCTTTATAGCGCAGAATACATCGATCCCAGTCCCTAGGGTTTATTGCGCATTTACACATAAGGATTGCACGTATACAGTGATGGAGAGAATCCAGGGGGATAAAATGGGTGCTGGATGGGTGAGACGGAGCGAAGAGTCGAAGTTTAAGCTGCTTTCACAATTGAGGATGATTATACGGGAGATGCGAGGGCTCTAGTGCCTAGAAGGTATAGGGGTTGCTTCTGTGGATGGAGGATCGCTGTTTGATTGTCGTGTGGCAGGTCTGTTTTTACGATTTGGGCCGTTTCGCAGCATTAGTGGCTTTCATTTACATTTACGGGAAGGCATGCGGTTTGATCCTAGGCTTGGTTCGGAAGTCCAGGATTTGATTAAACGGCATGGCAGGTATTGGCCTATTGTGTTTACGCATGGTAATCTTAGTAGACTTAATATTTTGGTGCGGGGGGATGAGGTTGTTGGGATTGTTGACTGGGAGACTGCTGGGTGGTATCCGGAATACTGGGAATATACTACGGCTTGTCAGGTTAATCCGCAGAATTCGTTTTGGATTAGTGAGATTCATAGGTTTCTTGATCCTATGCCTGAAGAGTTGGCGATGGATCGCATCCGACAGAAGTATTTTGGAGATATCACATTTTAACAAGCTATACCAAGTTTGAACCCGAATCATTTCCAGAATGAACGGTCTAGTTATACGCAGCGACACAGTAAGCTAGGAATTCAATGGACATGCAAATCCCGCTCTTCCTCCGAGCTCTTAGTGATAACCTTATCCTCCAACCAGCGAGCAAACTTAACACTAGGAACATCGACAGCGCGCCAATAAATATCACCCAACCAAATAGCCAAAGGAAGACAGATAGCCCATCCAATTAAGAACCCAAAACAATACTGGAAGTTCGTCTCCTTGCCGACAACGCTCCAGATGTTGGGCATGAGCGAGTATCCAAGAGAATGAAGAATGGGCCCGTGCACGACATAGAACGCAAAGGAGATCTTGCCTAGATATTGTGAGAGGGGGTGGTTGAATAGTTTCTGAATGTCGGGGGAGCGATTGATGCCCAGGACAATCAAGACGGCACCGATCGTCTGCGGAAAACGGTGCGGCTCTGGGTATGTCCGTGGGGTGAGGTCCCAAAGCCACATGTAGAAGGGGGTCCATTTGAAACCGATGTTGGGGCAGGAGCCGAAGTAGAGGCCTGCGACGAAGACGCCAATCCAGAATCTGCGTCTTGAGGGGCGGAGCTGGAGGGGTAGCCATTCGGGGCCCATCTTTGCAGATGATGACAGTGGCGACCTTGGACGCTCCCAAGTGCCGTTGATCAGATCGGTCTCTGCCAACAGGTTCCCAGAGAAGAAGAGCACAACATCCCAACGGCCGTAGCGCATGCAAAACCATACCAAACCGGCCACCACAGACATGCGCATTGGTGTGCGAAGACGCGAAGTACCGAGAATTGTGAGAAAGAGAACGACTGAGCAGCGGAACTCAACGGGGATGGTCCAGAGATGGGGGTTGTAGTAGTTGTAATACAGGGACCAGTTGAACAAATCCATGAGGTTTGCCAGCGTCAGGTAATAATCCCAGTACTGATTATAGAAATACTTGTAGATAGGCGGGTGCTGTTCGTTGGTTCCTTGAATAGTGTGGCCATGATTGATCACCCGGTGCGAATAGTCGTACACGCCTGCGCGCACGGCCAACATGACCAGAGTGATGCCCACGAACGAGGGAATATAGAGCCGAAACGCACGACGGAAAGTAGACGAGGCGAGCGTGGTAAAGGTCTGCTCCCACGAGCGACTTCGGATCATTTTCAACGGCTTATAGGAGAGTACGTAGCCAGAAAGAACGAAGAAGATCGCGACCATGATATGGCCTGAGACCGCCATATGAAGGACGGGTAGCTGCCAGAGTGCATAGTTCTCGCCATTGAATCCCCAACCGACCGCGACCTTCCAGGTATAGGTGAAGAGGAAATGGAAATTGAAAACAAGTAGAGAGGCCCAACCGCGCAGACCGTCGAGCGCTGCGATTGAATGCTGTTTTGCGGGCGAAGATGGCTGGCCGTCTACATAGTGCTGTAGAAAGCTGGGCGTGAGAGCGACTCCCAATTTGGTGAGCGTGAGATCAATAGAATCGGCCCAGTCATCTGCAAAGTGTTTGCCCTGCTTGGAGTGTCCGTGTTCGGCAGGATGCGAATGCGGGTAGGGACTGCTATTCGGTTCGAGAGTATGGAGGGGAATCTCAACGGTCGGAGAGGGAGATCGACGATGGTCCTTATCGTGCGACATGTTCAAGCAGAGGTTATTCACGTCGATGGAGAGGAGGAGAGCAGGTCATTTATTCTCGAGGTACACAGAGGGGGGCCCTCAAACGGTTGCCATCCGCCACGAGGGGCTCTTGGTCGAGTATGTCCGGATGCGACAGTCGCACACGATTTGCACAAGTCGAGTCTAACGATAGCTGTAACCCTGTTCAGACGGAGGATTGGAGAGCTATGAAGGGCATTCTATCAATTCCATGTGGTAAGTTAGTCGTGCTTTGTACGGAGTATACTCCGCAATGACGCGGCGTCATCACATACCTGACACATGTAGGAGCACGGGATTTAGAGTAGTAGATGTTGTGCAGATAGAGGGGGATATTAAGATAATAAATAGCAAGTGAGGACAAGAGCAGATAGTGAATACTCTGGTATAGCGAAGTGTGAAGAAGACCGTTGAGGATGATACAACCCGAAGCTAAAATGAGTGCAGGTCACGGGACCGGGAATAGCTTCATCTTTTCTCTTTCCGGCAGAGCTTCGCCGTCTGCCATTCGCCCGCCCTCGTCGCTTTGTCGCTGCGCTTGTCGAACTGCTTATTCTCGATGTCGTGAATTGTTTCCTGTGTTTTCTTCCTCTTCCAATTCTCTTCTCGTACGTTCTCTTCTCGTGTCTACTTCTCACTGCCTCGGACAACACCCCGAGTCTACTGCAATACAATAGCGCCATGGATTTGCGCAGCATCATCAACACCGAAAGCGCTTCCAATTCCGACTCCTCTTCCGCTGAGAATCGTCCTCCCGCACATGAGCGACCGTCGTTCGCTGCTCCTGCGCCTCCCGCGACTCCCTATGCGCCCTCTTCGCGTGATTCATTTGCGGCATCTGCGCCTTACAACCATCCTCAACCCCATCACCAACCGGTCGAACCATTGAGCTCTCCCTATACACCGCACTCTGCCAGTGCTGGGGTCCAACAGCACTCACCGCAACAATCGTTCGCGCCGAAGCGGTCTCAATCCATTCAATCTGTCCTTTCCTCCGACCCTGCTCCCAGCTACCCATACCACCCCAAAGATCACTCTCCCGTCGCCGCGCCACAGCCCTTGCCATCGCAGCAATTTTCGCCTCGCGCTCAAGGATCGTTGCCAGGAACACCTCTTGGTCCGCCTCCAGCGTTTGCGCGCAGTTCTCCCTCCTCCGTGCGCCCCCAGTCATCCGGCCACGAGTCCCAACCAGGCCAACCCCCCAGTTCTTGGATCCGGCAAGACTCCGCTCATAGTCACGATCAAAAGCCACACGTATCCCCTTCTACGCAATCGCGACCTTCCTGGCAGGATTCGAAACCTGTGGAACAGACCCCGCGACACCATTCAACCGCGTCGGAGAAGGAGCACGAGGAGACTGTGAGCCCGAGGACCGTCGGCACCCCGCGTACTCGCCAAGGAAGCTCTATAGGACCTGCGGACCAGGCTGCTACGCTGTCTGCACGGAGTCATAGTCACAGCGAAGAGCAAGGTTGGAAACAGAGTCCTACAAGGTCCTTATCCCACTCTTCGCAGCAGCAATCGCAACAATACCAACAACCACTCGTGGGACTGGAGGACAAGGGTCAGTCATTGCCATCACAAATGGACACCACGCCTGATATGACAGCAAGTCCCAGTTCGCAGCCGCCCCAGCGTAAGAGGAGACGCTTCAATGAACCGCCTATCTATGCGCAAAAGTCCCGCCACGCCCGCGGAACAGGCCCTGTCATCAAGAACCCACTCCCACCGATTCCGAAACACATGCGAAATTCACCATCTAACCCGTGGTCTGCACGCGCTCGGTCATCCGCTGCTAGCGTCTCAGGTGGCTCAGTGCGTGCATCGTCGCAAGGACCGCTCAAGGCCCATGCTGATGAAGCTGCTCCTGCCAATGGCCCCCCGGTACAAGCTGCTCCTGCTCCTCCGGTTGACCCTGTTACCCCTGCTGCTCCCGTTGCCCCTGCTGCTCCTGTTGCCCCTGCTGCTCCTGTTGCCCCTGCTGCTCCTGTTGCCCCTGTCCCACAACAACCGCAGCCTGGATCTCTTGGAGCGTGGGAACCGTCCGTCACGGGGTACATTCCGCATGAAGACATGACCAAATTGGTGTGCGATTTCTTGTTCCAGCATGTCGTTCTTCGAAATGATGTCGGTGCAGGTCCAGCAGGCTCAAGCGCTACTGGCCAAGGAGCTATCATTGAGGTAGAGGCCAAATTGGGAAAGCACATCGATCAGGATCGAAGAGAGAGATTACATCTACCAGTGATGACGGAAACTGTTCTTAACAAAGAGAATTCGCGTTTCCGGACGTCGTTTGAAAGCTCAATGAGTTTGGTGAGTACCTTCCAGAGGGAGCTATCTTGCATTTGCATCCACTAACGGTCCGCAGGCACAACACCGCGCAATGAACAACTTCCTCAACGACATCGTCAAAGCCGCCATGCCCAACAACAACCCCGGCCGCATCCCCCTCTCCTACGCCCACACAAAAGAACGCGATACCTTCTACGAAGTCCCCCCATCCGAGCTCCCCCCGATGATCAGACAAAACCTGAACCCGCGCCACAAGCCCCGAGTCCGAGTAACCACCGACCAAAGAACCGGCGAAATCCTAGCCAAGATCGTCAAAGTCCGAATCGCAGATCTAAACGTCCTCAGCCCCCGGACATGTGTCGACTACCGGATCAGTGTGAACCTGGAAATGAACTTTGACGGCGACGTCAGCCATCTCCCTGTTGTTGATATGAACTCGGATGGCGGCAAGGCGCGGGATCGGAATAAGGACCGTATGAGCTATCGGCACTTGGCGTACCAGGTCGATCTTACGCAGGTTGCCAAAGAGGTATTTTTTTTGCCCCGGAGACGCATAATATGGAATCTAGTACTGACACGTTTGCACTAGTCCGTGAAAAACGAATTCGACCACGAACTCGAAGTCGAAATCTCTGCCGACGAAATCCGCCGCCAGGGACAACTAGCTATGGCCGGGGATCCCACGAACCAGTACGAAGATCTTGTTAAAGGATTCCTGGATAATATACGGGTGTTGGCCAGAGCCATACCGCTGCAATAATGTTCCGTCTTTTCTTCCTTTTTGTTAAACCATTGCAGGCGTCTTATACAACGTTACGTTTTCTCTGTTCATGCATTATAGCCATCGAGTTGTTATGGGATTATCATGGGTGGCCTGTCTGAGTTTTTTTTTTACGTCTCCGTTTATCTTAGGCTCTTCTTACGTTCTGTATGTGAACTTTCCTGTACTCTGTACTACGATCATATCCTACGCTTCATGTTATCTGAATTGTATCATCTCCTATTACAATATCCTCGTCTTCTTAGTTCCAAACAAATTAGCTGCTTGCGAAAGGGAGTGGATCGTAACCGTTGATGACCAAGAGTTAACTTTTTAGCGTTATGTGCCTGTCTACCACATTGCAATTCCAGAAATAGTCCATGGCAAAAATAAAAGAAAATAAAATACATATTCTTATCTGCCTCCTTTGAAAATAGAACACTATGCATATACCCAGTAATGATAATAGAACATGAATGACCCCCTATATCTCCAACAATTAAGGACTAGGCGACTCATCATACCGCGGCCCGCCATCATCCCCATCACCGTACGCCCCCGGAGTAGCAGCCGCGCCGCCAGGCGTTGGCGCATTAAACGCACCCGGCGTCGGCGCACTATCAGCCCATCCTCCAGGCGTAGGCGCTCCCGGGGTCGGCGCGGCATAAGCACCAGGCGTGGGAGCAGCGTACGCACTGGGTGTTGGCGCATCGTAGCTCCGTGAGTCCTTGCTGCTACTGCCTGCCATGCCGCCGGCGGACCAGGCGGGTGTGCGGTTTCCTGCGTTTGCGTTTGCGCTTGCACCTGCGCCGCCCCAGGCTGGTGTTCGGGATCCAGATGCGAAGGCGTCGAAGTCGCTCATGCCGGAGCTGCCGCCATATGGTGTGCGAGCGCCTGCGTTCCAGGCTGGGGTGCGTCCGCCGCCACCACCACCGAATCCGCCGTAGGCTGTGCGGTTGCCGTCGTATGGGTTCGATGTGCGAGAGCCGTCCATTTTCCAGGCGGGGGTGCGAGAACCACCGCCACCACCACCGAGACCGCCCCAGGCGGGTGCTGAAGAGTGTTAGCATATGGAAATAATCTGTGCCAGCTCGTTGGTACTTACTCCGTGCAGACGAAGGACCTCCCCATGCAGGTGTCCTGGAAGAGTCGGCAGCTGCCATAGGAGTACGTCCGCCGCTCCAGCTCGACGGTGGTGCAGCAGAGGCACCATTCGGAACACGCGGACCACCTCTTCCACGGGAGACATCGACAGTTTGTCCAGTAACAGGGCTGTGAAATGTTAACGAGAGGAAACAACAAGCATCGAAAAGAGGCTACATACTCCTTGACAACAAGCAACTCCTTTGGTATCGTCACCAGCTTACTCTTCGAATGCAGTTCAACACGAGCTTGCACATCCGTGGAATCCTTGACGATACCAACAAGGCCCTTGAAGGGACCCTTTCGGACCAACACGGTCTTTCCGAGCATACGATCGCGACCAAAGCTCTTGGGCGGAGGCATTCCGGGGCCACCACCACCAGCACCACGACCTATACCATTCCCCATCAAAGCCGGGTTCATCTTGGTCAAATCAGGACCAGTAGATCTGCCACCCTTTGCTGACACAGTGAGGATATTCGTTGTGCGCACAACGATAATTCCTGCATTTTCGGCCTGCGCCTTGTTGTGCAAAAATAGGAACGAACGGTGGATGTGAAGGATGACGCCATTTCTCTGTTCTCCATACATTTCGCGGACCGTATCACCGTGTCGAATCTCGGCGCCATTGCGGTCTGTTGCCACTGCGTCCCGACGAGGAGTGATCTTATTTGCGACCTGGGTGGGCAGGACAGTCCGAATCGAGCCGTTTTGGTCCAGACATTTTAGTGACTCGCGGTCGACCTTGACAACACAAGCAACCATGGCGGCACTAAATTGTAAATTAGCATCTAGATTGTAGGGTAAATCGGGACGGATGAACTTACTCTAGTTGGACGAGATCATGGACATCGAACATTCCAAGCTTCCCGTCAACACCAGTCTCGGTAGAAAGTCGAAGATCTTTACTGAAGACCGTGATTTCTTGCATGCTCATATCACTGAGCAAGGTCACCGTGTCATCCTTAACCTGTACTACCATACCAAGTTCATCTTGGTATCTGCTGCCGCCAATGACCTTGACATGGTCACCTTCTCTGAAGCGCTTCCGAAGAGATTTGACGGGTGCATCGATCAATTGCCCTTCCAGAACTCCTTCGGTTACTTGAATGGTGACGATATCACCCCTTGTCGAACTGGTACGGCCAACCAATCCTTGCTGTTCACCCTTGAAAACTTCCACAGGATCACCTGGAAGGTATGAATCCTCAGCAGTAGAGTTCTTGAGTGTCTCGGCGAGAGAAGCAAGATCCAGATTCGACGTGCCGTCCTCAGAGCCACGAGCAAACATGGTAACCTCCTCGAGGCGTGGGTTGACATTCTTTGTGATAAGATGCTGCACCTTCATGTCCTTGATCAGGAAACCGTCGATGTAGGTTTCGGCAAGGTAGTTCCACGACTTTCCACCCAGACCCGACGTAGCGGACAGGTACTTGCCATGCTTCTTCTTGGCTTCTGCTTCACTGAACAAACGCTGCGGTGGCCGTGCGGCTGCCGGATTCATACCAGGGCGCTTCCTCTTTGGGTCGACTACAGGAGCACTGGTGTCTTCGTTCAAACCGTAATCTAAACGTGGAACCAGCCTAACCGTGACTTCGAGGCCATTTGTCTCCACCTCCTCAATTTGGGCCAGATCATTCATGTACTTCCCGCGCTTAATACGAACCCATCCGCCAGGGACGAGTTCTTCCGACTTCTGAACTCGAAGAAGGTCGGGCATTTCCTTCACGGGGACCAAGATGACCTTCGATCTGGGGTAGACATTTGTCATGTCTTGCAGCGCTTCCATAACATCCGCCTGTCTGCGTGCTTCGCAGTAGATATAACCACTCATAGCACCTCCACGCTCAAACGCGGAGATAATTTTGACGGGTTTCCTCGAGCCTGGGGGTCTCTCTTCGATGCGCTTCTGAATGGCGAACACAACTTCCCGTTCCTTGCCGGGCTTGCAACGCACACCCCAGATGCTAGGATCGTCGACACTGGGAAGAAGTAGTCGCTTGGGAACAACGACGGAATCAGTCGCAGCAGCGCGGTTCCGACCATAACGTTCCTTAAGCATCTGAGCCTGCTTCTCCGCATCCATACTCGCTTCGAGTTCACGCTGACGGTCGAGTTGTCGGTGTCGGCGGTCGTCCGTTTCTGCGCCCATAGGCAAAGCATCCATATCGTCCGGGTGCATCTCGCCTCCAAATTCGCCCATTTCGTCTTCCTCCTCATCGCCTTCTTCTTCCTCTTCATCGACGCCGGCCTCTTCTTCAATGAAGTTGTGCACACCTCCTCTCCTTCTTCGCTTCCGGGGACGACTCTGCATGAAGGAATGCCAGGTCAGCTTCAATTGCGGCTAACGGGGAGAGGTCAAAGAACTCACCGAAACAGCTTCCTCATCGTCGTCGTCTTCCTCTTCCTCTTCTTCGTCCTCCTCTTCCTCATCCTGCTCCTCGCCACCCTCCTCTTCATCCTCCTCTTCTTCAGCGTCGCCCTCTTCTTTTACATTGGTGCTCGCTCGCGCGTGAGAGGCACCTCGGGGGTTGACGTCTTCCTCTTCCTCTTCTTCTTCATCGCCCTGTGCCTGACCTGGTGTCAGTTTATCCATAACCCAGCACAATTTCTTCTTTCACCATCTGGGCTCCACACACCTTTACCTGTTCCCCCTCATCGTCGGATTCCTTTGCAGGCACAGGATTGAAGTCATCATCGTCATCCTCCTCCTCAGAGCCGAAATCCTGGTTCATAAAGTTGCGTGACATATTGGCTCGAAGGTAGGTATCGGGGTTGTGACGGAGGAATTGAATTTGTAAGAGTTCGGTGGAGAGTAACTTTTAAGGACACGCGTAGGATCGATCTAACTGTGAGGATACCTAGCAAAGACAAGACCAGTGTTAGATGCGATCGAAGACTCAAGTCGATGTTCACGGCGGAAGTACGAGTAGGAGGATCAAAATGAATTTTCCCAGTGCCGTAAGAAGACGCGAAAGAGGATCGAGCTCCAGTACATACCTGATGATTATCAATTTAATCCGAAAAGGGATGCAGAAGTCCGAATAGCAAATCAACCAGACAGACAGCCGGACGGTTCCTCGGCGAGAGTCTGCGACCGCGACAGCGCCTCAATCTGAACTCCACGAGACAGTCGAATGAGCTGAACAGAGCGATAAACGAGAGATCCTTCTCGCACAGAAGACACCAATATATAGATTCCGCGTGTCGTCCCAAACAGCGGCAAATGAGAAGAAGGAGGTTGTTCTCTTCGCGAATTTGAGGCTCTGGTCGGAGCTGTAAAGGGACTGCGCATGTGGAGTGAATGCCCACCCGGAGTCGACCTTCACTACACGCATACAGACCTACAACTGGAACGCTTCAAGCCATTGCTCTAACTCCCATTATGAACTCATATCTGATATAGCATTGCTTCGCTCATTGCCCTAATCCGCTGGGTGAAATCAGGGAAGACAAATGTCTACATAAACAGGGCCGTTCACAACAAATGATAAGGTCGTCTTGGACGACGAGGTAGATTATTCGGACCAGGTGCAGTCATTTTGACAGAGGAGAAATTGCAATGTCATCGTGTTCTGAGATCGAGCCATGATCAAGATTCATCACACCAACTGCACAAAGGCGTGGTTAAATACCAGCCTGCAAGGCGAATTCACTGGTGGATTTCAAACGCAAGTCCCGATTACTGGGCGTATACAACTGAGCCCCAATTCTTCTGCAAGTCACCATCCCTCCAGGAGACTACGCGAGACAGTCCAAAGACACCAATTCGAGCTATCTTCGGTCCGCAGAGGCACGGCCAACGAAGAACCAAGATGGGCAGCAGCGCATCGCATTTTATCCAGAAAGCGCTTCGATCTACAATGGCCAGTTTCTCATGCCAGACAATACAGCGGAAAGGCGATCATGTGATCGTCACAAATCATGCTAGGGCAAGCATAACCTACTGGGCGGGCTGTATATCACACCAGAATGGAGTGACAAAGACCAGAAAGCCTGGGTCGACTTGGCAGTACCTTCCGTCAAGTGAATTATAAAGTGCGCGAGAGGGCGAACGATTATTAGAGCACATCCACTGCTTCTCTACACCTGACTCAGCCGCGTTCTATGAGGTATCCTACAAGGAAACCAGACCTGGTGAAGTCCAAATGACCGTGGAAACCCATTGACTCACTCTATAGTGAAAATGGACAGTCACGACACGGAGCATATCTTGGAGCTTCAACTAATTCCAATGTTCTACCAACACGCCACGATGGGGGATCTGATCTCTGGGAAACCGACCACATTCAGCCTCTAACACTAGATTTTAACGGCAAAGTCGACGTAAAAGAAGCTTACGATTTGATATAGATAGATCAGCGTCCTCACTGCGCAGATTATCACGATCTCATGAGGTTGACTGACCCTAAGACTGTCATCTCAGTTGTGCTGCCGTGCTTCGCTTCACCGCGGACATACTAAATTACCTGAAGAGCGCGGACTAACTCAGCGTTTACCGTCATCAATGAATAAAATTGCTAACTAAGCCATCTGAAACATAAATTCCCACTAATCGCCAGGGGGCGAGCCCACGGACGAGATCGCTTAGCCTGAAGCTGGAAGCTGTGTGGAAGGTGCTTGGTTCTCGCAAGAACACGGTGAATTCTTTTCTTGGAATGTTCAGGTTCCAACTGGCCATGCTTATTTATCTGGATGTTGCAAGGGTTTGTTTGCTTGCAGAAGTGCGTAAAGGGCAAAAGAGGCGTTGCCTTCAAAACGAGGTGAAGAAAAAACATGTAGCATAATAGAGCTATTATACATAAAAGACATCCAAATTATAAGCAAAGAAATTATCATCATGGTATATTCAACCCCCAATAAATCAAACAAAGAGCAGCATTACAGCTTCATCCCAAACATCTTATGCACCCTCAAACTCTGCCTCATACTCAAATCCAACATAATCTCCTCACTCCCACCCGGAATAGCATAAGCCCTAACATCCCGATACAACCGCTCAATCTTCCCCCCCTGCCCACCACGACTATAACTCAACCCCCCAAAGATCTGACTCGCCTCACGCGCACAGTACTCGAACGTCGTAGTCGACTGCGCCTTAAGACTAGCAATCGCACCGCCGAGTTTCAGCATGGCTTCTGTTTCTTCCATGTACTGGCATTGGTAGATGATGTTCTCGAGCCAGTTGTAGCTGGCTTCGATTTGGCGGGCCATGTGTGCGAGTTTTAGGCGGATGACGGGGTGGTCGATGAGCCGCTTGCCGAAGGTTTTGCGCTTGTGAGCGTATTTGACGGATTCTTCGTAGCAGACGCGGGCGAAGCGGACGCATTGGATTACGATGCCGATGCGTTCGTGGTTGAAGTTGGTCATGATTACTGGCAGGTGTTAGTGGGATTCGCGATTGTAAATATGGGGTAGGGTGATGCTTACCCTTGAATCCCTGGTTCTCCTTTCCGAGGACATTCTCCACGGGCACCTTAACGTCTTCAAAGGTGACATACGTGGTGCCACTGCTCCAGACACCCTGGCAGTCCATGCGTCTGGTGCTGACACCGCCACTCTCTCTCTCAATCAGAAGCAGACTGAGGCCGTTCATACCAGGCCCGCCGGTACGAACCGCGGTAGTGAAGTAATCACACCAGTGTCCGTTGGTAATCCACTTCTTCTCACCGTTGACAATGTAGTGCTTGCCATCAGGTGTAAGCTTAGCCTCGCACCCAAGACTGGCAACGTCACTACCAGCATCCGGCTCAGTAATGGCAAGACAGATACGCTTATCACCAGCAATAATACCAGGCAAGATCCTGTCAACAAGTCCCTTCTTGCCGAACTTGACCAGCGGCGGGCACCCGATACCATAACCACCGAGCAAGTTCCAGACCAGACCACCGCTACCCGCGCGCGACAGCTCGTCGGTCAAGAGCATCTCGTGGAAGTGATCCCAGCGCTCTGGGGGCACGGACTTAACTCTGTATGGGGTATGGTCGACAGGGTACTTGATACCAAGCAGACCTCCCAGGTAGCCGCGTTCACCCATCTGCTTGTAGATCTTGTGGGGCACTTCCTTGCCCTCGTCCCATTCGGTAACATAGGGTTCGATTTCGGACTCGACCCATTCGCGGATTTCAGCGCGGAGGGCTTCGTGGGTCTCATTGAAGTAGGGAGAGTGGTACTGGACACATTAGTCCAAGGCCCTCGGACAGATATCCTAATCTGAAGACTTACACCATGGTACCAAGCAGGATCCGCAAACGGCACAAGATCACCATACGGATCATGTGGCTGCGAAGGCACAGACGAAGCCACAGCCGTGGAAGCAGCAGGTGCAGGCGCAGGCTTAGGCTTGGGAGCCTCCTTGGCCGGAGCAGGCGCCGGTGGTGCGGGTTCAGCCTTCTTGGTGTTCAGCGATCCGACCTGCAGCTTGCCCTTGTACTTCTTCAAGACTCCTTCGTTGTGGTATTTCCAGAACTGCTTCGAGGCATCTTTTCCGGCGACTCGGGAGAGGACTAGACTGAGTTAATACTCAGTGTATGCGAGAGGTCATCGTAAGGATTGCTTACTCTTCTTTCCACCTGTAATCATACGCCATCAGCATCGGGCCAAGTTGGAAGTTCCCCGCGAATGTAAGACATACCTGGGTGCTCCTCCTGGAACTGAGTCAAGTCATAGACATCCTCATCAATCACAATCCAGAGGTTATCGGGCTTGCTATGCGACGCGACGTCCTCCTTGCTAAATGTCTTGGCCATTTTGTACTGAATCCCGTTCAAACTAAGAAAGAATCCGGGGTCTGGGGTAAAAGAAGAAGAAAAAAGAAAACAAAAGGAGAAAAAGAAAAGATTTAAAGAATCCACAAAAACATCCGGGGTAGACCAGTGGCCATATATAAGGGATCCAGGAGCGGTGATATTAACTACCGAATACGCCGAAGAGAGTATGGACAGAGAGTCAGTTACACGCACCCTCGGAGTTGCTGGATAAGGACGGTGAGATCTGCTATTTTAGCTCTATCACATGCCTAGATGCGTCTCATTATGAATGTCTCTTTGCGACCCTTGATCGCAGCCAACTCGACGCCGCACAATAGTGGCCTCGGTCATTCCAAGAGTGGTGATTGGATATGAGCAGCCGACTGCGTCATGGTGGCACGTGCTGATGATTACTATATTGGGAATATACCGAGGCTGGGGAGAAGCTGCACATGATCAGAGCTTCAGGGACCATGCATTATAAATTACCACAAACTGACTGGAATGACCAGACTAGGGGTATCATGTGAACCATTCGGACCGTGGTTACTCGTATAGTTAGGTTTGAAGATAGGGAGAAATGAACCAATGTATTGCAGTATACCTGCTTGCATTCAACATGAAAATACCATCATTATTCTAGTAATACAACCAGCACATATGCCAACCCATATCACCATTACTCTTCCTCTTCCTCGCCCTCGGTGTCGTATTGGAACTCGTTCGGGACCGGTGCATCCTCATCTCCCTCTTCATCTTCATCCACAGCGGTCAACACACCCGCTGCGGCGGCGGCTCCGGCTGCAGCTTCCATACCGCGTGCTGGGCGTTGAGGGGTCTGCATAGCAGCAGCGTCAATCGCGGCTTGCAGGCGGTCCGAAAGGGAGTCCGCTTGAGGAGCGGGTTGTTTGGCTTCCTTGCTGGCCTTCATCTCGATGGTCTCGCGGGGCTCCTCGGGCTGCTTGTCAAGAACCACGACCACTCCACCAGTAGGCTGTACACATCGTTAGCAATTGTTATTTCTTACACAAGGGGAATAACGGGGAAAAGAACATACGCGCTTAACGGGCTCGTATCTCGGGTCAGGGAAGGTGAGATACTTGAGTTGAGCAGGAAGGACTCTCGACATGTTGTCGAGTTCATAGCCCACCCTCTCCCGCTCGACCTTCTTCTTCTGGCCCTCCCCAGCACCCTTCTCGCCCTCCTTAGGTTCCTCCTCACCCTTGGATTCGTCGGTTTCCATCTTCTCCGGCAATTGTTCCGATGGCTTGGGTGTCGTAGGTGTTTGGTCGACGTCCATGCTCTCCCGGCGCTGTTGCTTCTCACGACGCTTCTCACGGCGCTTGGCCTGAGCCGTGGTCGACAGGACCGCAGTCTTGACCTTCTCTGGTGCCTCTTCTGCCTTCACTTGCTGCTCAGGTGGGTAGTCGAACAGACTTGGCCTCGTGTTGCTGTGAAACTTGAAGATGGGCACTTCAAGCTTCTGGTCCACACCAATCACTGATGTAGGTGCCAAACTGAGCGACAAGAAGTGTGCAAGAGGGAACCAGTACCAGTATTGAACGAATACCGCGGCACCAACAATTCCGGGCATGTTGAGGTTGCCCGTCTGGGTCTGCAGGCTGATGGTGCAATTCCGACCACCAGCATCAATGATACCCAGAGCAACGGCACAACCAAACTTGGCCATCGCGTCCTCGTGCCGGTCCCCAAGCATCTTCATCATAGTCTTGCGGAGGCTGCTTACACGCGGGTTCATAGCCTCGTTCTGTTGCACCAAGACCATAGCCAGGGAGATCAAAGCACCCTGTCTGACGAAATCTGTGGAGTCCTTCAACATTGGCTCGAGAAGATCAATAGCATCGTCTAATCCTGTACCAGCGCACGAGATACCGAGCGCCATAGCCGCACCATAACGAACATGAGGGTTGTACGACTCGGAGAGCAGCTCAACCATCCGCGGCACGCCCTGGTGCTTCCTGAATAGAATGAAGCCTAAGCTCAGCACTGCGACACGTCGGACATCGTCGTTGACATCGCTGACGGCGACATGAAGAAGCCTGCGGACAGCCTTGTTGCTGCCACTTCCACAGTAGGCCAAAGCGATGGTCATGATACCACCGTAGCGGAGAGTCGGGTCGGGATCGGCCAAAAGTCCGTTGATCAGTTCATCTGCCGCTTCCTGGCGACCGTACATGACCAACGCCATACCCATAGCACACCCGCGGACGATCTTCTCGTGCTGTGTTTCATGGGCATATTGGATCATGTCCTCGAGAGCCCGCATGTTGCCAGTTCCCAACATGACAAGACCCATGGCCACTCCGACGGCTTCACCGTTCAGGGCGGAGTCGGTGTACAGGACGTTCCGAAGGTCTTCGTAGATACCCTCATCGCCAGTAGCCATTCCTGCAACACCAAGACCCAGAGCACCACCGTGCTGGACAACTTCCTCCGTAGCTTTCTTGAAGTGATCACGGATGAGGTCGACCGCCATCCCACCGTGGTTAGCGTAGATCAACCCAAATGCATACAGCGATCCTCCCTGACTATACACCGAGCCCGAGCCCCCAACACCGGCAATATGTTCCCTTGGGAGATAAGGCTGCAATAGCTTTTGGCCCTGGCTCAAATTGCCACGGTGGATGACACCTAGCGCAGCGGTTGCGGTAAACTTGGACCAGTTGACAGCTTTTCCAAGCCACTCAAGGTTGTCCCGGAAGAACTTGTCGTGAGTAGTACCGGCATGCATGAACGCATTCGAAAGAGTCACAGCGGTGTGGAAGATGGAGTTGCGGGCCTCCAAGCTATCCCGAACCTTGTTGAGGATCGCGATATCGGCCTTGTTGCTCCTATACAGGAACTCCAGGTTCAATTGAATAGACTTGATGCCGTCAAGAATGGCGAGGATATTCTTGAATGCTGCGCGAGCCTCCTCTGTGAGCTTGTCGCTGTTTCCTCCCAATGTCCTCTGTTCCGATGAACCCTGGTCGGAGAGCAATGCGTCATTCTCGGTCGGCTCGGCCTGTTCACCCTCGGTCTTCTGCTCTTCCGCTTCTGGGACGAGTTCGGCGATTTCCTGGCGAACCTTCTTAAGGAATTCCTGTGTGCTATTGTCGTACAGATCGAACGAAATCTGGTATGCCACGGCAAGGGAGCGCGCATCACCCTTTTCGACCAACTGACGGAGAATATCGGAGGCCATCGAGTGCTCATTAAGGTAGACGACACATTTCGCGATAGAGAAGTAATCGGGGGCGGGAATTTCGTTCAGAAGGTCGAGGATAAGTTTCAGAATCTAGTAAGAAATTCGTGGTTAGAAATCGAGACAAGCAAGACTTGCAGTTGTAAACACAAACCTCGTTACGGAACCCGCGCTCCTGGACAATTCCCATGCAGATATCCAGGACGTATTCCAACAACTCCTCGCTTCGCCGGGATTCGCCATTCAACTTCTTCTCATCGTCACTGGCCCTGACAATAGTCTTCCGAAGGACATCCAAGCTCTTTGCTTCAACCGCAATTCCAATCACTTGGCGATAGCGCTTTTGTCGGTAGCAGTCCTCAAATAGACGTTCGATGACCTCTTGCAGCTGGCCCTGGACACCTCGTCTCAAAACTAGCGGAGTTTCGATTTTCTTGACGCTAGCATCCTCCCCACCAGGGTGAGCATCATCGACACCGGGGACCTCCTGCCGGGAGAGCAAGGATTTTGATGGCAAGGCCGACTGAGAGAAGGGGGTTATCGGAGAGGTTAGGCTCGCGGCGGTACTGCTGGCTCCCTCGCCAGATGTTGGGAATGCGGAGTTCAAGTTGGCGGGCTGGTCACCGGCGGCGGGCCGTTGAGCAGCAGCAAGGGAGATGAAGGTGTCGACGCATTTTGCTGCGCAGGGAAGCACGAAGTAAGCCAAATATCCTATGCATGTAGTTCAGACAGTTTGATGGACTTACCGATTATTGTCTCTTCAAACTCACCACCCTTGTCCAGCTTGAACAGCTTTCCTGCACCAAGAGCAAAGACCATACTCTCATTGTATTCCTGAAGGTGGTAGTAAACCTTTGCCGCAACGAGAGCGGCAAGCTCACGCTCCGGGAACGTTTCATCTTCGTACAGCGCCTCTCTGAATAACAACCGGTCAGCATCCATCGCCATCAAACCCATTTGGTATCCAGTTCATATATGATCACCCACATTTGAGGAACGGCATCGACGACTTCTGTCCAGAGCAGGTCAATCTGGGAATCCAGAGTCTTCAAGGCGAAGACTCTCAACTCCGCGTCCGGCTCAGACAGGAAGCCAACGAGACCCGCGGCCGAAGCAAGTCCGACCATCTTGGATGAGATTATCGTGCGTCACGGCCAGTCCAGAAGGATGGAAGAAGGATCGTGGTCGATTGTACTGCCGCTGGTGAATGAGGCGACAGCGGAGAGAGGGAGCTTTCAGACTGGTGAGGTCAGTTTCGAGATCGACAAACGAGAATCGCAGGACAAACAGATTTGACCGTATACGTACAGGATAAGAACAGGGAGAAGAACAAAAAAGAGGAAAACAGAAGCAAAGGATGATAAACGTAGGTAAACTGGATCGTGAAAGCGCACTCTGTTCGGCGAGGCACACGTCAACGGGCCAAGCTGATGAGAGGTACTCTTGGTTCCTGCAGCCACCCCTAGTACATCACGTGATCTATGATGGAATGGACAAGATCACGAGGGAACCACGAGGGAACAACACTGCACTTCATGCCCACTTGCGATTATTAGACGCTGCTGGCCTTGAGAGCATCATGTGCTAACAATTCTACTTATCTCTTACTTCTCTCTCAATAGAAATATACCGCATTTTCTTCCTGTCTTCACTGACTGATTTCTACCTCCAAAATAAAAGCTTAGACTACCTCATTCTACGTATCTCAGAATGTCCGTCAGTCTCGCATACACGGACAAACATCTGAAGCCCCTGCCCATCCGAGCCTCTTCACACCATCAAGATCCCCTTCTCTATATTGATCGTCAAACGAAGCACATTGAGCGAAATCTACAAGTCCTTATTGATGCCCAAAGTGAAGGTCTCCTGGCTGGTCTCTCGGGCCAACAACAGAATGACACTCCATCGCTGTCTGACTCGAAGGTGACGGTGCCGGTTAGACAACCTGCTCCCAAGAAGATTGGCTTACGTGTTGCCCGGGAAGGGATCTTCAAGTCTATATATGACTTGCTGAAGCTCAGAGAGGAAGAGCGGGAGCTACTGGGATTTCGCGATGGGGAAAGAAAGGATGCACTGGTTGAAATTGACGAGTTTAGTTCGAAAAGGTTTGGATTAGAAGAGGCAATCTCGTCAATCCGCAGCAATCGTGATAGTCAACGCTCCACAGATTTGAAGGACGAGGCCCGTACTCTAGAATCGGAGATCCGCGAACTCGAGACCAGGTTGTACGAGATGAAAGCGAAACACCGGCATGTTATACAAGAGATTTCGGAAATCGAAAACTCGGTGGATTCCAAGCTGTCTTCCTATAATGCTTCCCTGTCCCTCGTGGAAACCAACATTCGCAAATACCTTCAGAACCCTCCTCTCCAGCCTCTGTCGCCCACTGCTGACGAGCCCACATTCTACTCATTGCACCCTAAACGCCGGACACTAGATATGGTACGAGAGCACTGGAAAGCCGAACAGGAAAGATTACACAAGAGACAGTCGGAGGTGGACGCGGAAATCCAAGCACTTGAAGCGGGTGGTGGTGTATGGAAACAAGTGGTCACAGAGGTCACCGGGTTTGAGAAGCGCTTGAGATCTGAAATGCGTCGTTCCATTCAAACACAGTCGCAAGTATTGGAGGCAGACGGACCCTCTGGGAGCAAAACGGAAGATAGTCGGGTTCAAACCATCATAGATGACTTGCAGGCCACTACACAGCGAGTCGAAGGCCAACTGGAAATCGCGGAGGACCGGGATTGGAAGCTGCTTATGTGTTGCATTGGTGCTGAAGTAGAAGCGCTGCGAGAGGCGCGCGAGATGCTTCTCGAGGTGTTCAATGTGCAAGAATCTCCCGAAAACAAGGAATCAGACCCTGACAACCATGATCACCACGATGATGCACCAACGGATCCCCTTGGGGTCGACAATCCGGAACCTCCGGAGGATCTATTACGGGATACAGGTGATCATCGACATGATACTACTGATGAGGATGATGAACCGGATCCCGCATGGCTACTTCCCGAGTCGTAGCAGTACTGCAGTTTTTGTCACGTTTAAAGCGTTATTCAATTCGCATATATAGATTATGGTAGATATTTTACTATGAGACTCATGAGTTTACACAAATTTCTAGTACGTTGGGTATATTATAAGTTATCATAGAACCAAGCTACGGCTGCTACGGAGACGCTTTGTTGCCCAAACCCACCCACTCTTCTACAACTTCACCAACTACACAAAGCCAGCGGTGCCACGAATAGTCTTCGTCATGTCACTAGAAGAAAAATCAAAGACGAAGCATAAAGGACGCTGAAATGTATCTCCCCTCTCCCAATTCCACCTTCACCATCCCCTCCGTCCATGACGGCATCCAGCTCGACTGCCGCATCTATCTCCCCCGCGAACTCCAGCAACCAGATAATGCATCACGATCACGTTGGAGAAAACAAGGGATGATTGTAGCTCACCCTTATGCTCCTCTGGGAGGCTGCTACGATGATCCAGTGGTGAGCTTTGTTGGCGGGGAGCTTCTCCGGTCTGGATATGTTGTGGGCACATTTAATTTCCGGTATGCTTGACTTCAACACCAGACAGGAAAATATATATGAGAAAGAAGCTAATGTTACTTCTATAGAGGAGCTGGGGGCTCAGAAGGAAGAACTAGCTGGACAGCAAGGCCTGAATTGGCGGATTATGTGTCTTTCTACGGGTTTATGCTGCATTATCTGGGTTCCCTTGTGACAGAAGGCGATATCCATATTATCCTCGGGGGCTATTCTTATGGATCGATGATTGCTTCGCACCTCCCTAGCATTGAAGTCGTCGCGGGCCTCTTCGAAAACGCTCCCAATGATAGTGCGATGAGTGCGATTTGTCAAACGGCAAAGGAAATGGCTACTTCGACAAACGGACGTCTTACCATGCAAGTTCGAGCATCGTCACAGGAAGCGTCTAAAACAGCACCTCAAAAAACGATTTCTTATCTTCTTATATCCCCCATCCTACCACCGATTAGTTCATTCCTGACATTGTTCGGCACCTTTTCCATAGAAGTTCGGATGGGGACAGCTGCGCCTGGAAAGCATATTCCTTGCCCGAAGCCAGCTGATCAACTGTCTGCACACGACACGCTTGTCATCTACGGAAATGAGGACACTTTCACGCCAGCAAGCAAATTACAGAATTGGTCGAATGGGATAGCTAAGGTTGCGGGAAGCAGGCTTGAGTCTCACGAGGTTGATGGCGCTGGGCATTTCTGGCGAGAGGACGGCGTCGAATTGCGGGCTAGAAGTGTTTTGAGAGATTGGCTGAGCCGGATTTCTGATAACTTGTGATAGGCAGGTTGATCAATCGTGAACCTCTATGCTTCTTCCGCTCCTTGGAAAAGATATATGAATGTAGCTGGACCTTGTTAGCTATTTCTTCAGAGCCACCTGTCTGTATATTGTACCCTCAAGCAATACTCTAAATGGGCTTGCACGCATTGGGTAAAAGATTGGCCTGTGGTATACGGGGCTGACTAAGGAACCAGTAGGCGGGGGGGCTGATGTCGGTCATCTCTAAACACGAGGCAATGGACCTCAAGGTTGATAGCGTGCTAAATCGGTTACCCAGTAACTGCTGGAGGAACATCCTGGACCTTCTTCCAGTGCGCGATCTAATATCAGTCTCTCGTACATCTGTAGAGCTGAATGCATCCGCAGAACCGCTGCTTTATCGCAGCATCTCGTGGGAATGGGACAACGTGCCCATTCGGCGGATTCTGCAGCTTTTGCGGGCGGCTTGGCAGCGTCCAGAGCGATTGCTATATGTGCGGCATGTAAGCTGGCTGTCTTCGGACCAGATGGGGGAATGGACAGTTTCGGAACTCAATGCAGACTGGAGTCAGGAGAAGGCCGATTATACAGATGTTATCCAACGCGCTCAAGCCATTGTGGACAAGGCTGAATTTCCAGACGCGTCCAAATGGCACCAGGCTTTGGCCGATGGGGATGCTTATGCGTTTGCCACGATCTTGTTGTCTCAGATGCATAATCTCCAGTCTCTCCGTCTTGACTATACGTTTGTCTGGAGGTCCGGGTATCCGGGGTTAATGCTGAAGCATGCTCTCTTCTCGGCGCCAGAAGGATTACTATCCAAGTTTAACGACCCGGAAACAGTTGACTATGGCACTAATGTTCCTGAGGGCGAGTATATATCACATTTCTCGCAGATCGACAAAACAGACGGTTACCCGAGCTGCGATCCGAATCAGTTCATGACGTGGTTCCGTCTTCCATCGGTAAAGTCCCTAGGACTCTGGACCCAGAGCCTTCAAGAGGTGGTGCCAGCCCCACAGCCGCTTCATCTTGACCGACTCCACATATTAGTCCTCACCAGATCAACGATCAAGGAAAAAGAAATCCCAGGTCTTCTGTCTCAGACCCCAAATCTCAGGACGCTTCACTTGGGCCTGGCGCATCTTTGGGGAAAGAGTTGTCCCCTACGTAATGGAGCTGCTGTTCTCCAAGGTCTACATTCTGTTAGCAGGACGATCGAGGTGCTTTCGTTTTATTTTGAATACTACCTAGCCAGTCGTGGAGAATACTATTTTGATGAGGATGACGCCAAACTGAGGGAGCCCTTTAGACATTTTCTCCTGCAAGTCCCTAGGCTCCGGTCTGTGGAAGTGCCCATTACTATGCTCTTGGGCACAGATCCAGCGACGGCGGTTGATATCCGCACAGTCCTACCTAGTACCGTACAGCAACTGTGCCTGCAATGGGACTTTTCAGGGGTAACGGGGCACAATTTCTGGGATGACGAGGGCCGTCTTCTCTCGGTTGTGTTCGTCAACTGCTGCCCGACTGGCCGTTCTTTTTGCCACACTTGAAGCAAATCGTTATCCGTGTCTGGGATTTGGAAGAAGAAGATTATCTCCAAGAAGAAGCAGATTTGAAAGAAACTTGCAAACAGGCGGGAATTGACCTGACAGTTGTGTCTGATGAACTCTCCCCGGGCCTATGGACGCAATTCCTTCTAGGAATTAGCAGGACAGCCTTCCCTAGAAATGCGCCTTGAGACAGTATTTGATCTGTGCCTGCATCTGACAGCAGAAAAAGCTTCAATACTGTCTGGTGGACAATGCACAGTCATCCTCTGCCCGCCCTGCGCTCAGACCTGGTCATCTGCTGAATAATGATATGCCGACAGATAAGACCGAGTGATCGAGTCTGAGATCATCTGTGCTGAGGATTCCCATGGCCAGTGGATGACACTGTTTCATTGCATGCAACAGTGAGATTGTAATTAATCCAATTTAGCCGTGTATAGTCTTGTTAGTAATCTAGTAATTTGGTTTGGTTCATCCCCGGATATTCTCCCCCGCAAAAAGAATTCGTCGATCGCCGCTGTCCTCGTGACTTTGGTATTTGCCTTGGCCTCGACCTCGACTTATCTATGACCCTCTTCACATGCTATTTGTCTTTACTTGAATATATATTCGCTTGAAACCCCTACAAAGTGTGACTCATTGCTTATCTCGAGTTAATAGGCATGACCTTGATACAGACTCATAAACACCTATCATGTCATACCTTCGTGACCCCGGGGTAGGCTGTTCGGAACGCCATAGAAACGACAAGGACTCTCTCGCATGCTCAGGACCATCCGTCAGCAGTCGTCTTGGATCAAGCTCGAATCTGTTATTGTCGTCGATTATAATAAATCCGCTGGGATGGGTTGAGGATAGCTTCAACGCATATCGAGATGGCCTCTCAAAAGAAGAACGGAAGGACCGAATGGACCGGGAAAATCGCAAGCAGGTGATATACCTGAAGATGCGCAATGTACGTTTATAGCCACGTTTTTCTATTGGGCGTTTCACGGAGGATCTGTTCTAACCAAGTTGCGATATGCAGGCTATGTCGTACGACGAATGGAGAGATTGCGCCTACGAACTAGACGAGCTGGAGGACCATAACGCTTGGAAGAAGACCTTTGAATGCTCCGATTACAACCCCGATCAGGTTCAAGAACGGTTGAACCAGCTTGAAGACGCCCGGATCAGTTGCGATGTGGGCCGAATGTTGTTTCTGATTCGCACCTCGTTGAACCGTGACTTGGGTGGCATGAGCAACGCCTCTCTATACAGACACTCGCACGTTGGTACCAAGGATTTGATCGACCGGTACATTACCACTACTGTCGACACGATAGATGCTTTGGTGAATCTTTCGGAACAGAACCGTGACGAAGCGGAACTCAAATACATACTCGACCAGCTACTGGCGACAAGGCAGGCCTTTGGCAGAAGTGCCTTGCTTTTCTCGGGTGGAGCTACCTTTGGAATGAACCATATTGGGGTACTCAAGGTCCTGTGGGAGAAGAACTTGCTACCACGCATTATTTCGGGAGCGTCAGCTGGGAGTATTATCTGCGCTGTGTTCTGCACACGTACGGATGATGAGCTACCAATCCTCTTGGATACATATGCGTACGGTGACTTCAACGTGTTCAACGAGCAAGCAAATGAAGAGAATATCTTGCAGAAGACGGCACGGTTCTTGAAATACGGCTCGTTTTTGGACATCTCCCATTTGGCCAAGGTCATGAGAAACTGGCTAGGGGATATTACATTCCAAGAGGCTTACAACAGGACACGGAGAATACTTAATATTTGCGTCTCTAGCGCCGGGGTCTACGAACTGCCACGATTGATGAACTATTTAACTGCGCCTAATGTGCTCATTTGGTCGGCTGTGTAGGTGGTTGTCCCTTCATTCATCTCTTCGCAACTGACCTTTCTCTAGGGCTGTATCCTGTTCCGTTCCTCTTGTCTTTAGACCGTTTGTTCTCATGGCCAAGGATCCCATTACCGAAGAACCTGTGCCTTGGAATGATCTTCACAAACAATATATTGACGGCTCTGTGGACGGCGATTTGCCCATGACCCGCTTGTCGGAGACATTCAATGTCAACCACTTTATCGTGTCGCAAGTAAATCCACATGTGGTCCCTTTTCTTCCCAAGGATGAGGGGCCTAATGATTATACGGGCCCCGACTCGAAATCGTCCCCTGGATGGTTGCATACCATAACAAACCTTGCCAAAGAGGAGGTTCTTCATCGCATGGCTGTCTTGTCGGACTTGGGCGTGTTTCCCACTTCGTTGACCAAGATCGCCTCCATCATGAACCAAAAGTATTTTGGCGACATCACCATATACCCGGAAATACAGTACTCAGACATCCGGCGAGCGCTCACTAACCCGACAACCGAATTCATGCTCCAGTCATGCATAAATGGGGAGCGAGCGGCCTGGCCCAAAATGGGGCGCGTCAGGAACCACGTTGCGATTGAACTGGCCCTCGATTCAGCAGTCCAGAAGATGCGCGCAAGGGTCGCACTAAGCAATAACCCTCTCGACATGAGGAAGCTTACCCGGCATTCAACAGATCCCTTTGATAGTAGCGGAGACCACGGAAACGTACACCACCACCCAAGGCGAAACTCCTTTAGCCACGAAGTCGAACCGACCAAGCGAGTCCGATGCAATTCGTCGAGTCGTCGGTTGAAGAGGTCCCAAAGTGTTGTGTCTTTCGAACAACCCGTTCGTGCCCGGACCACTCATTCGGAATCTGCCATACAAGATTGGGACGACATTCACGAGACTACTCTAGCAAGATCTGGTGATGGTCCATCTATATCGCGAACTAGCAGCAGGCGACCTAATCCTCCAAGCCGTCGCGCGTCTTGGGGGGCATTATCCGGCACTGCGTCTGTTAGCTCCAGCCAGCATATTCGACCTCGCTCTCGACGATCTTCTAGCAGCTCTTCTTCATGGCAATCCGTTCACTCAGATGAACCCACATCCTCACAGGCACATTCATGGCCTAATCCTATGTCACCTCTACGCGGCCTGCTGAAAATGACACCCAAGACCAGCGACGGCTACTTCGATTCGTTGCGGTAGAATAGTCTTTACTGATGTCTTTCCCATTTGGGTATAATCTCGTTTCGCTTTGATTGAATAAGCTACAGACGGCGCATTGGCGGCGCGTTGGCGGCGCGTTCGATTAGACTGCATCTTGGCCATTGCTTGACACGCTTGGCAGCCCACACAGAACAGATGGCGCATGGGATAAATTGGCGTTTAGAAGATATGATGATTGTGCTCGTTTCGGCGTTTGGTCCTGGGCACAGCATGATAGCCACGAAAGATGGCATGGCGCTTGGGCAAGAATTGGTATGGTATGATTTGAGTGGTTATTACATACATCTTGGGCAATTCTATGATTGTTTACTGTTGTCTTGTGTTGATAAGAAGCAATCACAATATTCGAGATATGTTTGCTCTACAAAAGTACAATTTGCATTGACATGCCGCAGTACTATCCTATACAACAACACCAACACCAACAACACAACCCCGCACCATGACTCACCAGAATAGAACCAACCTGACTCTCATCCCTGCTCTTATGCAAAAATATTCATAGCAACAAAAAAAACAAAAATATCAACACCAGAAAAAACCCCGTGTCAAAACCCTGTCAACCCCGGCGCGTACAAGCACCAAAACCCCCTCTGATTGGCCAACACCCCGAATGAGCACTAATTAATGCAAATAACACACCGGCTTTGTTACATTGCATTAGCGTTTAATGTCACTTAATATAGCAATCGCATAATTTGAATTGCCCGCTAATTGCTAAAATTGGCAGTGCTTGCTGCATCAGCGGTAAATTAGTGCTCATCTGGCGAATGACCGTTACAGGTATTGGCAACAATGGGCTCTCGAGCAATGCAGGGTTCTGGCTGAGGGGTGTTTCAGGGTTTTGAGGAATAAAAAGAAACAGGATGATCTTCGTTTTATGGCGGTTGAGATGATAAGACTTGACAAGCTTTTATACCATATATCGTCCGCACGGTTCATGGGTTTGTTTCTTGTATCTTCTTGTCTTATTGAAATGGAATAATCCCGTTTCTGGGCAAGTACTTGCTTGACCCTACGCTTCTTGACTGAGTGTGTTATCACTTCACTACTATTTTGATTCATACCGTTTATGATTGACGACCTTGTCCAACAAAATCACCACAATGGCAAGCATCGTCCCCAACCCTCTAAACCGCTTCCGCAAACACGACTCCCATAAACCCCTCCACGCCAGATGGGGCGATGTATCCATCACTGCACCAACAGAAGGATCATGGTGCCAATACGATAACCCGCATAAACCCGCACAACGACGACTAGGCTACGGACCTGGATATGTCCCCGATGGGCTCCGTCGAGCATCAATCTCGCCGGCCCAACACTATGAGGATGACGAAGAAGATGAAGAAGCCCTCAGGACAGAACATAACACATCGTCACGACGAATGAGCACATTAAACCCCCGACGCTTATCAATGCATTTATCACGGACAAAGTCTCCAGGCGGACAACAAAAGCAACAACAACGCCCCCGCGGCATCGACAGAACGGAATTCGCCTACAAACCGATTAAACAAGACTACTCCACCGAAGTCGCTGACACAGCACACAAACGCGAGTCCCGATTCCGGTATATCCCCACTAGTCCGCAGTATTTCGAAGAGCCTGAGCGCAGTCAGTCAGTTAGCTCTGGTTCTGGCTCTGCTTCTAGCTCTAGCTCTAGCTCGTATGGCTATGGATATGCCCATCTTTCTCGGAGCGGGAGCCCCCTACGCTATGGTGTCGGTGTTGATGATGAGGTTGAACTTCATCGGGGACAGAGAGATAGGGCGAGTAGGGTATTTCCCATGGGTTCTTCTACGATCTCGGGACAAGGGCACGGGCACAGACAGAGCAATGGGCTGTCAGTGTCGGAGGAGAGGAAGAAGAGGTATTCAACAAGGCGATTGACTACGGTTATGGTTCCGGATCCTGAGGATATGTATGGTTGATGATTATTGGGTTTCTGGTTCTGGTGTTGGGGTTTGGTTGACGCTTTAGGGTAGGATGTTTTGATTTTGGTTTGGCGTTATGGTTATTAATTGGGATTGGGATTGGGATTGGAGTTGGGCTTAGTGTAATTGAATGCAATACGATTATCTATCTATGGAGTCCGTCATGGTCAATTGTAGAGTAGCACATTGATGCTGAATCTACCCCTGGGGTATACATATCAACCTTGCTAAACAAAACGCTCCAGGAAACCAGGAAATGACCCCCGGGTCATAGAACTTCCATTCTATTTCTACTAGAGACCAGATATCTGCCCTCTATCATGCTTTCTCAGCTACTTACAAGTCCTGACGTCGACTAAGCCAATGACGTCACAGCCAAAACATATCTTTCAATCTGGATTATTCCAGCTTGTCTTTTCCGATTGGCCTGGAACGGCATTCCTCAGTATGTAATCACGACAAGATGCCAATATTTCATTATCGGTGTCTATCTCCAGATTTCCATATCCGGTGCGATGGGGTTATGACGGCATTGGTAGCGCATGCTTGATAGAATGTTCATATTTCTTAGTCTGGGCTCCTATATAGCTTTTTCTCTAATTCAATCTGCGATTTATATGTTAGATTTGCTGAATTTCTCTGTCGACTGCTCGGATATAATTAAACTACTTGGATATAACGACAATGGCGGACGCCGTGGTTCAACTTAGATGTGGCGTTAAGGTATGCTCGCGCAGTCTCCTCTCTTCTTTATTGATGCTAATTTTCTATAGAACGATGGATGGGGAAAGCCAGGAAAAGAAGGAGTGGCCGCGAAGTTGTGGTCGCAGACGCCCGGGAACGGTCAGATTGATGATTCGAAGACCTATTCAGAGGTGAGCTGAAACCAAGACAACATGGAACGATTGGAAGCTCATTTTGCAGATGTGGATGGGAACATATCCAACCAATCCGTCCTACGTCCTCGCAACCGGCGAGTTGCTCTCAGACTATCTCAAGAAGAACCAGCAACTCGTGGGCAAGTCCGTGTTGGATCGATTTGGACCGGAGATTCCGTTTTTGCCAAAGGTAAGCAGCACTTCATTTTTACATCAATGTGACTTGTCTAACCGATCTAGATCCTCTCCTTCAGCAAGGCGCTCCCCCTCCAAATCCACCCCGACCTAAACCTCGCCAAGAAGCTCCACGAAAAGGATCCCAAGAAGTTCGGCGATCCCAACCACAAGCCCGAGATTGCAATCGCACTGTCCAATTTTGAGCTGTTTGCCGGCTTCAAGCCCGCCTGGGTTATTGAAAACCAGATGAAATTGAAGCCCCTCGAGAAATTCTTACCACCTCAAGACAGCAAGACCGATACCGAATACTTGCGGGAGATCTGCCAGAATCTACTCACCCTGGAACCAGACACCGTCGCCCAGACAATCAAGGAACTTCGAACTGTCCCTGAAGCCAACTTCGGGGAAGACAAATATATCCCCAGCATTTTGGACCGTTTGTCCCGGCAGTACGGCGACACCGACAATGGGAACCTGGTAGCGGCTATTCTGATGAACTATTTGACACTGGGACCCGGTGATTCGGTCTGTGTACCCGCGGACAGTATTCATGCCTATCTTTCGGGCGACATTGTCGAGTGCATGGCGCGGTCGGACAATGTGTTGAACACGGGATTCTGTCCTCGCGCGGATCGTGATAACGTGGAGTTGTTCACACAGGCATTGAATTTCAAACCCCATTCGCGAGAAGCAGCTATCTTACCGCGGAAGAAGAGCGACAAGGGTATCAATGGTAAGACAGAGGTTTATGCGCCGCCGTTCAGTGAGTTTAGTGTCCTGTTGACGTGTCTGGGGCCGGGCGAGTCGGAGACGCATAAGTCCATTTTGGGGCCAAGTTTGATGATCGTAACCAAGGGATCTGGGAAGATGAATGCTCCTGGGAAGAGTATTGACATGAAGGAAGGATTTGTTTATTTTGTTGGTCAGGGAGTTGCGCTGGACTTTAGCACCGAGAAGGGGATGGCGTTGTACCGGCCATTTGCGGAGTAATACGTCGAATTAATACTTGCGATAAAATGTTAGATCAATTCAGGCCGCCTGTTGGTATCCATTTTCGGTAGAAAAGCAGACAACATGCCGCAATTCGATTAGGGCTACCAGTGCCTAAGGCACGTCAATCGCATCAAAATCTAAGATCTCCAGCAAAATTGGATACATCAATTCCAACAGGAGTTTCAGAAACTAACTCGAACACAGTCCGACGTGGCCCAATTGATTCTTTCTCCGACGTGGAGAAAAGCGCCCACCCGCGCGCACTGATACGCTTCCCGAAGCGCCTGGGTCGAACGGAATCTCAGCAGCGGCCTCTCACAGCCAATCAATAGATGAAACCCGCAAAATCTCAGTTGGAGGTTGCTATTTTGGGGAGAGCCGCCTTTAATTGTGGCAGCTGAATTTGTTTACCCTTATTCTCAAAATAACACGCGCTGAAACGGGACGGTGAGAGGGTATAGCGATCTTCTGTTCCTGAGTGGAGGAGGGGTTATTTGAATGGGATTTGTCCGTCGGTTTTGTCTTTTGTGTTTTTCTTGGTCTGGGGGTTGCCTGTCAGCTTTGTTTCTTGTGTCTGTTTCTCTACCTGTCAGATTAGTACATCATGCTTATAGCTCGGCATGAGGGCAAGTTGCTCCAGGCTAGATCCCCGGACGGTTCGGTAGACGACATTAATGGCGTTTCGGGGGACTCCAGTGAACCTGATAGCCTCTCACCCGAGAAGCAAGCCATCATCGGGGCCGTCGTAGGAGGGGTCGCTGTTATTGCGAGTGAGTCAGCCCGAGCATGTCCATAGGATATAAATTGTACATACCCATGCTGACCAATTGATTCCTATACAGTCACGGCAGGGATCCTCTTCTTCCTTATCAAGAAGCACAGGTGGGATCAAATCCGACAACGTGAAAAAGCCTTGCTGGCCCTTCACGCTCCTCCACCGGCATACGATAGCAGCGACACAAGCAATAGCTCGAGGTCTTCACGAAAACCCTCTCCTTCTCCTCTCCTTCCTCCTGTTCCTGTTCCTACTCCTGCGCGCCCAGCGTCTCTATCCGTTCCATCTTCGTATCAATGTCACACCAGCAGAGACATAGAAGAGCAACCACCGGCGTACGACGCCCCGTCAATACCAGTATACGACCCCTCGAGATATCAGCAACGGCAACAACAACCGTTCCGTCCTACCTCGACCCCCACGATAAACAGCGGTCACCTGCACTATTTGTCCGGCGACACCATGTACGGACAGAGGTCTTCACAGCTAATAGTACCGTTTCAAGGTCATCGACATACCATTCAAAGTGTGCCAGCATCGCACATCGGGGGTCAATGGTCTGGGACTAGAGTGACAGCGTCGAATCCTTCGTCTGCTCCAGTTGGTAGTAATGGGACAAGGCCTCCTCGAAAGCCAAAGCCAGTGCTGTCGAGGTTGATAACGAATTTTGGGTAGCTGGGTATGAGGGCGTTTGGGATATTTTTTTTTTATGGCATGGAGTTTGGGTCGCTTCTTTTCTACTCTTTGGTAAAAGCAGGAACAGTTGTCAATATGAATGAAAGAACAAGTTCTGTCGATTGTGTAGAAAGACCACAGTCACATGATCGACTTGTTCTCTTCCTTCACTTGTCCTTATTCTTCTCACCCCGTCAACCAAGAGTCCTTTCCATACTCCAACACAATATTGCCATGTTTCTGGATATCATGTTGAGTGGGCATGGAGCTACAATAAACTGCTTCAAGGATTGAATTTTTTTTGTCTATGAACATGAATGGGTGTCGACGAACATATGGTCACAGACATACAATGACCCGGTAAGCACTCTATTGTACTTGACGCAGATGACCTGAATTCGTACTAACACACCGATTGACAGCAAATGGGCATAAGTTTGACCAGCATAGGCCCCGACGCTCAGAACAAGCTGGACCCGCCGAGAAACGCTAGTCGATACACCGTTCATGACGTTATCTCGGTATGATTCGAAGTGCTATGTGGACTACGCTATGAAGGGTCTCGACCAGACGATGCGATATCAGATGACAATCGCCGTTCCGGGCCGACGTTGACAGTCTGGGGTTTATGCCAGGAGCACCAGCTCGGTAATACCATCAAAACCACGGATAGCTGAGACAAAACTCTGTACTTTCAACGACGCTAGAGTTGAGGTGAAATATCTTGACCTCCCCGTATCTGCAATCCACCTGAATGACTACGGATGTCGGGCCGCATAGGATGTGCCGAAGACAATAGTTAACAGCTTTTTGCATATACGACCTCGGCACGGTGATCCGGCGCCCACCTCTTACAAATACTTGCTCCGGGATTAATTCGCTTTCATATTAATTTCTGCAGCTACCGGTTAGCTCACAACCGGCGCGTAGGTAAGCTCTGTGGATGGCCGACAGCCGGTCGATCAACCGTGTTTCTTCCGCTCTCCCACTCATATGCTCTTATTTCCCTCCATCCTTTCCCTCCTCGCTATTGTCAGGGATCTTGATTAATTTTTGACAGGGGTGGGCCCTGCTTTTTCCGTTTCCGGTTAATGTCGGGTAGTTAAGATGCATAACTCTTTCCTGTCTCTCGAATCTGCGCTGACCATTGGTTCTTCAATTGTACAGGTTCATCTTCTAGCCAACGAGATGGCACAAAATTCTAACCATTCCAACAGTTGCTTATCACGGTTACATTAAAGGACCCATAGTGAGACTGAATAATTCGCCACATTCCCTCCTCAGACGACAAATAGATCAATCAATAACAGTCCTGGAGCGCTATAATGCAAGCGCCTTGCCAAGCCACTGGACAAATGCTTGCATATCTGTACGACTGCAGCATCCCGGCGGGAAAACAAGTTGACATGCTGGTTGACTGCGCCGCAATTTCTCTATCTACCAAAGCGCCCGGAATACTTACCCCTCTCGTGCTCATTGTCGGTCGCCCATTATCAGCCGCCGCAGTCGAGGGAACGGGCGAGGTACATATGTACCTTTTCCTATGATGACTTCGGGACCCTGCTCACCCTTGACGGCTGACCATTGCGCAAGAATTCCCCGTTGGCTCTCTCGTAATCTCTCGAGAGATCGTCTCCCGCTAAAGTGGAAAGGGCCGGTGGTCCCAAACTGTCGGGTCGTGAACGCGTTTTCGATAGCGCGAGAGAGGCCCAAATTCCGCGCCGGGCGACGATTGAGGAAATTTGTCCCCCTCTCTTTGTTCTTTCTTCACATCATAAAAGAGAATATGCAGGTGGGCTGTAATTCCGTGTGCGCCTCAGCCGGGTCTGATATAACCCCATCCAATGCTGCCAAAGGGCCGGTTCATTTTCTTCTTCTCTTCATCTACATTTCATAATCTGAATCTTTAATTCTTCTCCGACCCGAGACTCTGGTGGACTGCAAACGTTACAACCCTCATCAGGTAGGATCTCTCTTTTGTAGTTATCCTTATTGTAAGATGTTCGAGTTTGACTCATAGGCTCAGTGCATAGTCGATCTGTCGAACATCATGGCAACCATCTTTCGGAAAATTCGAGGAAAGCGCAAGCTTTCTAGCGAGCTAGACTCACGATGGGGTGATGTCTCCATCTCCTCCCCCAACGAGGGGTCTTGGAGTCAAGGCTTTCAGCCATCGGGTTCCACTGTCAACACACAAGCGGGAAGCCCATCAGAGCAAGGGCAACGACCTAGCTCTATGAATTCGCTCGGACGGTGCAGTACCTCATCCCACGGAGCAACGAAGCCAAGTCCGTCGAGTGCCGTTTCAGTGGATTCGATGCCGACAGGCCACTATAACGCCAACATACGAAGCCGGCCCCGAACGTCACACAAACAATCACCAGCAACAGGCCTTGGTATCGACATGCTAAAAAACGGTTACAACGCCTGGGATGATGCCAGTAGCGATGACATATCGTCAGATGATGAAGGAAGAGACGGCGGAGAACGAACCGGGCGATACCTGACCGTGGGCACGGAAGAAACAGACTACACTCGAGCATCCAAATCACCACCTTTGTCAGTCACATCTCGCATGCGGCGCAACAGCCACCAAAGCACGATAGAGCCCAGCCCTTTCATACCAAGGACGACAAGTTCGAGGCATGCGAGCTTCACTTCTTCCGCTCCAACGGCATCAACTGAAAATTCTCGGATAGGATATGGACACCGTCATCCTCCATATCCAGAAGCCAAGCATACGCGTCATTCAAAGCCTTTGAAGCTTGAAGCGGCTAGAGGACCGGAGCTTGTCCCGTCGTACGATGAGTTGTATGGATGAACGTTTGGGTAATATCTTCGATGACAATTTTATTTCTTTTCTTTCTACATATTTCTTTCTTCTTTTTGGCAGATTCTAGATATTTTGGTTATTTTATGCCCTTTATGACGCTTGATACTATGAAGATTATACGCTGGTAGGCATTTGGACTTTGGACCATGAGCAGTCTGATTTAACATTTAATAACTCTTACAATTTTGGATTGTAAATTTTGGAATGCGCGAAAAAGCCTCGCCTTTTTTATTTTTTATTTTCGGCATAAGTACGGAGCACGTACCCTGATTATATATCCCAACTCCGACTGCATTGACCAGCGCCAAGGTAGCAACACCTTTCTTTGACCAGGACAGATGTTCGCAGCACTGATATTAAACTGATATTAACCATTATGGACCGTGCCAGACGGCCATACTCGGCACCATCAATCGACTTAACTGTCAGATCATAAAAATCAGTTGTCAGAGACTTTTGCCGATGTGTGAGCAAAGAGGGGGTTCTCCGTCGCAGATCGGCGAATGAGATGCTCGCAGCTACATTCCGAATCACTATCACAGTCAGGCCTTTGCTTGTTCGTCCATCACGTCCATCACATCCACTTTGCCAAAGATGGTCCGGATCGAATCGCCCAGTGGCTGCTTGCCGATCCTCATTCGGCCTGCAATGTGGGTTTGCCTTTGTTGAATGGACGTCTGGGAGGCCTTCTCTAAGCGCCGGGGTGATGTACCCTGCCGCATAGCGTGTGTTTGATTCGACAGTGACGAATGCGCTGCAGAGCCATGGTCTGAAATGCCCACTCTCAAAGACGTTCATTTCTTTTATCACCTCGTGAGGAGTACAATGTACCAAGATGCCCAAGCTTTTTCTGTTGTTTAAGTGAAACAGCGAGAATCCTCTTTTCCCGCGAGAGAAGTACTTACTTCTTGGGCGCTTCTCATTACCAACTTTGAACATTTTAATATTTCAATGCGAACGTTCTCGTATCGCACGGCGTCTGTCTCTCCTTGGCTGTGATCACGGGCGTTAAGAAGACCATCCAATCCAACCCAGAAGCAGTTGATTTCCTCTGTTTGTGTCTGCATTTTTAATCTCGAGGACGATGCTCGGCTTCTTGGGCCGCGGCCCAAGGCCCATGATTCAGCTGGCACTGGCGATCCTACTTGTATTCAGCCAGCTTACTTCCGTGGTTCTCGGTCTGAGAACAACAAAAGGCTCACCTTGCGCAAGTGTCTGCAATCGCGATTCAACCAACACCACCTCATCGGAGATTGTTTGCTTAGATCGACAATACAACAGTACCTTGAAAGGAACGCATTTCCAGGAATGCGTCGACTGTCAATTGCGCAGTGACTTCTTCGATACAATTTCGGGGGAATCGGACGTGACTTGGGGACTTCGTATGTCGGCCTCATAGTATGGTTTGTTATGGTGCATGCTGACCAATATGCTCGTCTAGATAATCTTCGCTATGCCTTCACTTCGTGCCTTTATGGATACCCTCATCAGGTGGCCAATATCTCGTCGCCGTGTGTAGTGACCTGTTCGTCGCTGCAACCGGCTCTCGATCAGAATATACAGAACCCAAGTGCCTATGGATTCTTCGAATGGTGCGGCTCGTCAGCATTTACGGATGTCGTCGCTACTCAGTGCCATGAGTGCTACAACCTGACAGCCAACCAGATTTATCTAGGTAACTGTACGTTCACTTCACCCATACATTCACGTATACAGTGGCTAACACCCGGGGAAAAAAAAAAAAAAAGTCATCGAAGCCATCCGCTACAACTGCCACTTCCGCACATCAGACGGCGAAGCATTCCCCATCAGCCCCAGCGAGATCTTCACCCAAAAACCCCTCCCAGAACATACAGTATCCCTAACCGATCCCCCGAAAGACGGCTCAGGAGTAAACCTCCCCCTGGTCATCGCCGTTCCCATCGTCGGATTTATCGTACTAGTCTGCGCACTCAGCGTCTGCTGTTTCTTCTGCATCCGCCACCGTCGCAAGAAGTCGAAGGCGCGCGAGGAGAGGGAGTTCCATGAGCAGTGGAATACCATGGCTCTTGCCTCGCCGGGTCCGGGTGCTTGGGGACAATATCCCGCACAAGCGCCGGTCATGTCGCCGGCTGTTTGGGGGTATGGTGGGTATGGATATGGGCCTGGGGTTGCGTATTCGGATAATAATGTGAATGGTGGGCAAGGACAGGGTGTGGGGTTTGCGAAGTCGGATTTTGATACTATTCAGCCGGCTGTGGCTGTTACGTCGACTCCGACACCTGGTTCGTTGGAGCAGGAGCAGGAGCAGCAACAACAACAACAACAACAACAGCCTACCGGAAACGGGAATGAGGGACAGGTACAGGCTCATGCTCAGACTTATTTCCCGCCTCCCCCTGGCGCCCAAACCCAACCGCCACATGGTTCATGATTCATGAGCCACTGACGGCACCCTGCCTTTCAGGCAACTCTCTCGTATCGTCATTGACTAGAGCTAAGCGTGATGCTCTGGTCAATGGTCTGCTTTAGTGTTTTTCTTTTGCTTACCTCGTTAATTGATACCTACTCTCCTTATATACCCCCCTTGATGAAGCGTTGACACTGTTCATGTTGTTTTGATTTTGAAGTTGACATACAAATGATAATGTACACAGAGAACATATTAGGAACACAGAAACTATGAACATAGTAGTAATCAGCCGAGAAATACAAAGCATGATGCTGGATTATTAAAAATCACGCAGACCGAATCACTCGATAGTCAAGTGTGTTGGTCACTCATGCTTCTTCAAAGGTCCTGCGGCTCTGTCAGGCCGAATGGCTCTCCATAAATCGAGTGAAAGCTTGCCTTGTATCCGCGATGACTGATACATTCTAACTGAGAGCAATACTCTGCAGCAGGGTAATGGGTGCCCTCAGCGGACGGGGACGCCCGTGATCACCTTTGTGGATAGTTACGTTCGTTCAAGCTGATTGGATTTAGGAACCAGTATAACGCATCATTGAAGAAAGCGCAAACGCCTCGTCATGTATAATTCATCACGCAGGCCGCTGTATTTCCTGTTTTCTCTGAACTCTATGCCTCGAATGTGCAAATAACTTGGGCATTGATACATCGGGAGGCCTCAATAGAGTACCGATGCGGGTTGTTTGCGAAAAGATATAAAGCGCAATTTTAAAGACCTTGCGCAAGATATAATTCTTGCAAGGCTGTTGTCTTAAATACTATTTCAGAATGCTCATAGATCTCAGTCGCTGGGATTCAATTCATTAGCAAACGTTGTTTTCAATTAAGACTCAAGCCCTTAGATGGATCGAAATCCTAGTTACGCATGCCAGAACAATTCGTGTATGCTTGTTGGTTACGTGACCTCATTTTGCCTTAGGAAACCGATTATACCGAAGCCAATTGATTAATAGAGGTGTCCAGCTTGATGCTGGGTTTGTTGAAGAACCGAAAGAACCGAACCACATAGGTGGTTTAGAAGAAGCGAGTTTGATAGCGAGAATATCTCCACGGGAACCAACTCTCTACACCTTATCACTAGACCATATTGATCGATTTCAGAGAAAGTATGCCATAACCCTCAATTAAGGGATGAACACGCTCAGGAATGAAAGCATTTGGTCCCAGCATGTGTACGCCAAAAGACATATCTAGTATGATGTGATCAAATAGTGCTTCATACTGTTCCCGTCCGAGAAAACCCCAGCACTTGACAAGTTGTGAAGGAAAGATCGAGCGGTTTCCCCAGAACGATACTATGCCAAACCAGAGATGGCCGCCGAGTGAGCACATCATGCAAAATGCGGCCCAAGCTTGCTTCCAAGATGAATTCTACCGGTATTCCTGGGGCGTGCTACCGCGTTGCTCTAAGCAGCAATTATGGTTTTTTTTTTTTTTTTTTTTTTTGCCTGGTCTGGCTTGGGGCATCGAGATACTCCGTGACGGAGATAGATTCAGAGAGAATTATGTCCATTTCAAGCAAGCTACCTGTCAATCAAGGCAAAAAGATGATTGACTGCCGCCATAACTCAACAGCACTCTAAACACAGATATCGTCTTTGATGAGGGATTGAAGGACCCATGCATGGCAGAACAGGCCCTGATTCTGTTAAAAAAAAAAAAATTGAGTAGATTACACTTGGAATCTAGCTTAGGACTTCAAAGTCGCTTCATTAAGAAGATGCCTGACGTTTGTGTAAGGCGTAGGCTTGTAGCTATACGGAGTTAAGTAGCTATAGCGGGTATTATCTCCGACGACCAACTTCTCTTCCACCTCCGCATCTCAACCATCCTAATTTCTTCTAAACCACATCAAAGACAACCAATACAAAATGACCTCCCTAAACCAAGACCAAATAAAAGCCCTCGAGCAATCCCGCCAACGTCTCGTCCAATTAACCCACTCCCTAAGCTCCCTAATCACCAGCCTAAACACCAGCGATCCTCTTCCCTCATGGTACCCTCCCCAGCACTACAACAAAACAAAAAGTCACTAATAATGAAAAGGTCCTCCCTCCAATCCCAAGCAACAATCATCTCCAACAACCTCGTCACCGTCTCCGAACACCTCACCGACCAACAAGACCTCTTCGGCTCGCTCATCGCGTACCCAGGCCCCGACTACCCAAGCCGCACGCAAGGCCCCGCCCTCGAACAACTCCTGCGCACAAAACTCGACCCCCGTGTTGAAGACTGGGTATCGCGAGGTCGGACCGTGGGGCAGAAATCGCAGTCCCAGGCGCAGGCACTGGTCGGAGGCCAAGAGCTGAGCGAGGGGGATTTGGCGGAGTTGTGGGAGTGGGCGCCTGTGGAGGCGAATCAGGAGGCCAGGGGACGGAATTGGGGTGGAAATTTTACATTAGAGGAGAAGGAGGCGGGGATTGAGAATGTTGTTACGGGGTTGAGGAGGGAGTTGGAGGATGATGATGAGAGTGAGGAAGAAGAGGAAGAGGAGGATCAGATGGATATTGTGGGGGCTAGGAAGAAGGCGTCTGGGAGTGGGTTGGAGTTTGATATTGCTGCGAGACAGCCTGCGCAGGTGGCTGCTGCTGGGCCGGTGATGCCGTTGGATGATGTTTTGAGGTTTATGACGACTGGTTTGCCGCCGAAGCAGCGGTGATTACGCTACGACATGTTTTACTGCATGGATACAATTGGAAATGTGAACATCATAACGTCAAATTAAATTGTAATAGCAAGAAAGCAGATTAACCCCGTCTCCGGGTAGTAGGGGTCTTGCCAGACGGCTTGGGAGATGCCCCGGTGCTCGCGGCAACAGGAGCCTGCTGCACGGGCTTGGAAGTCGGCTTAGCCTGCTTCTTGGGCTTCGCAGGGCTCTTCCAGTAATACAGCATCTGACCAGCCAAGATCACGTTCAAGGTAAATCCGGCAATGAAGCTGTAGAGGATGAGCTTGTCGTCAACCTCTTGCAGGGTTGTGAAGATGCGCGAGAGGGATCCGATGAGATAGTTGAACACCTAGATAAACAAGATTTGTTAGCGATTTGTAGCGTATTTGTTGGTTTGCGATAGACATACCGCGAAAGCGCTCAACTGTCCAGTCCCACCCTCACTCCAGATGGTGAGAATTTGAGGAGCCTTGCTGGCAATGCTCAAAGCACCAGCACCAGCCTGCAGATAGGCCATCGTCTGCGCATCCACCATGCTCTGGTCCAGCAACAGCGCATACACACTAGCCGCAACGACCGCAACAAACGCCGCGGCAGCAGTCGGCCTTCCAGCAAAACTCAACACCAACACACCCACCACAACATCCTGCACAGCAATCAAGGCTGACTCGCCATACGTGCTGAACGGGAACTGGTTGCGGACACCATACGAAAGCGTGATAAGCAGACTAGCCGTCTCCAGCGCGTACGACACAAACGAGACGCCGGCCGACGACTGCGAGCCGATCAGCTTCAGGATCTGGGGGACCTTGACGATAGCGCTGGCACCGACGATGGCCAGACCAAGAGCCTTGGAAATAGCCAGCGATGTACAGTTGGGGTCCTTGGTCACGTCGAGGCCGAGCACCAGGGCATTGTGGCAGTCAGATCCGATCAGCGACACGATGGCATCATGAACGGGTTCGGGGAGAGAGAGGGCGATAGGGCGGAGAACCGGCTGGAGAGGTTCGATCACGGATTTCTGGAGGACGTCCATGGCGTTGTGCTTGTCTCGTTAACACACCGGAGTCTGTATTGTTTGTGGACAGTAGTAGTATTTAAATGTTGTTGTCTTTTGCTGATCGGCAAAAAAGTTCGGCTGCGCGACTGGCTCCTGTCGTCCGCCGGGGAATTTCTCCTCCGCTGCCCGCCGACTTGCTTAATTCCTTCTCCGTTTTCTATCGCCAAATGCTCTGACAGCAACGCCATGATTCCCCTCCGTTCCTCACTGTTGGGGCCCGGGGCAGCTTCTCGAGATCCTGCGCGCCTGCTGTGTTCGCAATGTCTACACCGTGCTGCGCGCCCGCAGCGCCCCTCCGTCCGGACGTTCGTCTTCTCGTCCCGCTTGCGATCCGGTGTCGCTCATGACAATTCTCCGTCGTCTACGCTGCAAAAGACTTACTTTTCTGGGAACCGGACAGTGGACGATGCGACATTTATCAGTAATGGGAACCTCTTGGGCTCGTTATCGACAGCCAATTCCCCTGCCTCTCCCGCCAACACTCGTGCGGCATCCTCGTCATCCAGCGATGCCATACAATCAAATCCAGAGGAACTGCCTCATAGACGGAGGAAACGATTAAAAGAAGAAGCGACTGGGGACAATGCCGCAGAACATGTCATTCCGCCAGATGCATCCGCGCAACTCTCGTCCTTTTCCTCCGCTCTCCCCACCACTTCTCTCCGACGCAAAATGGCCGCCTTCCTCGCCCTTACCAAACCCCGTCTCTCGGTTCTCATCGTCCTCACCACAACCTCTGCGTACGGCATGTATCCTATCTCGACGCTCCTCACACTCGACCCGTCCATCGCCCCGCTTCCGACCCTTTCCACCTCGACATTGACCTTCCTTTACTTGACCACGGGCACATTCCTCTCTTCCTGCAGTGCCAACACGTTGAACATGATGTTCGAACCGAAATACGATGCGCAAATGTCCCGGACGAAGAACCGGCCATTGGTTCGAGGCCTCCTCTCCCGCCGTGCAGCCCTTCTCTTTGCGATCGCCACGGCCGCCTCGGGGCTTGGTTTGCTGTACATTGGAACCAACCCGACTGTGACGGCGCTTTCGGCCTTCAACATCTTCCTGTATGCTTTTGTCTATACTCCGTTGAAACGGATACATGTGATCAATACCTGGGTGGGAGCCATTGTGGGAGGAATTCCTCCGCTAATGGGCTGGGTTGCTGCGGCTGGCCAGACGGCAACTGTGGGCCACGACACATGGCGCGACATGCTCCTCAGCGAAGATAGCATTGGCGGATGGCTATTAGGGGGCATTCTGTTTGCCTGGCAATTCCCACACTTCAATGCGCTTTCCCACACAATTCGCGAAGAGTACAGGGCGGCTGGGTATAAAATGCTCGCCTGGACCAACCCAGCTCGGAACGCGCGCGTCGCCCTTCGCTACTCCGTTCTTATGTTCCCTATCTCCATTGGGCTCTGGTGGGTTGGTGTGGTTGGCCATGGCTTCCTGGTTGGCAGCACGGTGGCCAATGGCTGGCTAGTGAAAGAGGGATATAAATTCTGGAAGGATCAGGGTGCCAATGGGACAGCCCGCGGCTTGTTCTGGGCTAGTATCTGGCAACTTCCTATCCTTCTGGTCGGAGGTCTGGTGACGAAGAAGGGTCTTTGGGACGGTGTCTGGAACGAGATCTTTGGCCAGCCTGTTGATGATGAAGATGATTACCTCTACTACGAGGTTGAAGAGGATGAACTTGAGACGAGTAACGCAGTCTCTCCGGGGTCGAGTTCTTCGTCAAGATAGCAGTCTTGTTTTTGATGTTTCCATTTTTTGTTCGATATAGTACTGGGATGGCGTTTATTGTATAATAGCATATGATTGATTGTGATGCAATTAAAACGAGATGTTGATAATAGATGGGACACTAGAGGCTTACTTTGCGCAGCCCTACTACTTTCTTCCCCTATTCAGCAGCCAAACCGTTGCTGTATCCACCAACGCCAATGTCCACTCGGCCCGACCCGTTTCTATCACGTGCGCTCCCTATATGATGTCTCGTATCTCTGTTTTCTTCAATAACACGAATCCATAGATTCGCTGTATCGACTGACAACTGAAATCAAAATGGCACTCGAATCGTTATCAATAAAACGCCCACATCCATCTCCCGGGGTTGTGGGCGGCATCGTCACACATAATGTACTGCATCCCCTACCACACCCTGTCCAGCAACATATGTGCTTACGGAGCATCCCTGAACCTACAAGCTAACCATGTAACAGCTCCTGCGAGACACATTCACAATCCAAACATGGCTCCTCATTGGCGCCGTTCTGCAATCTCTACTGACAATTTTCCTACCACTCCCCTACGCCATCCTCCCTGCAAGCTGTCTCTTATCATGGCGCGCTATGCATACCATGCTCATGGCATGCGGGCTTATCAGAAACACGAATATGGATGATGTGATTATGGGGAAGTTCTCCGCGCAGATCCCCGGGAGGGACAGTGTGATGCCGAGGAGGGGGGCGGAGGAGGATGTTACCGTTATTTTGTTGGGGGCGAGATCGAATCAGTTAGTTCCTTTTTTCTATGCTAGAGCCATTATAGCGGGCGTGGATTGACTAACGGATGGGTGGGAATAAAGTCCCCTTGGAATCTTCGGTCCCGGGTATCAACAGGTCGGAGACTTTCAGAACAAAATGCTAGCCCAACTGGATGGCAATGCAGAAAAATATGGATGTAAACCACTCCCATCCCATTCCCCATGTCACATAACTAACGAAAAAAGTCCTCGGCTCAACAACATACCTCGAAGCCACCGCGCGCCAAACCAGCAACCAAATCATAACAGCATGCTACTTCCGCTCGATTGAAGAACTGCACCGCTACGCGCATAGTCCTCTGCACAGAGAGGCGTGGAATTGGTGGAATGGGATCACCAAGACGCATCCACATTTGAGTATCTCGCATGAGGTGTATCATGCGCCCAAGGGGTGTTGGGAAAATATTTATGTTAATTATCATTTAACTGGGATTGGTACGTTTATCCCCTCTTGTTGGGGTTGGGGTTGTAGGGGTGAGGTGATGGTTGCTAATTGTGGTAGGGAATATGAGGGTTGATGTTAAGAGTCCCGAGGAAGGCGTGAGGCCGATTGTGGATGCGAGGAAGGGAGGGTTGAGGACTCAGACGGGACGGTTAGCAAAGGGGAATGGGGCGGATAATGAGAAGTATGGGGCTGATCCTTATTAGTTCTGGACATGGGCAGGGTGCATATATAAGTTGACTGATACCATTTTATATACTGGCATATAATACATACATGAGACGAGAGGGTATCTTCTATCTACACAATCCCTATTATACACTAATCACCCCTCAACCGCAAATGATACGTCTCCAACGCCTCCTCACTCATCTCACTCGGAGCCCTCACCATAGCATCTTCCCCTCCCTTCCCAGTCTTCGGGAACGCAATAACATCCCTAACACTCTCCTTCCCCAGCATAATCGCCACCAACCGATCAAATCCCAGCGCCAACCCCGCATGCGGCGGACACCCAGCCCTAAGCGCATCAAGCAGGTGTTCAAAGTCTGCCAACCGCTCCGGCCGCATCTGCAGGATATCACGGAGGATGAACTCCTGCACAGCTGCGTCGTGGATACGACGACTTCCACCGCCCAGTTCCACGCCGTTGACGACGAGGTCGTAGTGGTCTGCGATTGCTTGTGTGGGGTCGGATAGGAGTTTGTCGACGTCCGCTGCGGTCTTGGGCGCTGTGAAGGGATGGTGGGTTGAGGAGATCCCCGCTGTGCCGCCCTGGCCCGGTTCTGTGTCTGAGGAGGGGGAGAAGAGGGGGAAGTCTGTTATCCAGAGGAATTCGAAGCCTGTGGGGGCTGGCTTGAAGCCCGAGGATACGGCGGCGGTGTGCAGAGCGCGACGCAGGTCGCCGATTGCAGTGGAGCCGCCGGTGAAGGGCGCTGCTTCACGGGCTTGGATTACGATGAGGTCGCCGTGGTCTGGGTCGAGGGCGTTTTCGATGTGTTCGGCTGCTTCGAAGCCGAAGGGTTGCAGGCCGCAGAGGGGTTTCTTGGCGTTGTAGACGAAGATTCCCGGGGCGCCGTCCGGGTTGCTGTTGAATGGGACGCCAGCCGGGGAGTCTAGGAATTCAGTGAGGAATTTGGTCATAGCGGCGGGGTCGTTGTCGTTGTTTTCGATTTTGAAGACTTCCACGTATGGTTTGAGGATTGGTGTGATCTTGCTGACTAGGTCGACGGGGAGGAGGTAGTCGATCCGAGAGATTTGCATGCCGTATCGAGTGTCTGGTTTATCGGATCCGTACTTGCTCATGGCCTCCTCGTATGAAAGTCTCCGGAATGGGCCGGACGGTGCTGGTTCGTTCATCAGGGTCGACCAGAGCCTGCAGATAACTCCTTCAACGACCTTCATGACATCTTCGCCGGTTGCAAAAGACATCTCCAGATCGAGCTGGGTGAATTCAGGCTGTCTATCCGCCCGGAGATCTTCATCTCTGAAGCATCGTGCGAATTGGTAATATCTCGGGATTCCACTAGCCATAAGAATCTGCTTGTATTGCTGAGGACTCTGCGGCAAAGCATAAGCCAATCCACGCCTGCGCGTTGGAACCAGAAACTCTCTGGCACCTTCCGGCGTCGACTTGAACAAAAGTGGCGTCTCAACCTCGACAAAAGCAGGCTGACACTGCTCCAACTCCTCTTTGCAAACATTGTGTACCTGCGCACGGAACCGAAGCGCATCACGCAACTCACTCTCATTGCGTAACTGCAGATACCGTTGTTCCGGGGCGAACACGGTCTCCGGAGTCATGAGAATATCGTTCGGGAAGTCATTGAGCGGGTGTACATCTTCGACGTGCACTTCCCAAGCATCACTCTTTTCAGGCGTCTCCCCTCCCTTTGCCTTCTTAGCCTGAACCTTGCCTCGGACTGCGACGGGGCTGTTCGCTCCAATTGACCTGAATTTTTCAAAAGCGTCGCCACTTTTGGCAAACGAGACTAGTTGCACGCTGTGTTTCATTGTCGGGTCCGTTAAGCGCACGAAGGATAGTTTCTTGGAGAGGTCCGCGCGGTGTCCGAGGTAGCCGTGCAGAATGGCTTCTTGACCAGAACTGGCCTGGGCCAGAAACACCTCAAAGTCATTATGCGTAGCAGGGGGAAACTCAACTATGAATCGGAGGGTTAGCGCACTCCGTTATTGATGTCTAAGTAACCGAAGTCATACCAGCTTTCTTAAAACGTTCTAGGAAGGTCCGGTGCTCTGCATGGATATGTGGTTGCTCCCGGAGACAAGACTGTTTATGAAATGCTCTATATTTCGGAATTTGAGTTAACAGACCAGTCCGTAGCCCAGCTTGTCGGCCGCGGAAGTAGTTCGAGATCTCGATGTAGCTGGAGTGGAGACGGGGGGAGTATCGTCCCACACGGGGTAGCATCTTGAGAAGAGCGGTATGAGCACGCTCGTAAATACCAATTGATCAATTCAACCAAATAACAATTGGAAAACAACTGAAATAACAAGAAATTGAAAGAAAATGAAGCCGAAATGCGTTATATCGGCAGAATGCCACCGCCCGCCCAGAAAGTCCTAGCGCGGCCCCCCCACATACAAAAATCGGCGAATTTTTCACAATTTCTCTTCTTTTCTTCTCCATCCTTCCAAGTTTTGAATAGGTGAGTGCAAGTTTTCCTCGATTTCAATGCGATAATTGCTAATAATATGCAGATGATGAAAGCTTAGCGTGTTTTATTTGAACCATTCCCCCTCCAGGAGTCTTGTGGCTCTCTCTTTCGGGAGTTCAAGGGCTGCAGGACTCGGGATGGGGGGAGGATGATAGCGGCGTTCGGCACGCCAACCTTGTTACTTCAACGGACGCGATGAAGGCATCTCTGATACACACATTACTTGGTGGTGTTTAGTGGTTTGGCAAGACCCCTGGACCTAGGACGGTTCCCTCTGGTTCGCGGTCGAGATGCCAGTATATTGTAGCTATATAGACCAATGATACCCTTTCTTGATACTTCTCATCGTCTTTACCTCAGCTGCTTGTCACTCTGTTTCTCACGCAAATCCGGATATCTTTGCAATGCGCTTTCAACAACTCTGCCTAGGAGTACCTCATGACTGATACCGTGGTACTTGGCGGTTTGTACCAGGTTGGACCATTGCGGACGCAACCCAGGCAGTGGATTGAGCTAGGATAGTTAATCCTGCAATGTGCATAGGGCGGAGTAAGACATACCTCCAGAACATACGGCTTTCCATTCGCCCCAAATCGAACATCCACTCGTCCAACATCGTAACACTCCAGCGCCCTCCATGCCCGCAGGGCAAGATCCTCAGAGGCCTGAACTTCAGGATTATTGTGAGCATCCACACATTGGTCCAGGTGATCATTCCCCTCCTCGTTTTTATTGGAGATGGTGAAGAAGCCGCCGTCGGCTGGATTCGACCAGTTTACTTGGAGCGAGCCAAGGACTTTCGCAGAATTGCCCGTCCCCAGCAGACTGACTGTGTACTCGTTTCCAGCCAGATATTTCTCCACCAGGATACTTTGTCCTGGGAATCGCCCCTGGAGCTTCTGGACACCGTCCTCTAGTTCGGAAGGACAGGTCACTTTGCTGAAGGGGTAAATCCCTTTTGAGGACCCCTCGCAGGCTGGTTTGATGAAGAGCGGGAAGTCTTGTAGTTCTTCTGCATGGATGCTTCTTTCCAAGAGCTGCGATACTGTTGATGCCGTCGGGCCATTGGGAGTCCACAATGCCGGGACAACGGCGAAGGGTGCAGTCGTAATACCCTGATATTCGAGGACCATCTTAAGTAGTTGTCAGCTATTAAATCCTGGTTCTATAATGAAACGGCCATACCTTCGTCTTTCCCTTATCCAAACACAAAGCCAACGTTGCCGCATCCGATAATACATGCGGAATGCGATACGCCTCCAGTAGTCCGGGCACTTGAGCTTCACGGCCAACCCCATGCATTCCCTCGGAGATTGAGAAAGCTAGATCCCACTGCTCATGTTCTCCTTTGGCCATCCGGCTCACCAGTTCCTTGACATCACCTACCAGGACTACTTCGTAGCCATTGCTTCGGAGGGATTGGGCAATGGCTTCGATGGTTTCATCCTGGTCCAGCTCTACACAGTCTTCGAAGCTGTAGCCGCGGGAACGATAGAGGGAGAAACTTTCGTAGAAAAATGCTATCACTAGGGGCGCCATCTTGGTAATGGTGAGAGATTTTGGAAAGTCGGCCGGGCTGAGCTTGAGCATATCACTCTGACGCTTTATTCATGCCACGCTGTACGATCGCCGCGCACAAGCACAAACTTTACGGCTGAAGCAGCGGTCTGAGCTGAATCTCAGTTGAGACATAAAGCTGCCACTCGGAAGAGGGCCAGAATGCATTGACCAACGCATCTTGCATAACTATGAGCAATGCATACACGATTATTGTACGGATGGGCGGTAGGATCCATCAGCATTTACATATCCCGTATAACCATAATGATTGCCATACCTGTTTTCCATGGCTCTGAATTATCTTTAGATTTGAACCAGACATGACTTTCTATACCAGATTGACACAGAGTGGCATCCGGCAATACATTCATCGCCAACAATATAACCCTCGACGGTGGCTCGCCACTAATGGTCCCCAAACAGTGATCTTCGATCCTCCCTCTCAGACGCCATTGACCAGCGCTTCCCAGGCCAAATACTGGAATAATATCCCGTTCTGGAAAGATGTCTCGGAGAACGAGTTTATCGACTACAAGTGGCAGGTAAACACACCATGAACCATAGACTTATACGTCTCTCTAACATCCATAGATGAAACACTCCCTCCAAAATGCAACTTCTCTCCTCACCTTCCTCACCTCAGTTCTCCCTTCTAGTATTCCCTCGCCCTCAACGAACGGATATGCCACCCGTGAGGAATTCATCGCGGATGTTGCCGCAGGCATGAAACGGGCACCTATGGCAATCAGACTCACGCCGCATATTCTCACCCTGGTCAACTGGGAGCAAGCTTATTCGGATCCTATAAGACGGCAGTTCATCCCACTTGCTTCGTCGTTTCAACCGGATCACCCGCAGTTGCAGCTGGACTCGCTACATGAGAGTCTGGATTCACCTGTGAAGGGATTGGTGCATCGGTATCCAGATAAAGTGTTGTTCTTGGGTAAGTCTAAGTCTTGTTAAATCTGAAAATGAAGAAAAACACAAACTGACCTACCCAGCCTCCTCCGTGTGCCCCGTATACTGCCGCTTCTGCACACGCTCCTATTCCGTCGGCACAAAGACCGAAACCGTCTCAAAGAAACGCTTCCTCCCACTACGCAAGTACTGGGAGCCCATGTTCGAGTACATCTCGCGTACTCCCGCTGTAACAGACGTCGTAGTCTCCGGAGGTGACTCGTATTTCCTCGAGCCCGCACAACTACGCGAGGTAGGCGAAGAACTCCTGAGAATCAACAACGTGCGCCGGATCCGCTTCGCGAGTAAAGGGCTATCCGTGTGCCCGTCACGGGTCTTGGATACCACCGATGACTGGACGCGGACGTTAATCGAGATCAGTAACCTGGGGAGAAGAAAGGGGAAGAGCGTGGCGTTGCATACGCATTTTAACCATTCGCAGGAGATCTCATGGATCACGGAGCAGGCGGCGCAGAGGCTGTTTGAGAATGCGGTTACGGTGCGCAATCAGACGGTTTTATTGAATGGGGTGAATAATGATGTTGCGACAATGAAGGGGTTGATTCGGCGTTTGGCTGATATGAATATCCAACCGGTACTATTTCTCCTGATTCTCTCATTGCACTGATTGCTAACCCAAGCAGTACTACGTATACCAAGGCGACATGGTCCAGGGAGTCGAAGATCTACGCACACCATTACGCGACATTCTGCATATCGAATCGCATGTCCGCGGCACAATTGCGGGTTTCATGACACCTTCATTTGTGGTCGATCTTCCGGGAGGCGGAGGGAAGCGTCTGGCGCAGACATTCCAGAGCTATGATCAGAAGACTGGGGTGTCGAGATTCATAGCGCCGGGGGTGAAGGGGGATACGGTTCATGAGTATTATGATCCGTTGTGGTCGTTGCCGTGAACGTATCGTGGTGTGATAGCTTTCGTGCACAGATGGGTCTATAATTGTGCCTGTACTAGTGCATAGATGTATACATTCATGGTCAGTTATGGACTCTGAATATCAATTGTTATATAGAGTAGATGAGTACCTTTGAGCAAATTATATGTGGTTATCAAGTGTCAGATACTAGGTTAGATCATGGTGGTGTTGGTTCTACTACAGTCTGCCTTGCAGCAAGCATCACCGCCATCATGCTTCAGGGCAATAGTCCAAGTTCAACCATTTCTAAAAAGCAATTGGTTCATTCTTAGCAATATCGGCGAAAACAACCTGCCAAACCATATCCAAATCTCTATACCAGCCAATCTCCAAGGCTCCCTATAAAGATATCAAGATAGATCAGACGCCTCCCCCAAAATAATCCTCTCCAAAACATCCTTCTCCCCACTACTCCCAACCAACCCCCAAAACACACCACCCTCAATTCCCATCAACTCCCTCGGCCTCCCAAACTCAACCGCCCTCCCCGCATCCATAACCAGAATCCGATCAAAATCCGCAACCGTACTCAACCGATGCGCAATAACAAGCAAAGTCGACGCGTTCCGCCCGAATTCAGAACGGATCGAGCGTTGGATCAGCGCGTCGGTTTCCATGTCAACTGCGGATGTTGCTTCGTCTAGAATCATCACTTTGGGACGAGATACGATGGCGCGAGCGAGGCAGAGTAGTTGGCGCTGGCCTTGGGAGAGGTTGAAGCCTCCTTCGGATATCGTGTCGGATAAGGATGTGAAAAGGCAGTTGTTTTTTGTACGGCTCGTATGGGTTGAAGCAAGCGTGTCTGTTGTGCTTTTTGGGCTTGTAGTTCGCGTGATGCGTGGCTGGGTGCTCGATTCAGAGGCTAGGGTTTCTGTGTCTCCGAATGAGATGAGGTTGACTCGTTCCAATGCGTCGTATAGTTCGGGATCACTGTGTTCGTTGAACGGGTCGAGGTTGGATCGCACTGTGCCGGAGAAGAGGACTGGGTCCTGGGGGATGATGGCCAGACGACTTCGGAGATCGTGCAGTTTGAGCTTGGAAATGTCCAAGCCATCGATGTAGATGTGGCCCCATCGAGCTTCCAAAAAGCGGAACAGTGCCAGAGTGAGGGATGATTTACCAGCCCCAGAACGGCCAACGACTCCTACTCGTTGATTTTTCTCCATTGTGAATGACAGACTGTTGAGCACGGGAGGCAGATCCGGTGCATAGCCAACGACTAGATCCTCCACTTCTACCTTGCCCTCTGTCGGCCAAGAAGCAGGTGCTTCCATTCCGCTTTGGTCCTCGATTTCAATATTCGAGTACTCGAGCACCCGTTCCGTCGCATTCATATCCAACTCAACGTTCGCGTACTGTCGTAGAACCATCACAATAGCACTATTGTACTGCAATGCAAAACTCAAAGCAAACCCGGCAAGAGCAGCCGGGATGCTAGGGAAGTAGACCACTAGAGCCGCAGTCATGGTTGAAAAAATGGCTCCCACGACACTCATGCGGTAGTCCAACCACATATTGAACAGCCAGAGATACCACGCTGTCCGTGCGTGCACACTGATCTTCTCATACATGATTCTAATATAGGTATCTGTTTTGTTGAAAGCGCGGATGGTGATGAGACCTGCAAGGCTGGAGCCAAACTGTTCGAAGATAGGGCTTTTTGCTATGCTCTCCAGTCGCTTGACTTCACGAGCCCCGGCGAGGTATATCAAGGACAGTTTCAGACAAATTCCTAGGATCACAGTTGCGAAAATGATCACAAACGGAGAAACGGCCATACCGGCCAATAGAATGCCGGTTATCTCCAGGACGTTATGAATGAACAATCCGATGTCATAACTGAGTCTCACATCGACAGCATAGATGTCTGATGTAAATCGGTTCAGAATGCGGCCCAGGGGAACTGTATCAAGCCACCGGAGAGGCGCACGTAGCACGGCGTAGGTCAGGTCATTGAATAGGTTCTTTGACGCTTCTATTCCGGCTTTCATAAGGGTAAAGTATCTGACTGTCCCCAGTACACAAGCCATAATGGAGATGCCCACATATACACTGAGGTAAAGGAATAGATCCGCATCTGCATTTACAGAAGCTAGGCGGTCCGTGATAATGTCGATGCTCGAGGGATGATGATTTGTGTGTTCTTGTTTGCTAGACGAACTGGTCCATAGTTTCATCCACCATGACTGAAGCAATAATGTCAATAACGGAGCATACCAAGGGCGGGGAACAACTTACACGTCCAACAATGAGGCAAGCATATACAACATATGCACCAAAAATAGTACACCAAAAGTAAATGCTACCTCCCTTCTTACAATAGGCAGCATACACGGAAAGAGAAACCGATCCGGTGCCGTTCGCTTCGTCCTGCACGAATTTTGGTGCATCGGCCTCGCCAATGTTCGCATTCCTGCTCCAGATAGAGCTCCGTCTGCTCTGTCGACTTACGATCGAACTTCGTCTGCTAGCTACAGAGCTTCGTCTGGCTGTAGTTGATGTTCGGTTCCTGGTGCTCGAACGCACTTTATTGGGAGCAGCCATAGGGTCAATGTTAGATTCATGAGGCGCCTTTACAAGGGTCTGGTCCTCGGGTCTTTCTGATTCCTCCAATAAAAGGAGATCCGATAGGCTGTTTTTTCGCCGAAGCTCCTCGACCGTACCAGCGTGCTTGACATGTCCGTTCTCGAGAAAAATTGAATAGTCTGTATGCGAAAGGCAGAGAGTGGCGTGATGAGTGACAAGGATTCGTGTCCGTTTTTGACCAATCTCACCAGCCAGGGCGTGGTTGTAGACATGACGGCCTGTATGAGCATCCAGTGCGCTAAAAATGTCGTCCATAATGAGAATCCCGGCCCGAGAATACAATGCTCTGGCGAACGATACCCGCCAGCGTTGACCACCACTCAGGTTCACGCCATTTGCTCCAATATCCGTCATTTCTTTGTCGGGGAACATTTCAAGATCCTTGTCCAAGGCGCAAGCATAGAGCACCTTGCGATATCGTGTAGGGTGATATGGTAAACCGAATAGGATGTTGTCTCGGATAGTTCCATTCTCAATCCAGGGAATTTGAGCAACGTATGCGATTGCATTGTCGATAATCCATTCTGCACTCGAGATGCGACGGTCATATCGTACATTGAGCTGTGGAGACACAGGAACCTTAACCTTGCCTTGGAGGACGTCACACTCTCCAAGGATTGAGGCGAGCAGAAGGCTCTTTCCAGACCCAGTCTTTCCAGATATCACACTCAGCCCTTTGGACGGGAAGTTCAAATTTAAATTGCGTAGCACAAAGTGTTCGTCGGTATCCCAATCACTGTGATCTTCATCAGCAGGCCACGCGACCGACGCTGCCTCGAATGCTATGTGATTAGCTGGGGTCGTGTTAACTGGTTTCTCGGGACTAGACATATACTTGTCAATGCGATCCGAGCTAATCTTTGCTTCCAAGGCTTTCGACATCAAACCCGGCAGACTCGCCATGGAGAGCTCCAATGATCCGAATATTGACATGGCAGTGAAAGCCACGGATGCAGTAAGCTCGCCATACAGCAATGCGTACACGGTAAGAGAGGCAGCTGACAGCATCAAAGGCCCCAGGATCCAAGTGGATATTAGACCCGTGCTATATAGGAAAGAGGTCCAAAGAGACTGCAACTCTGCATGGCGTCTTTCAGCGATCTTCTTTTCCCATTCCCCTTCGATTGCTGAAAATTTGATTTGTCGAATACCTTGGAGAACTTCAGAAACTACTGCTAGTTTCAAATCTCGTAGCTTCATGAGATCGTCCTGACACTTCGCATATCTTGTGGCGAGGTAGCTGTTGACGGGTATTATCACAGCTGCTACAACGAGTCCTGTCGACAAGCTCTTCCATCCGAGAAGACTTAGCAGGAAGGCGCAGGCAATCGTCAACCTAAGTATGGCATGCGGAATCAGATAACTGTAGCAAGCAAAATCGGCGACTCGTTTCGAATCAACTGCTGCATAATTTATGATGCTCTGAAGCCCCTCCTGTGCTTCCTCATCCTCTTCTTCTGTTTCAAGTAGAGAGGCCGCCGAAGGATCCAGTGCCGATTCTTCGGGCTTATATGTCGTTTTCGCATCTTTTACATCCTTTTTCCGCATAGACTTGGCGAACACCAGCGCTGCCAGCTCCTCGTAAACGGGGACGCCCAATTTTGAGTAAACGGTCCAGAAGAGCCACGAGTCGATGCTTGATGATAGCAGCATAAAACATCCCAGTGCTGATACCCATATCCATGATTGCGAAGTACCCTGTGTGTCTCCACGATCTTCTAAGCACTTTAGGATCCTATACAGAGCCACCTGCGGCCCAAAACTTAGAGCACAAGATACTAGGGCAAGCGTAAGCTGGAGAAGAAACGATCGCCAATGAGCAATAACGAGACTTGTCCATATAGTATGGCCTGTTCTCACACGCTCAAACCGAGTATGAAGAGTTTCAGGGCGGACTGACAGAGGCAGAGCAGGCAAATTGTCAATCTCAAGGCTCTTGTTTTGAACCGCGTGTTGCAACAGTCCATTGATCCAACTGAACGTCATCCGATGCAATATTGAAACTGAGTATTGTTGGTCAACTACATTGCCCTTGTGATACACGTCTGGACGGCGTGGGACTAGAAGGCAGCATATTCCGCGCAGAAAGGCGACCGCGATTTGCGTTACAACCAGTCCGATTGAGGGCCGATTGAATGATTGACGAGATACTAAGATTCCGATGTAGACTTGTAGACATGGGATCAGGAAAGCCAATATGCTAGCGTAAAAGGCCAACTGGCTTTGAGCGAATCTTTCTGTGCGCAACGGCTCAACGAAGAGAGCAGCAGATTGAAGGACGAGGCACGCCTTAAGATATCACATAGATGCATTAGCACTCCCAGTTCAGCAATATCCATCTCGCAAATTCAAGTACGCCAAGGTATAAACTCACCCAAATGCCGATTTGGAGCCAGGATTGGACAATATAGTCTTCAATGCCGACGTGAACAGTAGTGGTAATGGCCAAGCCTAAGGCGATCTCGAATCCTGCCACAGAAAGAAGGCCGATCACCATTCGTTGCCATTTGTCCGAGAATCTCCTCACAGAGTCATCGGTCGCATCTCCGTCCTCATCTGCGTAGAAGGAGCTAGCCAGGCGTGTTCCATCGTGCTGGCTTGTTGTCGACGTCCCATCCAATCGACGAACAACGCTTCTGGCAGCAGCAGTGCTAGTAATCAAAACCAAGGATAAACCAATGTAACTGGTCAGTAACGACAAAATATCCGAATTCGATGCCATTCCTCATCACTCCTCACGGTTAGAACTAATTCTGAGACCAAATCTAAGACAAAAAAGACATGGGAAATGGATTGGACGGAAGATGTTCCAGACGAAAGTATAGTAGTATAGTTGGACAGTAACGCCCACTGCAGAAAATATGTCGCCTACACGCGATTGCATCACGGCATTCCTCTCCTTGCTTTGGCCTGTCCTCGAACTGAGCCAGGCACCACTTGATGGCCGGAATTCTCTCATCATCCTGTCCCGGTGGGCACGGATCGAAATGAAAATCGAAAAAGACTGTGCTTGAGATTCCAGTGAAGCTTATTGGATACCCACTCGGTGTATTCCGTACATAATATCCTGCGTTCCGGATAATTTTGTAGTGAAGAAAGGAGTTAAAGGAATGGATCTGGGCAGCCGTTGACTCCTAGATGCCACGTTCGGCCAATCATGCAAAGAGGCATGTCACGAGAGTGAGCTTTGGTCTATGCATTCTTCCGGGACTGTCCAACGTGAGTAGTTTACACGAAGCAGACAGAAGTATGAGGCAGGCGTTTTCATGTGAATATATACTCCGTTACTGACCATGCACAAGATACTGCATAGTTGTCTAGGATCGATAGCTCCAGCTGAGCGCTCAGCCCGATGCATCTTCATCCATAATGACACTCAAGATGCACCAAACGAGTTTGATCGGGGACATAGTACAGAGTAGTAGACAAGACGCCGGAGGCATTAAGGTACCCTATACACTAACCGCTTTGGGAAGCGGCACCGCATCAATGATTCTCCTTCGGAAAAACTGTTGATCGTTATCGGTGGATGGCAGAAAAGTAATGGACGGTTTTCTCGGGCTTGCTTGATTCTCGTCAATTACGTTCGTTAGGCCGGAGATTTGGTGGAATACACCTTTCCTTTCAGGTGTCATGAAACCACAAATATCATATCTTCCTTCTGCGGCACGGCTTTCCGCTCGGCCCCTCAACCTTCCTCTATCCCACCGCGGAGTTCGCCATTATGCGCAGATAGCGTCGGTACGGGCAAGGCCCTCATTATCCCAATCGAATCTTCCAGTCTTGTTCTCGGATGGACGCCATGTGCAAAGAAGATGGATTACAGAGGCTTACGTCCAGCGAATGAAAGATGCGGAGAAGCAATGGAAAGAATGGGCAGGGGAGATCAAGGCCGGGAAGAGACTCAGTTTTGTGCAGCATCTGGAGCAGAGAGAACTACTGCATGATGTTGTCGGGTTCGTGGAGCATGCAATTATTACAGTTCATTGATTCCGGGCGAGGACTCCATGCTGACTTTGAATTTTCTCAGGGAACGCGATCTTCTACACAAAGTCTTCACCGAGAAGCGAGTCGGCCTCTACGCCGGTGTAGATCCAACCGCTCCTTCGTTGCATATTGGACACATGTTGCCGTTCATGGTCCTAGCGTGGGCCTACGTCTGGGGCTTACCCGCGGTGTTCCTGGTCGGTGACCCTTCTGTGTTGGAAGTCTTAGCAAGTTTGACTGACCCCGGTACAGCTTGGCGGTGCCACGTCTCGAGTCGGTGATCCAACGGGGAGATTGCAAGGGAGGGAACAGGTACAATCATCCATCCGCAAGGCAAACATGGCAGCCATGCACATGCAACTGAAGAAGCTGGGTGCGAGCATCGAGAGATACGGTCAAAGGCACGGGTACGAGACCCAACGGATCTGGAGGCGGTCACTGGTGAACAATAACGTATGGTGGAACAAAACATCATTCATTGAATTGCTACGGGACTTGGGCGCTTTTATGCGACTTGGCCCTATGCTGGGCAGAGACACGTAAGTTGATCGCTGTGATTGTCTGCTGTTTCTGAACATGCGCTCATCTAATAACGTACAGAGTCAAAACTCGACTTGCGAAAGGCGACGGTATGTCTTTTGCTGAATTCTCATACCCTCTTATGCAAGCATGGGATTGGTGGGTTTTGTTTAGAAAGGGTGTCCAGGTCCAGGTGGGAGGCACCGATCAGTACGGTAATATCCTCTTTGGTATGGATGCGGTCAAGTCCATCAGCAGGAATACCGCAAACGAGCAGGACCGGAACGGTCTTGAAAAGGATGTGGACAGGCCAATCGGTCTGACCACGCCATTACTGACAGCTTCGTCTGGCGAGAAACTTGGAAAATCCGCTGGCAACGCGGTTTGGCTTGATAAGGACATGACATCCACCTTTGAATTATACCAGGTCTGCAACTCCTCCACCTCCTTCTCAACAAACCAGCACTGACATGGCCACCAGTTCTTCGTACGAATTCCTGATGACGTCGTTGAACGCTACTTGAAAATGTTCACGTTCCTACCTTTACCAGAGATTTCCAAGATCATGGAGCAACAGAAAGATGACCCGTCAAAGCGTGTTGCACAACATGCTCTGGCTTTCGAGTTTGTGGAGCTCATCCACGGGAGACAAGAGGCAGAAGCCGTATCCGTACAACATCGTCAGCTATTCCGCCCACGGGAATCGACAGCTGAGCCGACTCCTCTGGCTCAAGCCGGGAGACAACCACCAGCCGGTCATTTCAGATCCCCCACAGCGAGCTTCGTCAATCCCCAGGCTGGGAACCAGTACGCCCCCCAAACCAATTTCTCGAACATGCCGTCTGTAAATGTCACTCTTCCGCGGTCCCTTGTCTACGACCAACCTTTCAACCGGGTCCTGTGGCACGCGGGATTGGTGTCATCTAAGAGTGAAGGCCACCGCATTATTAAGAGTGCGGGAGCATACGTGGGATCCCGCCCAGGCGAGAGCGGGCCCATGTCGGATGAGTTGTCATTCACGCCCATCAAGCCATGGACGGCTAACAAGACAGCAGAATTCGTTCACGGTGAGTCTCTGTTGATCCTGAAGCTGGGCAAGTGGAAGTTCAAGCTGGTCAACATCATCAGTGACGTAGAATTCAAAGAGCGCGGGCTTACTGCACCCGGATGGGAATCACAACAGGATGAAAATTGACCAGAAGAAATCTAAATGAGGACATGATACTCTGCTTTTTTGAATGATTTCGTGTATTTATAGACTTTGCACATATCCGAATGCATGTACCATAGCATAATGGCGTATTTCTACTCCTTTCCTTCATTCTCTTTATATCTTGACCTATGTCTTTGTATTATATAAATTGATCGGTTAATATTGTAGTATTTTATTGGCTTTTTTATTATATATGTATTTTTTGCCCTGTCAGGTGTAGACATGCCATATAGTTACCCTACCTGGTACGGAGTACACGGACAAAACCACTGAACGCGTCGACGCGCGACGCCCTTATCGATCACATCTCCGCCCTGCGATCTCTCTTCCTCCACAGCACCGGAGTCTGTTTTTCAGTCTTCCATTGCACTAAAGCTAGAACTTATTTTAGACCGCATTGTTTTAATCCTCGGATGCTTTTACCAACGCTTTAATTGATTCCATCGTCCGCAATGGCCAAAGGAACCCCCGCCGCATCCTCGCCCACGACCGCGACGCCTCCGTCTGCAGCGCTCAAAAAAACAACATCCAGCGCGCAGAACATGAGAAGTCAGAAGTCTATCCTCGGATTTTTCCAAAAATCATCTCCCTCGACACCATCTTCTGCTGCTCGACGCCCAGAGCCCGCGTCTTCGCCGGCAGAATGTGTCTCAGAGAACCGGGGGGCGAACGCTCCGGAGGAGGCTTCGACGGGAAAGAAGAAGAATGGGCTGAAGTTCTCGCAGAAGTTGACGCCTGTTCCGAGTAGTGATTTGGGTGGGATTGATGAGGATGAGGAGAAGGGTGCAGATGGACAGGTGTGTTCTGCGTTATGGCTGTGGTGGTGGTTTGAAAACTGACCAGTTTCGTTTAGTTGCAGACGAGTCCTGTTCAACCCAAGGCCTCTGGTTCTCCGTCACGTCGAGTAAGTAAAATTGATTGCCCATTATGTCGTAATCCTCGTCTGATCCTCATATTCTCCAGTCCAAGAAGCAGGTCAACTACGTCGAGTCCGATTCCGAAGGAGAAGATGATGACGATCAAATCTTTGGCCCCAATCGGAGGAACAGTCGGGTTAATAAGAGGAGGAAGACTTCGCCTGAAATTGATGATGATTTCAAACAGGATGGAAATGATGATGGTCATTCCGACGAAGGTCAGTTCTTGCACTCTTTACACACTCTACATTTGAAAGGTGCTGACAGATCTAGAAATGGACGATTTTGTAGTTGCAGACGAATCGGATGAGGACGCAAAGCCGTCGAAAAAGCGTAAGAGACCCACGAACCGACAGGCACCGAAATCATCGCCGCCGCCGTTTGAGCCAACACCGGCCGACGAAGAATTAGATCTAGACGTCCCAGATGCTCCATCTGGAACGACCGTGAAGTGGACGTATGATCCGGACAATCTCGAACCTCGTCAACAGCGCACTGCTCCTACTTCTTCCAAGAGTCCTTCCAGCGCCGTCAAGCAAAAGGCACATCTCAAAGAACCCGAGGAACGTTACTCATGGCTTGCAAATCTTCGGGATATAGACGGTCACCCCATTGGTCATCCGGAATACGATCCTCGTACTCTTTATATACCTCCGCTGGCATGGTCCAGATTCTCTCCTTTCGAGAAGCAGTACTGGGAGATCAAACAAAAATTTTGGGATACTGTTGTCTTCTTCAAGAAAGGAAAGTTCTACGAACTTTATGAGAACGATGCCACCATCGGTCACCAGATGTTTGATCTCAAGCTCACTGATCGAGTGAACATGCGCATGGTCGGTGTTCCTGAGATGAGCTTAGATTATTGGGCCAACCAATTCGTGGCCAAAGGCTACAAGATAGCTCGTGTGGACCAATCTGAGTCCGCCTTGGGTAAGGAGATGCGTGAGCGAGATGGTAAGAAGAGTGGTGGGAAGGAAGACAAGGTCATCAAGCGAGAGTTGTCTTGCGTCCTCACTGCTGGTACCCTGGTTGAAGGGTCGATGCTCCAGGATGATATGTCCGTGTATTGTGTCGCTATCAAGGAGGCCATCATTAATGACCTCCCTGCCTTTGGGCTTGCTATTGTCGACACCGCGACGGGTCAGTTCTCTCTGTCTGAGTTTGTCGACGATGTGGATATGACCAAATTCGAAACATTCGTCGCGCAGACCCGCCCGCAGGAATTGCTTCTCGAGAAGTCAACAATCTCCCAGAAGGCGCTGCGCATACTGAAGAACAACACCGGCCCTACAACCATTTGGAACTACATGAAGCCCGAAAAGGAATTCTGGGAGGCTGATATTACTGTCAAGGAACTTGATGCGGCTGAGTACTTTGTCTCTCAGGACGACGAAAACCTTCAAGCGTGGCCCGAGACACTTCGACAGGCTCGAGAGAAGGAGTTGGTGATGTCTGCGTTCGGAGCCATGGTGCAGTATCTTCGTATTCTGAAGCTGGACCGCGATTTGATCACCATTGGGAACTTCGCCTGGTACGACCCGATCAAGAAGGCATCTAGTCTCGTCCTAGATGGCCAAACGCTCATCAACATGGAAATCTTTGCGAACTCTACCGATGGTGGTTCGGATGGTACTCTTTTCCAGCTCTTGAACCGCTGCATTACCCCGTTCGGAAAGCGAACTTTCAAGCAGTGGGTTTGCCATCCTTTGGTGGACGCGAAGAAGATCAATGCCAGATTAGATGCTGTTGATGCTCTCAATGCTGACCCGAGTGTTCGTGACCAATTCTCTTCTCAATTGGTCAAGATGCCTGACTTGGAGCGACTTATCTCCCGCATTCACGCTGGCAACTGCAAATCCCAGGACTTTGTGCGTGTATTGGAAGGATTCGAACAGATCGAATACACAATGAGCCTTCTCACTGACAGTGGTTCTGGCGAAGGTGTCATTGGACAGCTCATCAAGTCCATGCCTGACCTGGGCAGCTTGCTTGAGTATTGGAAGACAGCATTTGACCGCACCAAAGCCAAGGAGAACGGCATTCTAGTTCCAAAGGCAGGCGTCGAGGAAGACTTTGACAACTCTCAGGAGTTCGTCGAACAGTTGCACAGTGATCTCGATAACCTTCTGAAGAAGGCACGTCGAGACCTTGGCTCGAGCGCCATTTGCTACAGGGACAATGGAAAGGAAATCTACCAGCTCGAGGTCCCCATCAAGGTGAAGAATATTCCCAAGAACTGGGACCAGATGTCTGCGACAAAGCAGGTCAAGCGGTACTACTTCCCTGAGTTGCGATCTCTCATTCGCAAGCTACAAGAAGCCCAGGAAACGCACAGTCATATCGTCAAGGAAGTCACTGGTCGATTTTATGAACGCTTTGATGAACACTACGCCACCTGGCTCGCAGCCGTGAAGATCGTATCGCAGCTCGACTGTTTGATCAGTTTGGCCAAGGCTTCAGCGTCCCTGGGCGAGCCAAGTTGCCGGCCCGAGTTTGTCGACAATGAGCGCAGTGTTCTTGAATTCGAGGAGCTGCGCCATCCGTGCTTGCTTTCTTCCGTTGAGGACTTCATCCCGAACGACGTGCAATTGGGAGGAGAAAGACCCAATATCGACTTGCTTACCGGAGCCAACGCTGCCGGAAAGTCAACGGTCCTCAGAATGACCTGCGTGGCTGTCATCATGGCTCAAATTGGCTGCTACCTGCCCTGCCAATCTGCCCGCTTGACCCCGGTCGACCGTATCATGTCTCGTCTGGGCGCCAACGACAACATCTTCGCTGCCCAGTCGACCTTCTTCGTTGAACTCTCCGAGACCAAGAAGATCCTCGCAGAAGCTACCCCGCGCTCTCTGGTTATCCTCGATGAGCTAGGCCGTGGAACAAGCTCTTACGATGGTGTCGCCGTCGCCCAAGCCGTCCTGCACCACGTCGCCACGCACATTGGCGCCATGGGCTTCTTCGCAACGCACTACCACTCCCTCGCCGCGGAATTCGAAAACCACCCCGAGATATCCCCCAAGCGTATGAAGATCCACGTCGACGACCAAGAGAGACGCATCACCTTCCTGTACAAACTGGAAAATGGCGTCGCGGAGGGAAGTTTCGGTATGCACTGTGCTGCGATGTGCGGTATTCCCGATAAGATTATTGAATGCGCGGAGGATGCTGCTAAGCAGTGGGAGCATACCAGTCGTCTCAAGGAGGATTTGGAGCGTCGCAAGGGTGGTGGGTCCATTGGTCTAGGTTGGTGGAGTGATGTTGCTTGGGCTCTGAAGGAGTCGACTGGCGAGGGTGAGGGTGAGGGTGAGGGTAACGAGGAGATTTCTGATGCTGGGTTGGAGGTTCTGCGCAAGGCTATTGAGGCTTTGTGATTATAATCATGGTCCGTCTGGTTTGTTATGTTGATTGGTTTTGAAATGATTTCGGAGTACGGTGCTGGGTATGAAGTCACTTTCTGCAGTTGTTCGTGCTAGGGTCCTAATCTGCTCGTATTTGAGCCATGTCCGTTATATTGCCATGTATACCAGGGAATCAGAATAGAACGTGTTAAACGATATGTTTCTGATTTCAGAACCGCATGAAGAAAGTATCCTTTGAGCTCACATAACCTCCCTTCCAACATAAATATCCACTTATTGGTGACCAAAAACAACACAACCCTATTGGAAATATCAAGACACGATCTCGTATCAAATCCCAAGAAAACCCAGCGACGACAACTCAAGCCGCACAATTCTCCAACTTGACATACGGAAACAGCTCATCTTCCATCTTCAAAGGTCGCGCGGAGGGAGTACTAGGCTCGTCACCACTATCAATCACCCGCGGTTAGCTATGTATCCCAACAAGAGTATGTGAATCAACACTAATGAAAATATACCTCTCATCCTTAAACTCCTTCACCTTAGCCTCTTTCGCGGGAGTTCGCTGCTTCTTTTGCTTGGTGGGCGATTCCTCAACACCACCGTTTCTGTTATCCTCACCACCCTTGGCGGCAGTCTTGCGCTTGGTAGGTGCTTTCTTTGGAGTCGCAGAGGGCGTATCGTCGGGGGTACTACTCGCACCACCGCCATTGGCGGGATTCGTAGCGATATATTCAGCCAACTTGCGCTTTGCGTTACGGTAGACAGTGTTCGCAGTGGCGCCATTCTTGTAGCCAGACATCTGGGCGAGCTTTTCGTAGTCCATCTGCTTTGGCTGTTAGGTCAGGGTTCTCATTTAGGATGTGGTTGATGAAGATGGGTGGGTTGGTGAGAGAGGCAGACCTTTTGCTGTTCGCTCGCGAAATAGCCGGCCAGGAGCATGAGCTTTGTTTCGCTGGGTGACAAGCCCAGCGTGGCATCGGATTTGGCTCTTCCGGACATGTTTGGTAGTTTTGGAGGTCAGGAAGGGAGAAGGGGGTTAGAATTGTAGGGTTCGCAGTTTTCTCATATAGTTGAGCGGGGGGACGGTGGGACGTGTTAAGGAAGTGGAGGAGAAGAGGGAATTCAGGAAATACTATGTGCCCATGGTGAAAGAGCAGGATTGAGTAGTACTCTGTGTCATTCAGTGAATAATCAAAAAGAATGAAGCCCCAGGCTAAAACACAAAGACTGGGGTAGACCTGTATTCACCAGCACTGAAACTGTGAATGTGTTCCTATGCGCTACTAGGAAGCGAAGAGATCCATTATATTCATTCAACGTTTCTTTGGCACATTGCTCTGTATCTGCTTGTATACATGCTCCCACAGCTCCGGATAAAACGTCGTAGACTGCCTCCCCGGCTGACTCTCCTCCGTCGCCCAGAACTGTTTTAACGTGCTTCCCTTCCACCAGGGCAGCGGAGCAGGTTTCTGATTCCGAAAGCTCACGGGCCGTAGCAACGCTTTGTCCGCAACGAGATCGCCCACTCGCACTTCTGTCTGGCGGGGGATAGTGGTGAATTTCATGGTGTTGATGTAGAGGGTAGCGGTAGGGGGGAGGTTTCTTGCGTATTGGATTGCTTGTTCGCGCGAGCGACGGGCGAAGACGGGGAGGGCTAGGTGGACGAAGTTGACGAATGGGGCGGAGGTGTAGGCGACGAAGAGCATGGGGATTGTGCCTCCGACGACCACTAAGACCAGTGTCAGCTTGCATTTCCAAGGAGATCGGGGGCATGGGTGCTTACCAGCAGGAGCTAGGTACCACGGGTATTCATCAGCGGCAAAGGCCGGCGCAACGAGGAGACAGGATGCGCCGAAGAGGAAGATCGTGGTGAGTCGTAGCATTCCCAGGAAAAGTGTCCGTCCCGTTCCTCCATGGTAGATTAGAATGCGCTCCGGTGGTCCTATACGAGACGCAAATCAACATGAAGTCCAAGCTTTATAGATGTCCGTCATTCGTACCTCGTCGGATAGCGGATTTTGCATGTGCGGCCGGGGATGTTGCCGGAGTACGCAGGCCAGCTGGGGAGCCATCTTTCGTCTTCAACAGCGGAGCTTCTTCCTTTGGTGTTCGAGGGGTCTTTGGAGCAGGAGAATTCGTCGTCGTCTTTAAGCGGGCAAACAGTCGGCTGCTGAGATCTCTCCGCACAGCCCGGGGTAACGTGCTTAATTGCGGATGAAGTAACAGGAGGGTTGGGCGCATACTGGACATTCTGAATAGATAAATCGCAACCCAATTGATCCAATACAGAGGGGAAATCGATTTTCTGGAGAATGAAGCGCGGAAAAGAAACGCCCTCCACCGCGAAACTGCGGATTTCCCCGTGACCGCGGAGGCTTGGCGCTTGTGCTTTGTATCAACATTCGGTGTCTCTCTTCCCTTCATACTCTCGACTTGACACGTCCATATGATACATATTGCCCTTTGAGCCCGTCTAATATCCTCTCTTTGACTGACGGGAGCTCCGGGCCATGAACAGCTCTCGATTGCCCTGCTAACTCGCCATGTCGTCGGCTTACGGTGGCCTCCTACGGCCAATTCTACTGATAGCTATCTTCTTGCTCTCCGTGATACTCCCCGGACACGCCTACGAGTCTCTCACCGACGAAACCCTGAAATCCCTCCCCCGACCAAATAATGACTTCGATATCAACTCCGGCGCCCTCCTATCTCCTATCCTCATACCTCGTGTCCCCGGGACCTCAGGTCACACCGCCGTCTTAAACCACTTTGCGGACTTCTTCCGGACAAGTTTACCCAAATGGAGGGTTGAATATCAGAATTCAACACAAAAAACACCAGTTTCGAAAGGCAAGGAAGTCCCGTTCGTCAATTTCATCGCAGCGCGGGACCCGCCATGGACTGCCGTGGGAGATGTAGGACGGCTTACGTTGGTCGCGCATTACGATAGTAAATACGAGCCGGAGGGTTTTATTGGGGCGATCGATAGTGCTGCGCCGTGCGCTATGATTATGCATGCCATGCGGAGCATTGACGAAGCTTTGACGCGGAAATGGGAGAAGATGGAGGCAGAGGGTCATGCGGATGCGTCGCTGGAGGAGCAGAAGGGGATACAGATAATACTGTTGGATGGAGAGGAGGCATTCGTTCAATGGACTGCTACTGATTCGTTGTACGGGTCGCGCGCCTTAGCGGAGTATTGGGATAATGAAGTGAATCCCGCTATGTCGTCATTCAAGACCCCGTTGAACTCGATTTCCCTTTTCGTCCTTCTGGATCTTCTGGGCTCCAAGGATCCGGCCGTGCAGTCTTACTACCAGACCACGCACTGGGCTTATCAAAACCTCGCGACCATAGAGCAGCGTCTTCGGGATCTCAAGCAGTTCAAATCGGCCGATAGCCAGCGGTGGTTCATCGACGGCTCGAAGGATGACCACACCCTCAAGACATACGGTGGCATACAAGACGACCATGTTCCATTCCTTCAGCGTGGAGTAGAAATCCTGCATCTTATCGATGCTGCACCGTTCAAGGGATTCCCCAAGGTCTGGCATACCATGGATGACAATGCTGAGAATCTGGACATGAATACCGTCGAGGATTGGAGCATGCTCGTCACGGCATTTGCGGCGGAGTGGATGGAGCTGGAGGGATTTTTCGAACCTGCTTCTGGAAAGCGAGGTAATGGGAAACGCTCTGCGAGCGATGACTGGGACAAGACTGAGCTGTAAGCTTTTCCTTTCTTGCTCTTTTGCCGAATATAAACCTCTTTTTATCTTCTTTAACCGTTGTATATATTATATACATGACTGGCCAATTATATATACAGTGAACTATGCTAATCTGATTAATTCACAGCTTTGAACAGTAGTGCCTATTGCAGTCAGCCTCCCAACATTGAAGTATATATCACAATAATTTCAGATCATGCTCATTTACGCCTGTCAATCCTTGGCCTGATACCCTGGCGGTTTGTGTAGTTATGCTGCTGGCTTGAGCTGTTAGTACTTTTTCCAACACCAAAAATTAGCGCCAGCTTTGAACAGCCTTGAATGGTTACATAAGTTGGATCCTGCGCGGCTCAACTATTTTTAGGTATGCAGGTTGACGCTGGCATGTGGCGGGGTAGGGTTGTTAATTCACTCGTACGCCATATTTACTCCCTCTTCCACATCCTCCGCACCAACAACCTCTCACAAAATGCATTTACTCGAATCGCTAGCTTCATTTCTCGCGGCATCAACGGTTGCGGATATGAGTTCGTCATCTAACCTCCCGAAACCGTTATCCAGATTCCTTGCCGCCGGTAGTGGCGCCTATGGTCCGCCAATGTGGGAAAGAGTGGGAGAAGTAACCGACAATATCCGCAATGGTGCAGCAGCGTACGGCCCACCAATGCTGGAGAAATTGGGTGAGGTAACCAACAATGTTCGCGATGGTGCAGCAGCTTACAGCCCACCAATGTTGAAGAGATTGGATGAGGTAACCAACAATGTTCGCGATGGTGCAGCAGCTTACAGCCCGCCAATGTTGGAAAAGTTGGGTGAGGTAGCCAACAACGTCCGCCATGGTGCAGCAGCGCCAGTGTGGGAGAAAATAGAAGAGGCAACCCACAATGTCCATAATCATGCAGCAGCTTACGGACCACCAATGCTGGAGAGATTGGGTGAGGTAACCGACAATGTCCGCAATGTTGCAGCAGCGTACGGCCCGCCAGTGTGGGAGAAACTAGGAGAAGTAACCCACAGCGTCCGCAATGGTGTAGCAACTCACGGCCCACAAGCGTGGGGAAAAGCAGAAAAAGTAACCCGCAATGTCCGTCAAACTCCTCACTTTATATGCCACCAGATGCTAATGTTGCACCAGGCTGCTCAGTGGAGTGTTAAGAACCCCGGTTCAGCTGTTTGCGCGGTTGCTGGAGTTGGGGGTGCTATGGCTGTTGTTGCTCCAGGCATAGTATCTGCGCCGATTCTATCTTCAGCAGGGTTTGCTGCTACTGGAGTCAAGGGTGGTAAGTATTGAGATATGTACATGTTCCTGCCTGTTCGAGTCTAATAGGGATTTAAATGAATTTAGGCTCGGCCGCTGCTGCCATACACGGTACCATTGGGAACGTCGGAGTTAATAGCTTGTTTTCGCTTCTTCAGAGTGCTGGAGCCAGTGGCCCTGGGCTCGCCGTTGTGAATGGAGTTGTACAGGCTGGTGGTGCTGTCGCAGTGGGTGCTAGTGGTGGAGTGGCATGGGTAAAGTCGATGTTTTGATTGAGGACAGTGGGATTGGGTATAGTGAGGTGCGTTTAAATGGGTGCTAAGGAGTCGTGAGCAATTTGCACAACCAGGTTAGAATGAGTCCTAACCCTGCCGCAACCGATCAAATGGAATGGCTTGGGTTTGTATCATTTGCGAATCAGAGACAACTACAACGCGCCTGGCTTAAGGTGACAAGATGTAGCATTCCAAAGGCATGTACTAGTGTAGCCTACGATTTGCCATGTGTGTGTGCGAATTCTCTGGGCATCTTTCACAATTGCCTCATAATTATCCTGGATTTCTTGTATCGCTCGACAAACTTCAGCGAATTAGCGGTGGTGAACCAAAGAAATCGGCGGAAGCGATCCATGGGCAGCATGGGCGCCCGGTGTCAAGTTGACGAAAATGGCGTCTCTATAAATTTAAAGATGTATTGATGGATCGAAATTCTCTGAAGATGCGTCAATCCTGCGATGTTTCAATTCATAGTATGCTATGGACTCGACAAGTACTGCCACTGGCGATAATGATATTGCCAGCCTTCAGAATGACGAGGACAGGTACGCTACCTATAAGAATAGCCAATTGATACTCATCATTGATATGTAGTAGATTCCTTGCTATCTATCGACTTCTGTCCAAATGGCAAAACCAACTAGAATACTTTCTTTATCAATTCTGCAAAACTCACGCGCCACAGCTTCTTGTTGACTGTCACTGGTCTTGCCCCGAGGAAGCAGAGCTGACCCAGCTCAGTGAGAAGTTTACTGAATACTTTTGTTTCCACAATAAACGTGTCTTCCGTGACCATGGTGTATCTGAGGAGGAACGAGAGTCTTTCTGTACCAAGTTGCAGAGTGTTCGCCGAATCCGAAATTCCGCTGTTCATCGGGTACACCCAAGCGCCTACACGATTAGGAGTTACGCGAATGATGCTCTTGACGTTTTGAAGATTGTGCAACGACTGGGAAATGAAGAATTCAAAAAATCATTCAACAACCCTGTGAGCATGAAGCTGATTCGTTTTGCTAAAGCGAGAGCAGAAGACTAACAAGCATACTCAAGTTAAACGAAATCATCCAAACATTTTGGGAAATCAACAACGACGGGATAATGGCATCCCAGGGTCATCCAGTGGCCCAGACCAAGCCAGAATGCATACCACTCCTTCCGAAAATGGAACAGAAAGAAGTCAATATGAAACGTGGTCTCGAGGATCAGAAGATAGCCGCACAGAGAAAAGCCTTCAATATTGCGAAGGCGGCTGAAGATTTCGAAGACTCAAAAAGGGCAAAAGATGTACGTTTGCGTCGAGTTGAGCAACAGGAAGAAGAGGCTGAGCGAAAGAAGATCGAGAAAGCTGAAAGATTCAAAAAGCAAGAGGAAGATGCGGCAGCGAGAAAGGCAGAGAGAGACGAGAAAGCAAAAGGGGAATGCAGAAGTTGAAAGTGCAGAGAAAGCCGAGGAGTTAAGGAAACAAGAGGGAAATGCAGAAGCAAAAAGGACCGAGGAAGCTGAGAAAGCAAGAGGGAAATGCGAAAGCAAAAAGGGCACAGAAAGCCGAGAAAGCAAAGAAGAAAAAGAAGAATGCGGAATCCCAAAGAGCAGAGAAAGTCGAAGAGAGGAATAGGTCAAAGAATTGAGTTAACTTCAAAGGATATTATATGAAGGAGTTAGTCTTAGGCCATGGCAAGACTCGAAGAAACAGAACATAAGGAAAAAGCGAGTGAGCATCTGGAAATTGAAGACTGCCAGTGAAACAAATATTCAAGAGACCGGCATTTACGTTTTATGTTATGTCTTTGAATAAAAGGTCTTTTTGTTTGGCATAGTAGACAGGCACTTGAAAAGCCAACAGCTCGATGTTCAAAAAGAGCAGCAATAATGATGCCCTGTCTGTATTTCAATCCATTATTATCCTCCATCATGTGTCCCGACTGGCTACCACAGTCCTGAATTAGAAGCCGAAGGACTATATAGTACTGTACGGTGTATCAGTATACTGACAGATTGGTGAAGATATGAATGGATGATCTTATTTCCCCTGATTCCTCATCATAAACAAGCTACCATATTTATCAATAATCTTCCACGCGTCAACAATGGCCCCAATGTCCTATTAAAACCAATGCCACTTCGCCCCCATCCTCTGAAAGTATCCAAACAACGCCCCCTTAGGCACATATCCCTCATAGGTATGCTGCCACCTCGCCGCCCATGAACCCACAGCGACACCCGACTCTGTAAATCCCAGCACCTCCAACACCCACGGCAGCAAGACGAACAGGATCCCCAGCGCAATCAAGGTTGCGTAAACAGGGTGCTCCTTTTTAAAATCGATAGCTGCATCGGTGGCCTTTTTCAAGGCGTCAGCAGCGGGACGAGCCAAGGCCGCGCCAGCTTCAACGGCAGCCGTTAAGCCTCGGAGAATGGCTTCGACAAGGGAATCGGTCCAGCCGGTTGCGGTGACTTGTTCGTTGACGCTTTTGTGGAGCTCGATGGTTGTAGGGGATGTTAGGATGGCAGTGATGATGTTGGACGCGGCATGGTCAGTGGTTGTTGTCAGGCTTGCTGTATCGGCGGCGTCACCGAAGAGGCAGGGGAGGATGGAGATTAGAAATGACATTTTGGGCTTTCAGGTTTGGAAGGGAAGATGTCCTTATGTTCGGAAACTCGGCGTTGTAAGGAATTAGGGGCTGTATGCTGTGTTGTTCGGCGCTTAAAAGAATACCTACACGTGATTCAACATGCATCGACCACGTGATTAGACAAAGACACGTTATGTCGTGCTTGATATAAAGCATATTGCTATGGGTTAGATCGTTTGTAAATGAGATACTTCGTGGAGCCCGGCGAGGTTCATTGAGTAAACATATGCTCTTGGTGGACTGTGGACCAGTCAAAATACCGCAAGTATCACAGCATTAATTGTTCCAGAGAAAGGAAGCATGCCAGTCCAGGAATATCGGAATGAACATGCCATCAAATTCATAACGAAATTAGGGCATATCATCTATCCAGTTCCGGGGTAGACCCGGTTACCCCACATTTTAGTAGTCACCACAAAGTTCTCCATCGCCGCTTCCGCTCTGAAAGCCCCGAGAAGCTGCAAGAGATAGAGAAATGAGTTGAGAAGACAAATGGACTGCTTTGTTGATGAGGATGATGTTGGGAATGAACCAGGAGATCTTGGGGTTTGTCCGTATTCGACGCCGTGGCCTGGAAGGATTTCTTGTGAGACTCCGATTACCCTAGACCTTTATATGCTTCTCAAACAGCTCTAATCTGAAATGTAAAGCATCGCTTGAGCTACACTTGTAATCTTCACAATAGAGCAATTAGTACATTGAATACTGAATAGGAAAACTGTATACAGTACAGACAGACCACAGAGCAGCAGAAAGGCAGGGAGTAGAGCTGCCCCAAAAAGGGCAAGAATGCTGCAAAGAAGTAAAAGTAATGTACAAAAGTGCGGAAGACTGTATATATAGCAGTGATGTATTTAATGATTTCCCCCCTTCTTTGCGGGGGAGGGCATATGATATCGGGCCAAACCTCCCCTAATAATGAAACTGATGATCCAATTCCATTTACACCATGTTTCCCAACATATATCCCGCCATCTCTACAACACCCCAAGTAGGCTGCAACACCGCTCGCAAAACTGCAGGTCCCGGGCATACACCACGTAATCCCCAAGCGAGCCCGAATGTCACAGCTCCAGTCACGAACCGCCAGTCAATATCCGCCACAGTAGCAGTAGGAAGTTTCCATTGTTCAGCGAGAGTTGGCTTGGAAGGCTTCCCGTCATCTTTATCTCCGTGTTGTCCGGGTTTCGCAGATAAGTAGGTGATAAGCGACGGGCCAATCCCAAATAGTATGATCAGAGCGAGCGAAGGATCGAAACGGGAAGGATCCGTAAGGAACGCAAAGAATCGGAGTACTTTCGCGGGATCGGCCATTCCGGAAATAAACAAGCCCAGACCAAACTCCAGACCCGCCAGATACGAAAAGGCCGTCTGGGATTCCTCCGATCGGTTAAGCGACTTGGGGACAATGAAGCAGTTAGTGATGCCGGTGAGGATAGTTGCGGCTGCCATGAATCCGAGTTCGAGGGTTGATGGGTAGAGCGGGGTGTAGCAGGGGATGCCATTTGCGCAGGCAGGAATGTTTTGGCCTCCGTTGACGAAATTTGCTGTGAGTAGGGCAGTGATGAAGAAGACAGCTGTTGCGATTAACGAGCGAGGGGATAGGCGAGAGAGACCACAGAGCATGTGGCCTGAAGTGCAACCACGGCCATTCTACAAAGAACACTTGTCAGCCAGTGCCTCCTCATCTGTCCATAGTTTACTCACCTTAGTTCCCCATCCCAACAAAAATCCAACACCCAATGTAGATGCTATAGAAGCCCACGAGCTCGGAGCGGCGGGATACGTCGGTAACAACGACGGGGCGAACCAGTAAATCGGGACTGCACTCGACACAAGGCCCACGATTATAGGCAGGTTATAGCGATTCGGGTTGAAAACACTCCCTGCGAGAAGCGAGGAGATTCCAAAAACGGCTCCGTTGTGTAGTAGGAGGCCCGAGGAGCCTTGGAATAGCAGGAGGGCACCTAGGGAGGTGTGGACCGGGGTGAACATTATGCGATAGCCGATTCAAGCCATTCAATCACAATATCCCCAATGTGCAAACAAGTGTCGAGTTGTACTCATAGTACGTTGATTTTTCGGCGTGAAGAAAGGGAGAGTCGCCGATGACGGTTTCGGGGACCATAGCGATGATCCCCGAAGGAGAACGGGTTCCATGGATCGGTGTCCTCGCCGCTATCGATTAAACTAACTTCGTGATTTGCGAGGTATCTTGGTTCCACTTGAATTGACACCTCCGCTGCTCTCATAGTCCTCCGCAAGGGACTTGGGAGATCTCGGAGAATTCATGGCGTCATGCTTTGCTGGCATTATCTCAAATAAAACAGTGGGGCCTGAAGATCATGTATCATCAGTCAAATGCATAAAGAGATCGAACCGAGAGAAAATGGACAGATTAAGGTAAGAATGAAGATTGAAAAGCGCGAGGAGGAAAATGAAACAAAGAAGACGAGGCTAGCGGGGTCACATGGGTATCACGGGGGAGCTGCAGCCCTATCACCCAGGTCACGGGGTCTGCACCAGGGAAGTCTTCTCCAACTCTATGCTACTTGTATCTCTAGTAGCACCGCCCAGGACACACGTCCACCCTAGTGCACAAGGTGACACTATCTTACTCGTGGTGGTGGCACGCATAATGGCACGGTTTGTAACCTGTCACACTCGAGTCTGGGGAGGATATTACTAGCCATTGATGGCCAATGGAGAGCAAGTCTGCGGACCTGGCATCAGAAGATGATACCTTACCTTGTATAACAATGGACTGCGGTGTTTATTGGTTCTCTGTCGTCCCATGCCATCGACTGACACATCCGAGGCGCATTCGGGACACTTTAATCATGAAGGATGGAGTAGATACCCACGAATCTGTCTTCTGGATGACTCCCCTGGGCTCCTTTTCTGCACGAGGTTGTGGCAGTTGATACAGGTATTTTGCTGAATTGATATCTACTACAGAATCCCCGGAGGTAACCGTATGTTCACGCAGAGGACAAGTGCATAGTCCATGCTGAAACAGTTTATAATTATCACATGTTTTGATATTTCCATAGCCCACCAATCTAGAAGCTCATAGGACCCTCTTACTTTTCTGCGCTATCAAGCGGACGGGTCATTTGATGTGTAGGGATTAGGGAGCGGGAGTATCGGGGTATTTATTTATTTCTATCCTGATTGGGGAAAGTTGCTCATTCATCCATTGACATCCTTATCAGTTTTATAAATACCCCCAATCTATCATTGAGAACGAGACAGCAAAATGAGCAACAATACAATTATCCGAGCCTGCCTCCTGGCTGCTCTAGGAAACAACTTGGCTCGTGTGAAATTCCCAGAAGCCGGAACCATCGACGCGAATCCATACAACCTCGACCTCCCCATTGTGCCAGCTGCAATCACCGTCCCGCAATCAACAGCGCAGGTCGCCAATGTTGTCAAATGTGCAGCGAATAATGACTACAAAGTACAGTCCAGAAGTGGAGGTCATAGCTATGGTAATCACGGTACGTTTGAGTTCCTGCCCAGGGTCGTTGACAACACTCGACTAATTTGAGACGCTTCTACGATAGGACTCGGAGGCACGGACGGCGCGATCGTGGTTGATCTGAAAGATCTCAAACAATTCTCGATGGACGAATCTACATACACCGCTTCAATAGGATCAGGAATGTTGCTGGATGAAGTCACCCACAAACTCTACGACAACGGCAAGAGGGCCATGGCGCACGGAGTCTGTCCCCAAGTCGGTGTCGGTGGCCATTTCACCATCGGAGGTCTGGGACCAACCGCGCGACAATGGGGAAGCTCTTTGGATCACGTCGAAGAAGTCGAGGTCGTGTTGGCCAATTCCAGCATTGTCCGGGCATCGAACACACAGAACCAGGATGTTTTATTTGCGATCAAAGGCGCTGCTGCTAGTTTTGGAATCGTTACGGAATTCAAGGTACGCACTGAGCCAGCACCGGGTGTCGCTGTGCAGTATACCTATGAACTCATCTTGGGAAATACAACTGAGCGAGCCAGAATTCTGGCAGACTGGCAGGATTTCATCTCGGACCCTGATCTTTCTCGGAAATTCGCCTCGATCATGGCATGCTTCTCACCGGCGACTTCTATGGCTCTAAAGAAGAATTCGACGACCTTGGTCTCGCGGACCGCTTTCCACTTTGCAAGCCGGGAAAAATTGATGTCTTAACCGATTGGCTAGGCATGACAGGTCATGCAGTGGAAGAGATTGCCCTAGGCATTTTTGGCGGAATTCCGCTTCACTTCTATGCCAAATCAATGGCATTTACCCGAGACAGTCTCATGTCTCAATCGACCTTCGAAAAACTCTTTGACTATCTCGACAACACTGACAAAGGCACACTGTTATGGCTCGTTTACTTCGACCTACAATCGGGAGCCACAGGTGACGTTCCCAACAATGCAACTGCCTATGCTCACCGCGATACGCTATATTGGCTACAATCCTATGTTATCAACTTAGCGGGCCCTGTCTCTAATACGACTATTGGATTCTTGGAGGGAATCAACAATCTCATTGCGCAGGATGTACCCAGTGCCAATACGCGTGCGTATCCGGGTCTACGTGGATCCGTTGATGACGGACTCTCAAGAGCGTTATTGGGGGACTAATTTGCCCAGATTGGAGAGGATTAAGGCGGCTATTGATCCGGATGATGTTTTCCATAATCCTCAGAGTGTGAAGCTGAGAAAGCAGGATTTATGATGGGCAGGAGTTCAGGGCAAGAGCGAAAGCCTTATTTCTACATCAGAGCATTAATATTCAACCTAAACCCAGCGTATTCATAGAACCAACATGACTGGGGATTGTTCCTACACCCGCTTCGACTGGTGGAATAAGTAGTGGAATTCCAACACATATGCCCAACACCATTATATCTGTCAGTCCTAAAATTGAGAGTCTCTTATCCATGCTCTCAAATCTCACATCAATTATCGGCACAGGTATAGAATGTCACATGATGCATGACGTCACATGATTGACAGAGAGAAAGAAGGGACACACCTTGGAGCTCTTCATCTCGCAACGTATTTACACATCGTACGGAATAACCGAGGATACAATTGGAAGTTTTATCTAAAACCTTCCATTTCTCACCTTTCGTGCCCGTCAAAGAAACTGTTGACAAAACGGCAATGAGTTGACAGGGATATATGATCCAAGACGAGTTGGCATTTAGCAGACTGGGTTGATCATTCGAACACCACTATCATGAAACGCGCCCTGAGTGTGGACGAGGAGATACTAAGCTCTTCAGCAAAGAAAGAATGCCACGAGAGAAATGGAAAACTGCCAACTATCACCAGTCTGGATGCTCCTGTCTCTCCTCCAAGACGACGTTCTCGCCCTGAAAAACAACCTCCAGCGGCACCAGCGATAGCCCAAAGAGGCACGAATATCACCGGAGTAGCATCAAACTCACCACCAAACCTAGCAGCAATTGAAGCCGGCCAAGTCGAAGTTTCAGATCATTTGAGCATCTTCTCCTCGCATCTTAGCCAGTGCATTCGTCCGTCAACATCATCCGACATACCCCGTCTCCAAATATCAGACTGGAAGGATCTCTACCGCCGCAACGAACGACTCCATGGGAGACATTTCGTGGTCCATCAACATGATCACCCCATCGCAGGACCACATTATGATCTCCGGCTACAGTTCTCAGAGTCTAGTTCTGTTAGCTGGTCGGTTATGTATGGATTACCGGGCGATCCGAATAGTCGACGGTTGAATCGGAATGCGACTGAGACGAGGGTGCATTGTTTTTGGGTATGCTCCCTTGATGTTAACAGTTGGACCAGGCTGATGTGGAATGATAGAATCATCTCATTGAGACAGCGAGTCCTAATACAGGGAGCATGGTTATATGGGATACTGGGGAGTATGAAGTGCTGCCCTATCAGATGGAATCAACCATGCCGGAGACGGACGATTCGCGTTCTGTTAGCGAAGACAGTGACAGTCCTGTGCAAGAGCATAGGAGCGAGAGTGAGAAGCTCTGTGAGGCGTTTCAGAATGTAAGTCCTGGCCATGATTACATGGAACCATCAAATATTGATCATTTGAAGCGTAAAATCCGTCTACGACTACATGGAACCCGTCTACCACCAAACTACACCATCATCCTACGACAAGACAAAACCACACACCAAGCACCACTTCGATTACCTCAGAAACGGTGCAGGCGCACTCGACCAAGATTACAGAGTCAATCCACCCTTACCTCTTCTGATTCTTCTCCTTCACCACCGTCATCACCATCGTCTAAGCAAACATATCAACTATCAACAACACAATCTAATCCCGAACCCGCAGAACCCAACACAAAAACCGACTTGGATTACGAAAAATCGGACTACCAAATTCGCCTTGACAACGCCTACCCCGGCTCAACAAATACAATCGGCTCCATTCACCAACGAAGATGGTTCATCACGCTAGACCGTGTTAATTCTGGGTTTGAGTATGAGCCGAGGAAGAAGAGATGGGTACGGAAGAAGGATCTAGATATGGGGGAGTTGGTGGGCTTTGAACCGTTCTATGTCAGGGGTCCTGAGATAGAGAGAAGTGTGGTTACGGGAAGATTAAGGAGAGAAGTTCTCGAGGATGAAGGAGTGCAAGGCTTTATACCAAGACAGGGCTGGAGAGCTGTATTGGAATGATGCATTCTTCTATGATAATTACTCTAATATGCCTTCAGTCTATTACAGTCTATAAAGAAAGGAATCAACCAACAAAAACCTGCACAACAGCCTCATTCCCCCACCCACTATCCAACCCCATCCCCCTCCACGCACCCAACACATCAACCGCCAAAACCCTACTCCCCTCACCCCCCTCCTTCCAAACCGTTCTCCTCGGCACCGCCTTCCCAGAAACCATCACCATAAAATTTCTCGCAATACTATGATCCTCCAAATCCGAGAAATAAATCCCCAGCGTCCCCAGCGCCTTTAGCGCGATATCGAATCGCAAACGTCCGTTTTCGACAATAAACACATCGTAGCTTACTATCGCCGCCGCGCCGGTCATTTTACCAAGTAGTCCTAGTACGGCGACGTGCGTGAGGTTACTCGTGCCGGAGCCGCAGCCGTGACTTCCGCGTAGTGTGAAGGAGTGTGTTGGGTAGGCTGTTAGGATTTCCCAGCCCCTTTGGCCTAGTTCGGCCATGACGAGGGAGTTTTCGTCGGCGGGGTGCATGGGGTCGCTGACGCGGCCGCTGGTATGCGCGCGGACGACGTACCGCCCGTTAGAACCCTCGTGGATACCCGGAAATTCTCGCAGGCAGACGAGTTTGCAGGATTCTGAATCTTGGACGTTAAACAGGCCGAGGATACCGCTTCCTGTGCGTGCTGGGCCTGTGTATGTGCCTACGGAGAGGACGTGGCCTTCGTTGTAGTCGTGGTACATGTCCATTGCGCGGCCGACGATGCTGGGGCGGAGGATGACTGTTGTGCCGTGGGTTGTTGGGGCGGTCATTTGGTTGAGGACGGCGAGGTCATGGTTACCTGGTTCGTCGGTGATATAGATGGGGCCGCCGGAGACGCAGCGTGCGGCTGCATGGAAGGAGGCGTAGGGGTGGGATGTTTGGAACATGTCCCAGTCTGGGAGGACGTTGAGGAAGCGGGTGAGGAGGGTGTTGTGGGCGTTGCAGAAGACGTGCCACGGGTGGCTTGTTTTGATTGCTGGGAAGAAGTCGTCTGAGTTGCGGAGGGGGATGGATGGTTTGTTTGTGGGGAGTTGAGAGTGGAAGATTGCCTGGGGGAAGGTTGACATGCAGGAGATGGATCTTGTGCTGAAGTGTTTCAGGGACGCGATGGACCAGGCGTCTTGGTAGGAGGGTATGAAGCGGCGGCGGTCTTCGGGGGTTGCTAGTAGGTCGAGGAAGAACTGGGCGTCTGTTTTGACGGAGTCGATGCCGACGGAGGTTAGGTAGGAGTAGAATTCGTCGTAGAAGGTTTGGATGTCTTCTGGTTCGATGGCGAGCATGATGCCGTTGTCGAAGGCGTGGGGTAGTGGCGCTCCGGCGGCTGGGTCTTTGATTTTGACTTCTTTTGTCTTGAAGCGCTGGGCGAGGTCGCCGTTAGGCGAGATACCGCCCCAGTATCCGAAAAGTGCGTGCCAGACAGCGATGTGCTCAATGCTTGGTTGACGCTGTTGAATGGCTTGGACGGTTTGTCTGAGTCCTTCTGGGAATGCGCGAGGGTTGCCCTCGAACTGCGTCCAGCGCCGCTTGAATTGCGAGTCGCCTTCGTTATCTAATGCTTGCCAGTTATCGTCAATGATGAGGTTGACGATCTTGATGCCGTGAGACTTGAGCGCGTCTAGGGCGTGCAGGATTTTTTCCTCTGTCAGGTTCTGACCCAGGCCGTTCCAGGTACAGTATGTCAAACCGTCGTACCACTCCGTTAGCCATTGTACTTTGGGGTCTTTTTCAACCATAACAAGGTCGTCTCCTGTAGGTGATGCTGAGCTCGACGGACGTTCTTCCTCCTCTGGTTTTTCTTCGCTCTTCTCGTCCTTCTTCTCGCCTTCATTCTCCTGGCTAGCGACCCGGACCAGCTTTCGCGCTTCATACATCACCGCACCCATAGCAACTTCAAAATCATAAGCAACAGCAGCCAGAACCTTAAACTTGGTCGTCTCCGTATTGTCACTCTGAGCTTTGACAATAACCTCTCCCTTATCACCGGACTGAAACAGCGTCAACATATGATCAACACCAGAAACACCCAAAAGAACAAGATGCGTCCCATCCGTTCTCAAAAACGAACACAAAACCGCATCCTCCGTCAACTGGAACGTCTTCCTCCCATGCCTCGGCCCCAACCACGGCGTCCATATCCGCACCAGCGAGAAATTCCGCACAACAGACGACGGCACACCAAGAATGAATTCTTTAATCGTAGACTCTGTCTCTGTAGCCGGAGGAACACCCCCAGATACCTGCCATAGCACCGAGTTAACAGCTTCACTCACGCGCGACTCAACCTCGACCTCTGACGAAAGATTTTCAAAGTACTTCCCCAGTTCACTTCTACCCCCAGTCGATGATGCCGATGGCGTCGAATACGAAGGCGTCGAATACGAAGGCGTCGGCGCCGAGTACCACGATGGAGTAGACTGTGTCCCCGACGTGCCCCCACCACCACCACCACCACCACCACCACCCGCAGCAGCACCCGCCGCCGCAGTATTAGCAGTAGCAAGCGCGCTCTGATCCCTCGGCGCAAACACCAACTCCCCATTCCTAACTTCCTCTGGCTTTTGCTGATTAACCCATTGCCAAGGGGCATTGGGGCCGGAGCGGTACTTGACTGTGAACTGCGCATAGCCTCCCTGATTCGGGAGGGTGATTTCCTCTGTGAAGACGGAGCGGTAGTAGTTGTATTCTCCCTTTTGGGCGTTTAGCATTGGGGCGCTGGTTGTGGGGGCTTTGCGGAGAGGGAGGGATTTCCATTCTGGTGCGCTGCTAGGGGTGTTGCTGCTGTAGGTTGTGGTGGTGCTGGTAGCAGGGGTTGTGGTGATGTTATGCCAGACCTCGGCCTCCCATGGTTGTTCTGGGAATGAGACGCTTGATTCAATGACGACAGTGAATCGGAGCTAGTTACGTTAGCACTATCCTTTAGCAGGTAGTAAACAATGGGGCAACTCACCGTATCATCCTTCTCCAGCTCCAAAGCTTTCTGGATCCTTTGCGGACATGTTACCTGTCCCAGCGGTGGATAGCAAGATACTCGAGCAAAGAGACTCATCTGTGCTGGACGGATGAAGCGTAGCTGCGATGCTGGTTTCTTCTGTTGTTTTTGAGGTTGAGGCCCGAGAATGGGGAGGGAGGATGGTTCGGTGGTGTTGACCTGCATCAGGGGCAGTTCTATGGTTTATATGGGAATTTATTTCTATATAAATTGAATTGAAATGGTAGGCAATGGAGTCTATAACAGTGACGAGAGTGTAGGGAGATGTCCCGGATGATGGTGTTGTGATGCATTTTGGTGGCAATGCGGGGTTGTAGTCCTGCAGCTGCAGGTGAATTGGTATATAGAGACCGTGGCTGTTTACATATAAAAGTAGTATGCTTATTATTCGTAACTATATACTCATGGCATTAATTCATCGCAAGCTATTTAGTTGATCTTGATGGCCAACTTGCCAAAGTGCTTTTGAGCCCACTACATCACTGTTAGCACATACCCCGCATGCAGCAGATCTAAGAAAACTAGACTCACCATGTACTCATAAGCCTCACGGGCCTGCTCCAAAGTGAAGACCTTCTCGTCAACCACCGGGCGAATATCATTGGCCTCAATGGCCTTGACCATGTCGTTCATCAAGGCCTTGCTGCCAATGTAGACACCCCGCACGGTACAGATGTGGCTCAACGAGTCAAGGATGCTGGGCTGGCCCTGGGGGTTAACACCACCAAGGAAACCGATGATGCTGATCACACCCTCGAACTTGATGGCCTTGAAACTCTGGGCAAGGGTGCCAGTACCGCCAACCTCGATAATGTAGTCAACACCCGCGCTGTCGGGAGTGAACTTGCGGGCCGTTTCGCCCCAGTTGGGGTCGGACTTGTAGTTGATAATGTGGTCGGCACCGAGCTGCTTCAGCTTCTGGGCCTTCGCTTCAGAAGAGGTAGTGGCAATGACGGTCGCACCGGCGGCTTTAGCGAACTATAACCAGGAAGAAACCAGTATTAGCGAATTGACGTAAACGGAATGAGAAAAGAAGCCTACCTGCAATGCGAACATGCTAACACCACCAGTTCCCTGCACCAGAACAGTCTCACCCGGCTTCAATGGCTTCAGACCGTACAGAGCGTTCCAGCTGGTAAGAGCGGCACAGCTAAGAGTGCTCGACTCGAGGTAGTTGAGGTTCTTGGGGGTCTTGACGAGGCCGTTCTCGTTGAAAACACCGTATTGGCGCAGAGTACCGTCAATGACACCACCGAGACCGGTCTGGGCAGCGGGAATGTCGATGGGACCGTACTGGTGACCTTGGTTGAACAGGGTAGCCACCTTGTCACCCTGCTTGAATTGCGCGACCTTGGGTCCGACTTCAACGACCTCACCAGCACCGTCGGAACCGGGGACGACCGGGAAGTTGAGGGCGAAGGGGTACATTCCCTAGAGAATAAAACATATCAGTATGCGAGAGTGTGTCAAGTTATGATGCTATAGCAATTGACGCACCTGGGGAATGATCAGATCACGGTAGTTCAGCGAGGCCGCGTAGAACTTGACCAACACCTCATTCTCGCCGACCTTGGGGACGTCCGCTTCACCAAAGGTAAGGCTATCGAAGCCGTTCTCCTTGTCCAGGACGGTCCATGTTTGTGTCTTTGCGGGCGCCATTGTTGTATATATCGTAGTACTCCGTGAGGAATTGTAAATTGGAAGTTTGCAGCGGTGAACTCAGTCTCAATGGAGGGGCATCTATGTAACCTTTTATACAAGCTCCACTCGCAGTGACGACATGCTTATTAAGGCCGAAGGTGGTCCCCGAGTCATCTCCGGCGCTGTCTTGGACCGTTTTGGCAGTGTTTCCAGGGTGATCATTCTCCGGCATTAATAATTGACCCCAACGGCTACTTTTTCCACGCGTTTCGGTGGTCAGTGGGCTCTGGGAGAACTCGGGAGACTTTCTCTGAATCAGGTATGGGAGGAAACGGAGGAATTGGCGTCCGATATGGTCAGAGCGCCTGGCATTGTGGCGGTTTAGCTTGTTGTTGAAGTTCCAAAAAAGGCAAATCACGTGTAGCACCCTGCCATCGTGATCTTCTTCATTCCTTTTTCTTCAACACGACAAAGAATGATTTCTCGAATCGCGATGCTTACTTCCAGCAAATCGCTCTTCGTGCGGGTGCGAGGTATGACTACAATTGCTACTGATCGACGCAGCTGAATGTGCCTCGCAGATGCAGCTGTACCTCCTGCAGCGCAATGGAGTATGCACATAAGCATGCAGCAGAGTCTTGTAGCGTACAGGGCTCTCTTACTTGCTACATCATTCCCGTTCAATAGAGACAGGAGAAAGTCAATCGCATGAACTTGTGTCGTTGAGCAAGGACGGGGAGACCGATGTGATCAATTGCTTTTACCAGGCTACGGCAAATGCGACAGATGCGGTATTGGGTCGACGGGTTTGATGGCCTGTGGCAGGGATCTTGCTACGGAGCTACTAGGTTGGACTTGGGTATAGTATTGGAATATCAATCTTGTCGGAGGCCGTTGCAGCATCAATATTCCCAGATAGGAAATATGTTAATAGCACATCAGTCTGAGTATAGCATATTTCATAGTCCGAATAGCACAATTTAGAATAGAAGATGGCGCAATTGCACTATTGAATGACTCTCCCGCGCTTCAGGGATTGTTCTCATTCTGATACGACGATCCGAATGAGGGGTCGTCACCGCGTGAATCTGTCGACAACCATCTTCTTTCCTGCAAACATCCAGCAACGCTCTACTAAATCTCCACGTATTTGATATCTTGCAACATGTCGACCTTCAAGCTCAACTCGGGATATGACATTCCCGCTGTCGGTCTGGGAACATGGGTTAGTTACTACTACTTACATGCGAATGCGACAACTGACTGATTCGTGACAGCTATCCAAACCACATGAAGTCGAAAACGCAGTCGAACATGCCCTCAAAGCCGGATATCGCCATATCGATGCCGCTGCGTGCTATTTGAATGAGATTGAAGTAGGAAGTGGTTGGAAGAAATCGGGCGTACCGCGCGAGGAGATCTTTGTTCGTATACCGATGACTATAAGGGACTATTGAAGGAATCGGGCTCTAACTCTGCTCAGATCACCAGCAAGTTGTGGAATACGCACCATCACCCGGAGAACGTGGAAGAAGCTGTCAATAAGACCTTGAGCGATCTACAGACGAACTACCTCGACTTGTACCTGGTATGTCGTTCCAATATCGTGTTTTTATTGACTTGGGTCTGACTACATCAGGTCCACTGGCCAGTCGCATTCGAACACACCAACGAGACCCTTACTCCCCTAGACCCCGTAACCAAACGATTCCGTCTCGCAGACGTCCCCGTCTCCGACACATGGGTAGCACTTGAGAAGCTCGTCAAGGCGGGCAAGATCCGCAGCATTGGCGTCAGCAACTTTACCGCTTCCAAGTTGCAGGAGTTGCTGCAGACAGCAGAGATACCCCCCGCTGTGAACCAGATCGAGGCGCATCCCTATTTGCAGCAGCCGGCGCTGTTTCAGCTTCTGAAGGAAAAGGTTGGATACCTTTTGTCCAAAATAAAAAGGAAGAGGACTAACTCTCTGGGTTTAGAACATCCTTCCTGTTGCTTACAGCCCGCTTGGTAACAATACCTACAACGCTCCACGGTATGGACCATGTTCTCCCACCATTACGACACAACTGACAATGGTAAATAGCGTTGTCAATGATTCAACTGTGATAGAAATCGCAAAGAAGCTCGAAAAAGACCCAGCTGCAGTGTTGATTTCCTGGGCTGTTCAAAGGGGAAGCTCTGTCCTGCCAAAGAGCGTCACTCCATCGCGGATTGAAAGTAACTTCCAAGGTGGGCAATACAAGCATTAATTTGGGCTTGATAGAAGTTAATGATTGACAGTCTTCACTATCCCCGAGGCCGAATTCGAGACCCTCAATCAACTCGACCGGAACCAGCGATACAACTACCCCTTCCGCTGGGGAATTGATGTCTTTGGGGAGCTTGGGTCCGAGGAAGCCGAGCGACGTGCTGAGGAGTTTGCTGCGAAGCAGAGGGAGAGTTCATAGGCTGGACTATACATAGCGTAGGGGTAAGCGGAGATATATATCGCTGTCAGATGTACTGATTCCATTAACAATTTATTTCCCGCTTTCTTTCATGGAACTATAAATCCCATCACATTACTCCGTAAGTAGACCTGAGATATCTAAATAGGTTTGGCGTGGTCTGGATGTACTTGTATATCATGAATCGCATCTTGCGCGAAACTTCATACAGATCCGAACGGAGATCCTCATCCTTTCAACATCAACGCCATCAATTGATACCAGAAACCACCCAAGCTTAACGATTCTAAGCTAGAGAATCTTGACACTGGTCCTCATATCTTATTATTCCCTGACACAGAGATAAAATGCCACCTTCCGTCCAAGACGGCCGAGTCATCAAGAATAAATCGTCATCGCGGCAGTCCTCAGCGCGACGGCCGAGTCAATCTAACCAGGAAAATAAACAACAGCAAAGTAAGCATTTCTTCAATTGCATTCAATTCATAGTATAACAATGTACGATATTCATTGGACTACGACATTAACGCATACCAGAAACCCAACCCCTCCCCCTAATCGAACGCACCAATGCCCTCCCAATCGAGCAATTCAGATCAACATACGCACCAACGATCTCTGAAACGTTCAATTTAAAAGTCCATCCAGACAAAAGCAAGGATGACCAAATCAAAGAAATGGACTACATGTTAGACCTCTACACCGCAAAGACCATCCCCTCCGCGGACTTTGAGGCCTGCTTTGGTCTCATCGAGTTGACTTCTTCAAATGCTTACGATGGGTCTCGTGTGGGTTGGTCTCCATTGAAGAAGAGGAAGGAGATGAAGTTGCCTGATATGAAGTATTTAATTGCGCGTCGCGGGTCTAGACAAAGGAACGAGAAAGATGAATCTGGATCTGCTGAGGAGGGGATTCTAGGATTCCTTTCTTTTATGGTTACATATGAGGATGGGAAAGAGGTTATCTATTGCTATGAGATTCACCTGTCGCCAGAAGCACAGGGTCTTGGTCTAGGGAGACAGTTGATGCTGACGTGCGAGGATACCGGGCGGCGGGTTGGTTTGGAGAAGACCATGCTGACTGTCTTCAAGTCGAATACGAAGGCAGTGCGCTTCTACGAGCGTTGCGGATTTGGAGTGGATGAATACTCTCCGCAACCGCGGAGGCTGCGGAATGGTACGGTGAAGGAACCGGATTATTTGATCTTGTCCAAGATGTTGGACAATAATGGTCATTCCTAGACCGATTGATGTATGTATTTAGTTCTTATGATTTATATATTGGATTAGACCTGTCTAACGTCCTTTCCTCGGAGTTTCGGGTTATCCTGTTCCCATTCCTCTCGGAGGGCGGCGAAGACGGTGTCCGCTAACAGGACCGAGAGTCCCAAACTCCAGACTAATGTGATTGCGTAGAAAAAGTTGGCGTTTCCAGATCCGGCGTAGATCCACAAGTGATAGAATGCTGGGCCCAGGAGGGTGGCGTACAACAGCGCGGAGACCGCAAAGAACGTGTAGCGCATCACTGATATCGTTAGTCAACCTCACGCAGCAAGAGGGACGTAATTCAACTCACAAGGGAAAAGATGCCGGTAAAGCGGAAGGAAAGCAAAATATAGAGATGCGTCCGAAATGCTAGGATAAGGCTTGAAAATCGCAAAGATACCCAGGAGCGCAGTAAGGACGAACAGAGGCTGGCGCCGCAACCGTATGGTCAAGCCTCCGACATAGCATGCGAGATGAAGCCAGAAGACACCGAGAAAGAATTCTCGGAACGAGTCGAACATTTCGATAAAGAAGTACCACCAGAGACCGACGTTGGGAGTCAGATCAGGTACGAGTAGTTGGAAACCGTACGTCGCCGAGATGAACTGCCAGAAATCCCCGACAACCAAACAGGAGATTCCAAGAAGACCCGCGACGCTCCCCAGAAGAATGCCAAAGTGCTGCACGGCAAACACCGCCGCATTGGACGAGACCTTCGTTTTCTGCACCCGTCGGTCATAGCACAAAAGGACAACCGGGATAAACAAGAGCGCGGGGTATATCGAGAGGTAGGACGCGAATCCCAAGGCGAGCATCGCATTGATGCTATTCCCGCTGGCAGCATTGGATATGGCGTAGAGGATACCGGAGGTGGTGAAAACATTGGTCGACCTGCTCAAACAGGTCGCAATCGTGAACGGATTAAAGAGAAACCTGGGACCGTTAGGACACTGCCTTCTTCCCATGAAATGTATAGCCTCCATACCATGCTGCAACTGCAACCCCGTCATACCGAACATGCTTTCTCAATGCCGAATGTAATCTCCCCGAAAGAGCCTGTCCCGAGTCGGATATTGTGACCAATGCGTTTGCGTTTACGAGATCGACCAGCGAGTAGAAGATGGCTGTCGGCAAAGGGTATTCTCTGGCATTTGGCAGCAACGAGAAGATGGGAAGTAACAGCGGTGCCTATATAGGTATTCAAGGGATTTTGTTAGAATATGACTGCACCGGAGAAAGCAACCACTTGCTAGACCTACCTGGTGGAACACGCCGCCGTCGTAAGGGGAAACATTGCGGGTGTACATGAACAGGCCCTCCTGCACTAACCACATAGTATTAGCACCGCAATCCCAGCAAGTACCACCGGCCCGTTAGTACTCACGTCGCTTGAAGCTGTTGACCGGCGTAGACACCTCTACTCGTCCCGTCAACAAGTCCGGCAGCGAGGGGAACAGAACCCAGAGCAGCAGTCGCAAGACCAAGGCAGCGCCAAAGATGGCCGCCTTTCTGCGATCAACCAGCATGGCAAGTAAATAAGACCAGGAATACTACCGCATCATATATTCCTATTGCCGTAATCGACCAACGTGGAAGAGTTGAAGCCAGCCCCGAAACTGGTCTTCATGATCACATGTCTGGTCTTGGCGCCAAGATAGATAGCACGTGCACGGACCAGCATCCAGCTCCCCGAAGAGAAAAAAAAAAGTTATCGAGAAATTTTGGTTATCGCCGATTCTTATTTTCTTCTTCCTGTCAACACCAGCTACCACCACTATTTGTCAAAATGGGAAAGATTAAGAAGAAGGGTATGGATGGCTTCATTCGAATTGCAAGAATTTCACAATGCTAATTTAATTGCGTCCAGGAAACTCTGGCCAGGCCAAAAACTACATTACCAGAACGCAGGCAGTCCGCAAACTGCAGATTACTCTGCCTGACTTCCGTCGACTATGTATCTTTAAGGGTATGTGCTACTGTCTAGTATATGCGCTTGGCTTGGGGCACTGATGTTGAGACGATGAACAGGTATCTATCCTCGTGAGCCCCGGAACAAGAAGAAGGCTTCGAAAACTTCGACCCCCAACACCACCTTCTACTACACCAAGGATATCCAATACCTCCTCCATGAGCCCCTTTTGGCCAAATTCCGCGACCAGAAATCTCTTGCGAAGAAGATTGCGCGCTCGTTAGGACGTGGAGAAGTTAGCGATGCTTCGCGCTTGGAGAAGAACCATGCTCCGAAACTCACACTGGACCACGTCATTAAGGAGCGTTATCCCACCTTCATTGACGCCCTCAGAGACTTGGACGATGCGCTTTCGCTGTTGTTCCTTTTTGCAAACCTCCCCTCGAGCTCCCACGTGCCTCCCAAGACTATTGCGCTCTGCCAGCGGGTGACCCATGAATTCCAGCACTATCTGATCGCTACCAACTCCCTGCGCAAGTCTTTCCTTTCGATCAAGGGTATCTACTACCAGGCAACGATCCAGGGACAGGACATTATGTGGCTGGTTCCTTACCGATTCGTCCAGCGGGTCAACGGTGATGTCGACTACCGGATTATGGCCACTTTTGTCGAGTTTTACACCACCCTCCTGGGCTTCGTTAACTACCGTCTGTATTCGTCGCTTGGCCTGAGATACCCGCCCAAGTTTGATACCCGAAGCGATGAGAACGGTGCTGAATTGGCTGCTTTCACTCTGGAGGGCCGGTCTGTTGGCAACGTCCCCAAGGCTATCGAAGGTAATAACACAAAGACAAACGCCCTATCGAACAAGGTTTCGAGTGAGGTCCAGAGTAAGGTGGACAAGGTCATCCAGGACGCCAGATTGGATCAAACAAAGGATGAGAAGACCGTCGAGACCACCACCGAAGAATCGAATGATGCGATCGACAAGTTCGAGCCTGCCGCGCCGGAAGCCGATACGCTAGACCAACCTGACCTGAGCGCAGCCGATTCTGGCTCTCTCTTCGCCCCCTTCACAGTCTACATTTCGAGAGAAGCCCCGAAGGCCCCCTTGGAGTTCATCCTCCGTGCTTTTGGCTGCACCCGGGTTGGCTGGGACGCTGTGTCTGGCGACGGTGCTTTCACGCACGATGAGACGGACACCCGTATTACCCACCAGATTGTGGATCGTCCTCCTCTTCCCGAGGGCGCTCTCCCGGCTGCTCCTGCTGTCAAGGATGGTGATGTGCCACAAGTCAAGCCCGGTACCCGGATTCCCGGTAGAACCTACGTCCAACCCCAATGGATCTGGGACAGCATCAACGAAGGCAAACTTCTCCGTCCCGACCTTTACGCACCGGGTACCACGCTGCCACCCCATTTGAGCCCATGGGTTAAGCCTTCTAGGGCCGGTTACGATCCTAAGGCCAGTCTGGCCGCTCAGGAAGAAGAGGGCGAGGCTGACCTGGCAGAGGAAGAGAGTGGCAGTGACGAAGAGATGACGGACGACAAGGCGGACGACAAGGTCGACGAGAAGAAGAACGGAGACGCCAAGGTCGCTGAGGCATCCGACGAGGAGGATGACTCCGAAGACTCCGAAGAGGAAGACGGCGGTATGGATGTTGACCTTGCCAACTCCGACGAGGACGAAGAGGAGGACGACAGCGAGTCCGCAGATGAGGACTTCGGTGGTTTCGAAGACGACGCCGCTTCCGAGTCCGAAGACGACGAGGAGGCCGCTCGCACCCGCCACCAGAAGGAACTCGAGGCCGAAGCTGCTGGTCTTCCTTTCTCGTCTGCCAACGGCGGCGCAGACGAGAAGGCCAAGAAGAAGTCCTCGCAGGCGAAGAAGATCGCCGCTAAGAAGCGCAAGGAGGAGGAAGAGCTGGAGAGACAGAAGATGATGATGAGCCGTAAGAAGCGGAAGCTGTTGGAGAAGATGATGTACTCGAACAAGAAGCAGTCCGATGAGGCGGCGAAGCTGCGGTCGAAGAGAAGAAAGCTTGAAAAGGGTGAGAAGGGTGAGAAATAGATGAGAGAAGAAAAGTTAGATTGTTCGTTTTATAATATGTGACCTTATGGGATTTGGAAGCATTCTGGCGTCTGATTGTTTTATTTACCCTAGACAATGTGCACACCTATTCGTACTCAACCAACTGAATAGAATAGCTTTCTTGTTCTACAGAATGCGATCCCATTTTAGTCCAGCCCGAATTCGTCTTCAGTCGAATCTTTCGCCGTAGTCCCTTATCGGACGTGAAAGTCACGTGTATCTTATCGCAGCCTTGATAAGGATTCACGTGCTTTTTCGCCGATTTTTGGCTGCATTTTCTATGCATATACTGCAGTTTTTAATAACGAAGGAAGTTCAGAAAAACTGGGATGTGAGAACGATGAATTAATCTCTCCAGAATTTACTGTTCCATCAAACGAAGACATTTATGCGAAAGCCGCAAATTCTACCTTCAGCCAGCGCTATACGGGAAAACGACCCGTTTAAGCATACAAGGAATGTCTTCAATCGCAGATGATCAATTCTCGGATGCTTTAAATCCCCCTCAGTCTGCGCAACCATTTCAATCATTGTTCGGAGGTCCTGCCAGTCAAGATGTGGATTTGGAACCGTACTCAGAGAGTGACCAGGGTGCTGGTACTCAAGACCAAGATGATCTCGACGTGATCATGGGCAATATGCCCATGATGGATGATAATCAGTCTGATGCAACATACCACGCCAGTGATGAAGATGACTCCGAACCCCATAACGCGAGGAATGAGACCAATGCGCAGCCAAAGAAACGCAAGAGGCCGCCTGTTGTGGCTAGGTCGATTAGTCCGCCGTCGTCTCCTGAAGAGCGGCCTAACAGGTTCCGCGGTCCTGAGTCTACATGGAGGAGGTTGACTGCGGAGGAGAGGCAGAATGCCCAGGCTTTGGAGACGATTCGGGCTAGGGATCTTGCGGCTCATCTTTACAATTCTTATGCGCTCCGTGTACGGGCCCGTGAGAGAGGACGGGTGGCTGTGAGGGAGGGTAAACGGGTGGATGTGACGGAGGCATTTGCTCCTCCTAAGGGATGGGCGGCGTGGCCAATGTCTGCTGACAAGGTGCCTCGGGCGGACGAGCGTCTTAAAAGAGAGGAGGACGCCGCATGGACGTTAAGGATGCCGTCTGATCCACGGCCAAGTGCTGATCTGGAAGAATCTGTTATCGCTATGATGCTCAAAACAGCCAAGGAGAGGTTTAGGACTAGGGAATGGGACCACAGGCGCACGGTATATCAACCAAGAACATCCACTACATTTCGAGTTGACACCAACGATGAAAGTACGGCTTATGAGGGAAGTGATGGGGGATATTTGGATGACGAAGAACTTCGCCCCGTGGTTCAAGCCGATGACGAGAAATCCAGACAACAACTACGGCCCATTTCTCGAAATGTTCTTACTCAGTTCGATCAACTTCTGATGGGTCTCCATCATGCGCAGACAGGGGGTGCTCGAGGAGGTGACAGCTCAGCAAGTGAAATGCAGTCGGATACGGAGAGTATGGCTTCGAGCAGATCATCTCCGAGAAAAAGAAATCCCGAAGAGACGGAGAGAAGTCAGTCACGAGGTCGTAAACAATCCCGTCGACCTTCCCAGCATGAGAAGCCTCTCTCTCGCTCCAAAGTGCAACCTACATCGCGCTCACGCAGAAGGTCACTTGGTCGAGGACACGGACGATCCACAAGTCGCCTTCGAGGCGGACGCGGTCTCCGCGATTGGAGTGAAGTTTTAGGTGTTGCAGCCATTACAGGGTGGCCATCTGCAGTAATAATGCGCACAGCAAACCGGTGCTCCGCGTTATTCGGAGAAGACATGACATTCCAGAAATTCAATGAGGGAGCAGTGAAACCCATTGAAGAAGATAACCCGACAAACGTACAATACATGGAAAGCGAGTCCGAGTCTGAACCCGAACCCAAAAACCCTACGCCCCCACCTATATCTCGACAGTCATCCAGAAACCCGCGATCCAGGGCATCCTCTGTCAGGCACGAATCTACTTCCAGGCCTGCTAGTCCCGCGACTGCTGACAATGGAGCGCGCAAGGGTAAAGGGCAGCATCGCAAGCAGGACTTGGTATGTCCATTCAAATCTTGTCCCCGGCATGTGGATGGCTTTTCGCGGACGTGGAATTTGAATCTCCATATGAAGCGCGTGCACCCGGGCTACCGTCCGAGGACGCCTGCGCCTATTAACGTTGATGCTAGTAATGGGGATGAGCAGTGACCGGCTGTTACTGGGACATGAATTTTAGATGGGCTGCACTAGCCTCACTTTTTAACTATGTACATATACTCCTTAGACTGTTATAGACAAGCTATACCCTTGTATAATGAGCATCTTGTATACTCCAAAAATACGATATCGCGTATTGGCGCGTATTGGCTGTCGGATATCGCAGATTATAGGGCAATTTCATTGGCTGATCATGCCGCCATGCTGCAATACAGCTCCTAAATGGCCAAAAATACCGAGGACCAAATTGCCGTACCCGATATGTATTCGTAATACCATCTTGTAATATTCGATACAACATGGACATACAGCAAAATAGCAGGAGGATTGCTCTTTTTATACAATATGAGAGACGAGATACTCAACAATTGATCAATCTCTATCACACTATTAGCGTTGTGAATGCATACCCACCGCATTGCTTAAAATTGACGTCGACAAGCTCGCTATCATGACGTTGCCCCACGTGACGTGACCGCAAGCTCCCCGCTTGGAGTATCGCGATTGAACGCTCATCGTTTTCTCCAACCGCCGAAATTCCTCTGGATCCATTGTCCCTATTATAAATACCCCTCGGCCCTGCTGGTCAGTCACAGAACCACACTTTTCTCTCTCATTGCTGCTGTGTAACGTATACTCGAGGGACTCTGGAAGCTCCCCCGCACGGCGAACAACCACCGTCTGTTTATCAGTACCGCACTCTCAGTCCTTTGTTGGTTATTGGAAGAAGCGTGGAGTATTAGGCATTTAATTCTGACAGCATGGAAAGACTTATTCGGCCTGTTTCTCGGCAATTACTGCGCCCTCGACCTCGGTATCCTTTTGCTGTTCCGCCGCCGGTTTATGCGAAGCGGCTTTACACAATGGGTCATACTGTGCCTCCGGTATGTCGTTGTTAGCTGGATGGTGGTTGCTGGAGATACTAACGATATACCCGTGGTTGTAGTTGAAAGACCAATCGCTCTTCATTCAGAAGGCGTATGTTAATGGAGAGTGGGTGGGAGCTCAATCAGGGAAGACATTCGAAGTTCACGGTATGAAGGATCGCTTGCCAGACTCATGAAAGCCTATCTGACGATCTGAATCCAGACCCCGCCTCCGGAAAACTCATCGGAACATGCCCCGAATTCGACACTTCCGATACCCAAAAGGCCATCCAGGCCGCCTCCGAAGCGTTCTCTACATTCCGTACAACACTGGGTCGCGAGCGTTCCCGAATGCTGCGTCGGTGGCACCAATTGATGATTGACAATGCGGAGGACCTGGCAACACTTATCACATGGGAGAATGGAAAGCCATTGGCCGATGCCAAGGGCGAGGTCAACTATGCGGCCGGCTTCTTTGAATGGTTCAGCGAGGAGGCTCCCCGTATTTACGGTGACACCATCCCCGCATCGGTGCCGGGAAATCGCATCATGACTCTTAAGCAGCCTGTTGGTGTCTGCGGTCTCATTACGCCGTGGAACTTCCCAGCAGCCATGATCACAAGAAAGATCGGACCTGCTCTGGCGGCGGGCTGCACAGTCGTGGTGAAGACTCCTGGTGAGACACCATTCACGGCAAACGCTCTTGCAGAGCTGGCCCAACGGGCAGGTATCCCCAAGGGTGTTGTCAACATTGTCACTGCCTCGGCCAACACACCTGAAGTTGGCGAGTCGCTGACAACCCATCCCGAGGTCCGCAAGGTGTCTTTCACCGGATCGACAAACGTCGGTAAGCTGCTTATGAAGCAGTCTGCCTCTACTATCAAGAAGGTCTCTTGGGAGCTTGGAGGAAACGCTCCGTTCATTGTGTTTGATGATGTCAAAGATCTCGATGCCGCCGTTGCTGGTGCTATTGGTTCTAAGTTCCGCAGCTCAGGCCAGACTTGCGTCTGCGCCAACCGGATCTACGTGCAGAAGGGCGTGTACGAAGAATTCTCCAAGCGCTTCGTCGAAAAGGTCAAGGAATTCAAGATGGGCGGCGGATTCGAAGACGGAGTCACCCACGGTCCCGTCATCCACGGGCGCGCTGTTGCCAAGGTTGACCAGCACGTCCAAGATGCCGCATCGAAGGGTGCTCAGGTGGCCCACGGTGGCCAACAGCTTGCCCAACTGGGCCCTAACTTCTACGACCTGACTGTCCTGACCGGCATGACCAAGGACATGCTGCTTGCCTCTGAGGAGACCTTTGGCCCTGTGGCTGGACTGTTCCCCTTCGAGTCGGAGAAGGAGGTCGTTGACCTGGCAAATAGTGCTGAGGTTGGCCTTGCGGGTTACTTCTTCAGCAGCGACCTCAAGCGAATCTTCCGTGTGGCTGAATCATTGGAAGTTGGCATGGTCGGTGTCAACACTGGTCTGATCAGTGATGTTGCTTCTCCGTAAGTACCTCGATTCTTTTTGAATTTAAGTTAGATACTAACTGTTACAGATTCGGCGGTGTCAAGCAAAGTGGCTTTGGCCGCGAAGGCAGCAAGTACGGCATTGATGAGTTTATGGTGATCAAGAGCGTTACCTTTGGTGGTATGAATGAGCCTTTGCAGGCATAAAGGCATGACTCAGTTGATTCTACGATGACCAATATATACAATAATATCATGTGACCTGAAAACTTCATTTCTGTAATCTTTGAACACTTTCAAAGCCTTTCTCTGCTTCTATAACTCTCCAAACCTGCTACAATAACAAAACTCCACCATGACAACCCAAGCCTTCAACCCCCCTCCCACCCCAGTCATCGACGCAGACGGGCTACATGAGATCCCCATTTTTCCCTCCGAGGTCGAAAACCTGCAAGACTGGCTCGACTGTATAGAAGAGGAACTGGCAATGAACGACCTCCAGGGCCTCATCGAAACCGACATTCCCAGGACCTGACCCCGCTGACCCCAAATTCCACCAATGAACCGCGCTATCGATCAAAATTGCATTGTGGCTGAAAAAAATACATCGAATATGAGATCCTTAATAAGTTTCCAGCTGATGTCGCGTATGCGGATGATGTGATCAGGGCTGTTGAGGTGCTTGTTCCAGGTTCGAGGGAGAGTACGCCGACTGCGTCGGAGTGCAGCTCACCTGCTCCCGTATCCGACCTAGGGCGAGAACCATTGCGCACACAGACACATGCCCGGACACAACCACAACCACACCCCGAAACCCAGCCCCCAAAGACCATCGACCCCCGTGAATACGCCGCCACCTGGCGCCAACTACCAACTCAAACAGCCCCCAACGGCAACTGTCTGTACTGCGACGATCCAGAACACGGTACGGCTAACTGCCCTTATCTGTCACCTAGGGTGAGTGGGGATTGGTGGAAGCCTTCTGCGCCGTTGTGGTATCTGGATCCACGGGAGCATGGGTTTTCGTGGGAGCAGACGAGTGAGCAGCCGCGTTATACTTCTGCGGGGGTGAATAGGCTTGGGTATGCGGGTGCTACTGCTCCTATTGCCACTGCTACTGCTGGTACTGCTACTGGTACTGCTACTGGTACTGCTACGGCTACTGCTACTGGTACTGCTACGGCTACTGCTACGGCTACTGCTACGGCTACTGCTACGGCTACTGCTACGGCTACTG